CATAAATTTTATATCGTATTTTTTGTCAACAATGATTGAAATAATGACGTTGAAATAACGTAAAATATTCAACGTTTAAACTGTAACGTTGATTTAACGTTGAAATAACGTTAAATAATCAACGTTTAAACGGTAACGTTGATTTAACGTTGTGACATAGTTGAACAACGTTGAAACAACGCTTCAACCGAATTTCAACGTTGAAACAACGTAATAATGCCGGCTGGGTAACCCACATTAAGAAAAAAGCTATTTAGATATTTAGCTATTATAATCTTATTTACGTCAATATCTAAACTTTTCTACATCAATGTCTAAACACTTTAAAGCGAATTCCAGTTCAATCTCAGCCATTTTTTATGAAATATTTGGTTATAATATTTTTTAAAAAATCCTATTGAACTTTTTTTTAAGTGAAACGGATAGTTTTTGACTATGATGATTGCGTAAGGTTGCCAGATGTTATAGTATAGTATAAAACACTTTTGTAAAAGTTAAATTGCGGAATAATTTTTTTTTTTGGATATTGTTAAAAATACTAAAATTGATATAACCTTCTGAGACGTTATCAAACATTTTTTTTAAATTCAAATCATCTTCATAGCCAGTCTAGCCAGCATTAAAAATGTCAAAGTCTAGCCAGCATAAAAATGTCTGAGGACATCTTTTTCAACCCTTAAAAGTAATTCCATACTTAAGTGACTTTAGAGTAATATTAACTAGAGGTGTAACTGATATTATATCCGGCCGGATAATCCGGCAAAAATAATCTGGTATCCGTTATCCGGCCGGATATAGCTGGATATGTAACTTTTGAGATCTTTTATCCCAATTGTACATACTTTTAAAACATTTAGGAATTAACTGTTTTGAGTAATTTAGTAATTGAGTAATAAAATTAAAAATTAAATATTATAGTGAAATAATATACCTTAATATATTATTTCACTATAATAGTAATCGCACAAATTTAACTTTTGAATGAATGAACACTTGATCACTATTGCTCACTAATATTCACTATAATTCACTAATCACTTCTAAATTTTGGAAAAAGAAAAAAAGAAACGAAAACTTTTGAAGAAGAAAGTAAAGGCTTTATTACAAATAAAAATAACAGTTACAATAACTTAAAAATGTATGAGCATAATATATTATACTATATAAATATATATATATATATATATATATATATATATATATATATATATATATTTATATATATATATACATATATATATATATATACATATATATATATATATATATATATATATATATATATATATATATATATATATATTTATATATATATATACATATATATATATATATATATACATATATATATATATATATATATATATATATATATATATATATATATCAAAACTTTTAAAAATTTATTTATTTTATATTTACACTAGATAACATTGGAAATTGGCTTCTTTTTTTAAAATAAAGTTTCGAGTCTTGACTAAATATTTAATAATTCTTAGTTTTTTATGATTCTATTAATGATTAAAATTATGTCTTTTAAACCTGCTGGGCGTCTGTTTTCCATAACCTGATAAAATATACACTAATTCTGACTGCTTGTTTACCACAAAACCCAAGAGCTTTAAAAAAAATTTTTTTTTAAGAGTCGGATGATTTTTTATTTGGTAATGTCATGTCTTATAGCCTGTCAATAAATTCAACAATGTGCTTAATGACAGCATGATTTTTAAGTTTTAATTAAATTTCCTAAGGCTTTGTTAAAGCAGTTATTTTAGAGTATAAACATTGTTTAGGAGCTGTCTACATTGGTTTCCATAAATTTCACTTCGTAAATTGGTGGCCTGAAAATCCTAAGTTTGTTTGTCTAGTAGGTCAGACAAACGTAGCATTTACAGGCCACTAAAACAAAAATTGATTGGCTAAGAATGGTTAACAAATCATCAAATGAAATGAAATTTCAAACAATTTTATTTCACCAAGAAGATATAGCAAGGGGTGGAGGTTTTTACACATTTTATGACATTCTGCCAAAAGTTTTGATAATTTTAAATGAACACTGATAGCTTTCTTATTATTAGAGAGATTGGATAAAATAATCACAAATATTAATTTACCTGCTTTCAGAAATTTCTCATGACATTTTAGATTTTATTTATTTATATTTATTTATTTTTTATCAGTAATCATTTACAATTCAAGTTGACTTCCAAAATAAAGTCATATAAAATATTCAAAAGTATTAAAAACAAATACATTTTATCATATATAGTAGTTACAAGACCGTAGAAACTGGAGAAGATAAAATCTTATCATCAGTAACCTTTGATAATAAAAAAGGGGATAAAACTGTATTGTTAAAAAAAATTAAGTATAGGATTTTGAGAGGCAATTAGTTCAATAATGTTCTTTTTGAACTTTAGAGCGGAATTGGCTTCTATAAGTTTAGACTCATACTTGTAAAATGGTTCCATAGCATTAGGTCATAACAAGAAATGAAGAATCCTGTAAGTTTTGATATACGGAAAGATTTTATAAATCTTCCTTTAGATCTATGAATATTTTAGGAAAAATATTTTCAAAAGAATTTGGAATTTTTTTTAAACTGATGTTGGAACATAAATTGTGTGACTTAAAATATATTTTTTTTATAAACATTAAGAGCCCTCAAGCTTCTTAGAAGAGGTTTAGCATTTATGAAGTAATTTTGAAAATAAATAATTTTTGCTGCATGATTCTGTTGCTTGAGGTGACATTCGAGTTTACTTTTGTTTGTACTACCCCAAATAATATTGCCATTAGATAAATAACTATTGATGAATATATTTTATATGATCTCTCAAGGATAAGTTTTCATCTATTTAAACACTAAGTAAAACACTTACTAAAGAACGCTCAATTTTGATGTTATTTATATATAGGATTGGTAAGGATGTAGGAATATTTTGAAACTTTTGTTTAGAATGGAATAAGAAAAACTTTATCAGTTTTTAAAGATAGGCTGTAGACGTTAAACCAGTTTGATATTTGTTTTAGTTCTTTGTTTGCTACTTGAAATAGAGAGATAATGTTACTGTGAGACTAAAATAAAGTGGTGTCGTCTGCAAACATTATAGTAAACATTGTATTTAATACTCTATATAGATCGTTGAATTTTAATACTCTATATAGATCGTTGATTATTTAATGATTGGGTGTGCGTGTGTGTGTGTGTATGAGGGGGGGGGGGGTAGTATAATACAAAAAATATTATATAAACTTGTTGCCCCTTACTGTTGACGTGGGGGGCGGAAGGCGGGAATGAAGATAAAGGGCTTTTTTGTTTCGGTGTTCAACTTACGAAGAATTAATTGTATTTAAGATTGTTTCTTTATTATTATTGTCCAAAAATATTAGTAAGGGTAGATATTTATTTGCCCAAAAATATTAGATATTTATTTGGTAAACATTCAGAATTTTGAGATTATGGAACGTATGTTGTTAATGTGAGATACGATGTCCATTAGATATTATCTTCATTCCATCGTGTTTTTTTTTTTTTTTGTTTAGGTATTATTTTTTAAGATTCAATATGAAATGATGTAGTGTTTTCTTCATTTGCTTTATAAATTTAAACCTTTAATCAGTATATTATTATTTTTAGAATAGTAGTATACCTATATTAAATAAAATATAGCGCTGTTCTGATTTGAAAGGACTGCAAACGCTTTTGACATACTTGAGGAGAATTTAAGGTCAAAACTTTTTTCCAATGAGCAAATCCAGGTTTCGCGTTTTTAATGAAATCCTCACCCGAATAAAATAAGCGCTTGAATATCGAATTCGTTTTTAGTGGTGATAAGTTATATCAAATTTTGCTATAATATATTAAAAATAATTATTTAATATAATATACATAATAATTATCTATCTATCGCAAATTATTATAATAAAATGGTTTAAATAAGTTTAAATAATTCGGGTCTTGATTTCACTAAAAACGCGAAACCTGGATTTGTTCATTGGAAAAAAGTATCGACCAGAATTTAATGTTGTCTATACAATGATGCATTTTTATTACTACCCTTTTAATAGAAAACTTCAAAAAATTATTTAAAAAAATTCAAGTTAGAATATTAAAGAGTTGATTATGAATATATAAATTGTTTAAATGACATCATCCTTAATAGCCATTAACGAAATATTCGATAGTATGATCAACTATATGATCACTTACATTAATATTATTATCAATATTATTTTTACTAACTTTTAAAGTAATGATAGGAAAATACATATTTCGTTGTTGTTTAATTACATCAAAAATTCTTCGCTACGGTTTGATGCTTTTTTCTAATTTTTTAGGTGAAAAAACTGATATTTGTTAATACTTTAACAAATTCCACATTTAAAATCAGAGCATTTATATGAAAAACATTAATAAGTAACAGATTTTGTCCTAGTTGATATTATCAGATATTTTTTTTTGGCTGTTTTATAATTCTAGTTTAAATTTAATGATTACGTTAAAATTTTAATCTTTAGTAAACTGACATTATTTTGTTTGTATTCTTATGATTTCTATTATTAAAATTTTTGTTATTTTAGTTTTTATTATTAATATTAATGAATATCAAAAAAAAAAAATAAAAAAAACTTCTTTTTGTTGTTATTTGATTTTGATTTAATTACCGCCATTTTTAAAAAACGTGAATTTGTTTACAGTTTTAACAAGAACAGCCTTGTTTCAAGGAGTGTTACATGAAAAGCTTAATTGAATAGCCCTCCTCTTGGACGCACTCGTAGATTTGTTTTGTTTGAGGACGGACATCCAACAGAGATAAATTTTAAAGAATTTTTTTAATTTGCATGGTACCTCTCATAATAAACGACGTCAAAAGTATGCCAATAAGAAGTGTACACTAACATAATTATTCCCAGGTTTATGTAAGATTATTATGAAATTCTATATTTTTTAGACTTGGTATAATCATGAAATCACTTTATATTTAATAAAAACAACATTTGTAACATAAAATTATTTCACAACTATACTTTTACATACGATACATCGAAAAAACAACGGGTATCATTTACATCATACCTATCGGTATATTAGTATTTACATACTAAAATATTATTTTAGAAGTTTCAAAGTTGTACAAAAAAATATGTATAACTTAATTTTAAATATTACCAGCCACTATACCCTCTCCAAAAACCTCCCTCTCCCCTCCCAAATCCTCTTTCCGCTCTCCCAAAACCTCCCTCCCCATTTCTTTGAAAACCTTCCTCTACACTACTGAAACCTCTTTCACCTATTCCAAAACTTCCTTCAACTCCCCCAAAACCCCTGTCTCCACCTCCAAAACCTCTGTCTCCACCTCCAAAACCTCTGTCTCCACCTCCAAAACCTCTGTCTCCTCCTCCAAAACCTCTGTCTCCACTTCCAAAACCTCTGTCTCCACCTCCAAAGCTTCTATCTCCAACTCCAAAACTTCTGTCTCCTCCTTCAAAACCTCTGTCTCCACCTCCAAAACTTCTGTTTCCCCCTCCAAAACCTCTGTTGCCTCCTCCGAAACCTCTGTTGCCTCCACCAAAACCTCTGTTGCCTCCACCAAAACCTCTGTCTCCTCCCCCGAAACCTCTGTTGCTTCCCCCAAAACTTCTATCCCCTCCACCAAAACCTCCATCTTCTCTCCTAAAACCTCCATCTACTCGCCCAAAACCTCTTCCTCGATTGCTTTGTTTCCAGTCGTTTTGTCGAGGCTCCTGATATCCTTGTCTCTTATTTTGTTGAAAACGCAATGGTGGGTTACTGTTACTTGTAGTACTTTGGTCTTGAAAAATCCTAACAAAAAATAAAATGGTTTTTGTTTTAAATCATATTTTTAAATAAGCATAGCGTTAAAAAAAATTGTCAATCTGTCTGAAGTTAAGCAATAATGTCAATTTTTATGTATACACCAAAAAATTAATGCTGTACAGTCAGTAACCAATGGTACAGGCAGAAAAATAAATTGCATCAAAATTAATTTCTTTCCCAGAATTCTTTTGTCTTATTTTTTTAAATAATTATAACATATATTATTATAAAATAAATAAATATATACATTATAAATTATTTTAAAAAAATTTAAACTATATTATTTAAAATATATATATTTTATATATTACGACGGAACGTTATTAAATGTTCTGATTTGTTTGTCGTGTTTTAGTTTAGCGCCACTTTATTTCACTTTGTTTTTATGTTTTTTCTTCTTCTCAAGATTGCACTCCATGGTATTTCAGATGAAATTTGATCCTTTCTTGTAGTCATCTGTTAATAAAGTTGTCTTTAGTGGTTTGGCTCAAAAACAAGATGACATTAAAGCTTAAATAATAGTCTTTTTTATTCTTTCCAATTTTATTTTTTGTAGGTGCTCTTGAAGTTTTCACGGTCTTATCACAGAGCAGCGCGGAAGAGCATTTAACGAGAAAGTTGCTAGAGGCGGCGTGGGATCTAGGACCTCGAGGTTCTGAGCAAGAACTCTAACCACTGCGCCACGGCTACATTGGTAGAGGGGTTAGATTTTCAACCAGATACTCGCCTTAATATTGAAATCTTTAATAAAATATATTATAAAGTTGACTTTTACTATCAAGGTCTTTAAAAATCACCTTTAATGTTTATGGCGGTTTCCAAAAAAACTCTTGGAGGGATAATTATATAAAGATGGTAGATTAACTTGACAAAGTATCAAAATCTTTTAATTTTGTTCGACGAAGATATTTAATTTTTAAAAGTTTGCGGAAAAACATCTTAAATCAGGAAGATTCGAACTCGATCAAAAAAAGAATACTAAAATAAATTAAAAAAAAAAAAGCCTATACAGAAGTTGTTTTGTAGATTGTTCCAATTTATACAGTCGATGTTTTGTAGATTGTTCCAATTTAGGAAGTAATAAGGGAGTGACAAGAAACTAAAAAAATATATTTAAAAATGGGAAAAAATAGTTTAGGAACAAATCAAAAAAAGAATTCATAAATAGTCATACATAAAGCAATATATCTTTTTGTAAATTGTTAGGAATTAGGCTTTGCCTAATTAAATTTTTTGACTAATAGCATTTTAAAATGCCTTAAAAAAGCTAAAATCATGAAAACTGCTGCAAAAAAATTTCTGTTTACAAAGATGTAAAAAAGATGTAAAAATGTAAACGAACTAGTTAATTTAGTTATAGTTAAGAGACAACAATTATTTTAGATAATTAAGAGAACTTAGAACACTTATTAAAAGCACACAAACTTTATTCAAAGAGAAGTTATTAAAAATATATCAGGTTTTAATAATATAAAAGTTCCAAGAGCAGTTTTTGATAACTTCCAAACGATGCTGGAAATCACGGTGACAAAAAGATTTCATTTTTTTGATCTGTTTAATTTTGATTTAATTTATGGTTAGGGTACCTACTCGAAATACCATGTGAGTGTTTGACAAAATTGAAAAACTAAATGTAAAAATGTAAACGAACTAAAGCTTAAATAAAAAAAAAATCCAATAAAAGACAAACAAAAAAAAAATAAAATAAAAATAATACATGCCTAAGAGCTACATTTATGCAACAAACTGAAAAGATGTTTATCAATTATTAAAAAAGTGTTTATCAATTATTAAAAAGTGTTTATCGATTATTAAAAAGTGTTTATCAATTATTTAAAAAGTGTTTACCAATTATTGGTCGAGGTTCTACGCTGGAAAAAGTTTTGTAAAGTTTGATTTTGATACGATTCAATTGGAGCTGAACAAATTGCATCAGCAGTCATTGTCAAAAGATAGATCCCCTATGGTACCATAAGACTTAGCCAGGTTACCAGTGGCAAACGGTTACCAAGTAACAAATTTTCATTAAAATATCCCAAGTCTATAAGTTTGTTTTTATATTTTTATTTATAAAAACTACAAATTCAAAAAAAAATTTTAAATAAAGCGACAGGGTCAATGTTCAGTTCAATACTGGCCTTTAATACACCAAATTGAGGAAATTAAGATCTAATTTGAACAATTCTTAACAGGGCTCTGACCGGTTGAGCCATATTTTGCACAAAAGTTAGTCGTAAATGAAAAGAAATTCTCCGAATTCTTTACGCTCTCAAAAGCTATATTTTTTTAGCAAAGGACACAGCTATTTTTGATTGCAAGAATTTGTAAGTACTAAGCAATCTCCTTTAAAAAGAACATTAAGCAAAATATTTTATAAAAATTGGAATTGATGGTAAAGGATCGTTTTGAAAACGAGTCTTTGCTTTATTTACACATCAAATAAAACTGATCGCATCGATCCCTCCACAGAAAATTCAAAAATTAATTAAGAATTTAATAGATTGAGATACTTGAGTCTGTTGATCACTGCAATTGCAGAAGTTCCAGAATCTTACAAAACCATCAAGACACTGCTGAATTTAATCAACACAAACAATTTTAAGTTTAAAATTTCATGCTGTTGTAAAACTGCTAATCTTTTGCGAGGAATTCAATCCTATTCAAACGATATTAGTGTGACATTGGTTCAGAAAATTTTTCTGACAGGGAAGTGTTGAATATATTAGGAAGTCGAATCATGATAGTTTTTTTTGCCTCTGGATTGAATAAGGAATTAAACATGATAAAAGCTACTTTGATCATAGCTAAAGACTATCAACTTTTCCTTGATTTGATACCACCAAGAACTTCATCTTCTTTGGGATTTAGTAATCATCTGTTCAAGAAGCATCTATAGTGTTATACAAAAGCAAGAGACTAAATTTCATAACTAAACCTTCAGATGCAGTCATTTCACATTTGTTGATTTGCCAGGAATGAGTGCAGTATCCTACCAAAGAATGTTGACATAGAATGGCAAAAAAATCCTGTGCATTTCAAGCAAGACATCAATTTTTCGGAAGCACTGTTGTTTGATAAAAATCCAACAGTTCAAGCAATCATGTCTCCGCTTGCTAGTCAAGAATGGGAATAATTGCTTGAACTGTTGCTATGACCCCTAAACCAAATGTGGTTTTGGCAGTAATCCAGAACTCATTAAATACCATGATACTTCATTTTAATTATTGAGCAGGTAACAGAATCAAAGCATTCAATATTCAAAGATCACTAAAAAAGATACAAAAAAAAAAAAAAAAAAAAAAAATCTCATCCTGATTATGGATCCAAGTTTTTCAGTGCATTATCAACTTTAACATCTAACAGTGGTAAAACTGTTGAAAAATCCTTTTAAACATAAAATATATAATGTTGGTGTTGTACAGTGGAGATTTATTTTAGTACTTCTCTCTTTTTAAACATTTTTTTAAACAAAAAATTCAAGTTAAAAGAAAAAGATTTTTATTTAAAATTTGCTATTTTAATTAAAATGTTAAAAATTGAATATTTCCCTCAGATAAAATTAATAGATTTTGATATTTTAAGTTAATCTACCATATATGCATAGTTATTCCTTCATATGATTTTCTCAAGAACCAATTCAAGCACTTAATCCTGATTTTTATAGATCATACTTTAATATAAGAAAAGATTTCACAATAACAGATTTACTCAAGATGCACCCATAAATGGGTCAAAATGTAGTTCTAGGGAAATATGTTTTGAAATGGGAAACTGTGAAAAGTGGAGTACCGCAAGTACCAGTTTGGTCCTTTACTTTTTTCAATTTTCATCAATTACTTAACACAGGGTTTAAATGACAAAACTAAATTCTACGTAGATGACATAAAAGTGATAGCAGAAACAAATCAAATCATTAAAAATTTGTAATTCCCTTTAAGATGATTATCTCTTTAAAATGAACTTTGACTAAATAGATAACAAATTTTAGTAGTGATAAAAGCAAGATAATGATATGCAAAAGAATAAATACACACTTAAGTACGATAAAAATAGGAACCTCTAGACAAAAATTTATTGAGACATTGTTAGAAAGAGACCGAGGAATTTTTCAAATGATTGAAAATAGGAACATTATATTAAGTCCTATCTAAACAAAGTAAATAGTAAATTGGGATTATTGAAAAACACGTTCAACTATGACAAAAATACAACGAAACTATAATACACATGGCTAGTGCAACCTCATTTAGAATACACATTTCAAATATGAAATCCATATTAAGCTAAAGATATTAATCTTATAGAAAGAGTCCAACAACGAGCAACTAAAATTTGTTTCCCAAAAAGTATTGAACAGCGAGTACAAAAATTGAAATTGGTTTTTTGTTGTTGTATGGTCAATATGTAAAAACGCAATTCTGGGCACAATATTTTTTATACTTACATAACATTAAAGAAACCCAATTAAAGCCAACTTTAAAGTGGTTACCGTTTAATTCTAATTAAATATGATTAATAGTTTGTAATTAAAGCTGAAGATACAGTATCAAAAATCTAGCAAAAATTTCTTAGATTTAATTAAAATAATTAGTATTGAGAGAATTCATAATTTAAAACATGTGTGAGTGTGTGTATAATAATCACTTATCAAATTTTTTAATTTTACACTGAAGACTCATCAGAAATCTGATGAGTCTATAGATGAATGAAAAAAAATTTGATAAGTGATTTTCTACTAATTTATTATTGCTCTGTTCTTTTAAGAACATTGAGCACTCTGTTTTGTAAAATACTTTTAAAATTAATTGTGCATATATGTATATATATATGTATATATATATATATATATATATATATATATATATATATATATATATATATATATATTTGAAAGTAACTTACGAATTTTTAGCATCAAAATTTCCAATGGCATAATTCTCTTTTTTTTTACCATAACTTTGACTTTGTATCATGTATGAACCAGTTTCACTGCGAGATAAAATTCCTAGGAGTTTTAATATTTCATTATCTTGTGAAGACAATGTATAAATTGTTTTAGGGTCATAGGAAACTTGAGCAATTAAATTCTCAACTACATTTCGAAAAGCAACTAATAGAGCAGCTTGTTGAAAAGACATCTTTATTTCCAACCTAATAATAAAAAAATATCAAACCGAAATAAAAATTTTTAACAAAGAAAAAAATATATATATATATTTATATATGTATATATATAAAAAATTATTTATAACTTACCATTCATCAATATTTACTGCTTGATGGCATGCTTCTGTCTTACATGGAGTAAACAAAAGATATTGAACAGGATAGATCATAGTTAAATGTTTGCAGCATACAACTTGTGTACGATTCTAAAAAGAACAAACAAACAAAAAAATCTAAATAACAAGCAAGAACTTTTTGTGACTAAAAACTCTATGTAATTTGTAATAAATACCTTTTCGCCAAATATAAAAAAAGGTGATGGGTAAAATGTTTTCTCATTTGAACAAACAACTGATGACTTATGAATAAGAGCATATTTTCCTTCAGTTGTTATAACCTTTCTTTTCTCCTGATGCATGCAAATATTAGGATACAGTCCTACACAGAGAACAGCAGTCACCTAAAAATTTAATTTTTTATAGTTAATATCCGAATACTTTATGAAGTTCAAATAGACATTCTGTTCAGACAAGCCTACTGAGGGTTTTAATGCCAATTTTGCTGGGAGTTTTAGTAACTGCTCTGTTGTGAGTGAAAATTAAAAAATAAATTATTGAAAATATCAACATACAAAATAATAAATGATAAATATACAGAAACTACAATATTGCATGTTTTTAGGTCATTTTTGGAATGCTAAAACTATTTCACAAAATGTTTTTTTTTTAAATTTACTGTCATTCAAAATTCATTTAACATTATAATACATAACTAATAATTCATTCCTGACAAATTATTTGCAATTAACCATAATAAATCATAATTAAACACAATCATAATTTAAAGTTTACTAACAGTCAAAAAACTTATTTTTATGTTTTAAGCAGATTTGCAGAACTAGAAAGTAGAAGAAAAAGAATTTAAATTAGAGCCCAGCCAAAAACTATAATGGAAGTGTACTACATCATTGTTATTACTATCAAAAAAATAGCTTGTTGCTTCAATAAATCTAAACTAAAGAGCCAAGGGATATTACCCCCATTAAATAACTATAAACTGAATGCAATACGCAAAAGTTAAGGATGATCACTAAAATTAAAGTCTTTTAAAGATTTTGATCAAACATCGTCAACATTTTACAGCTTTACAACTATAACTTAACTTTCACAACTAAACTAGTTTAACTCTCACAACCAGACAGTTTTAACTCTTACAACCAGACTAACTTAACTCTCACAACCAGACAGTCTTAACTCTCACAACCAGATAAATTCAATTTTCACAACAAGACAAACAGCTAAATGACTAAAAAAAAAATTATTTTTTAACTTTAACTCTGGTTTTGAAGAAAATCATTATATAAATTAAAATAATTTTTGTCAAACTTATTTTAACTTATTTGAGAATTTATTTATCAAAGTTTAAACAACATTTTAGGCTTTAGTTATTTTCATGATAAATCCAGTCTGTGTGAGACTTAGACACATTTAAAAAAAAATTGCAAAGTTAGTAATTCAATGTAATTGACAACCAACAATACCAAAATATTCAAGTCAAATGAGGGTTCTGAGAGATGTAATTTTTAGAAACAATTTAATAATAACAAAAAAATTATTAATAAAAAAACAACCAATTAAATAATAAAAAATATATATATTATAGAGCTCCAATCATCACTTATCATTAACATGTATATGTATTAATAACATTAAATTAAGAAATTAAAAATAGGGTCTATGTAAACAAAAGTTAAGCAAAAAAAATCAATGATCTTTATAATAAATCATGAAACCTAATCAGGAGAATTAGGATTACCATGATCACCCTGCTACTGGCAACATGTAATTTTACATGTTGCCAATAAAACATGTAAACAACCTGCCTCATGCCCTTCTGCCTTGTAGGATATTTGGTTTTTGGGCAAAGGCTGAGAGAAGTTAATTCTGACTTAGAATACTTCTTGTCTTAGAGGCTCTTGGTTGACTAAAGGCAAGAGACAGTGTCTCACCTATCTCTGCTAAATGTTAACTGCATTTGGTTGTATTGTAAAAGACCTACAAAGATGATGAATGATGGATTTTTTTGACTCAACTTTTTTACTTGTGCTTACTTAGTAGTGTTTATGCAATTCTTTCTGTAGTATTCTAATACAAATACATCTCTGAAACACAGTTTAATGGTTCTGAGGCTGGCTGTTAGTGATGTTTTATAAACTCTGTGGTAACTCTTAAAGAAACTGATTCCAACAGCAATAAAAAAATTAAAAAAATAAACATAAAAAAATTAAAATTGTTTCAATCTATTCTTACAAATATTCTTGGTCTTCAGAGAAACTTTTTATCCACTGAATCTTACCTCTTGAAAATTTACTAGACCTACTTGCTCTTTGTGAAACTAATTTAAATTCAGCTGTTTACTATTATCCTATTATCTTGTTTATCTATTATGTGACTAATAATCTTTGATTTGCAAAGATTTCAACAGTCACATCATTTAAAATCAGTTTTAAGTCTATAATTATTCTTTCACATGTTTTTGTTTAGCCCTTTTTTACACAATCACTTTTTTTTGCTTTTTTTTTTTAACCTTTTTTTTTTAAGACTGTTATTTTTTTGAAGTGGTTACTGATCAAATTTACCAATTCATTTTTTTTACTATTTCTTAGCTAATATTGCTGTTATTGGTGACTTAAATATTCATCACACTAGATGAGTTGGTTCTAGTACCACTTAACTTTGCTGACTCTAAACCCAAAAGTTTTGCTTTTCTTGATCTTATACACATGTAGTTATCATTGTGACCTGTTTTCTAGACAACACTGATCACTTACTTTCACTCCTTGATTTTTGAATAAATTAGCCCTTTTAAAAAACACTGATTCAAATGTCCCTAAATATTGTTGCAAGAAATCAATGCAAAAAGGTGCAAATCTGATGCTTAGGTCAACTATCTGATGCAAAGGTAAACTATTTTCAGATTACTAAACCTCATATTTTTTCTCAGATATTAGGTTTTAAAGACTTTTGGAAAATCTTACATTCCATCTCTCATATATGGGTTTAATCTTATTACTTCTCCTTAGAATAAGGCAAAAATACTTGCAAAGAACTTTTCCATGAACTTGAACTCTCTTGAGCCTAATGATCACATTCTTCCTTTCATTCCAGAGATACAGCTTTACTGTTGACAACCAAATCATTGCTTCATTTACTTAAATATTTCCACCCTGATAAATCATAGAAAAATAGTTTTTTATCATGATGTACAAAATAATTTTGATATAATATACATGTTTACTAATGGTATTGTTGCCATTAACTGCCAAAAAATTTAGTTTTAGAATATTGTTGATAGATAATTGATTTTGTTGTTAGCATATAATTATCAATATTACCCTTTATATGGAGTAACATTGACATTAGTACATTTTGTGCAGTACAAGTGGTGTAATTATCATAGTTGCTTTGACAAACAAAACAACTGATTCTGAAAAAGTCTCGCAGCATTTTTTTCTTGAAAGATGCATTTTTTTGGTGTTTTAATAAGTTTCAACAACCTCAAGCAAGGATATCTAAACCTGGTTAAAAGGTTAATTTATAACATAAAATAAAAAAATAATAGAATTTTTTTTGTTCTGTCTACCATACGAAAACTATTACCATTTATCTCTTCTGGGGCAAAACAGGTCGCCAACATTTTTCTTTTAGGCCTAAATTGAATAGCTACAATGCCAAAGACTTATGTAAAAATGCGAAAAAAGATGTGCAATGAGAAAGAGTTAAGGCAGGCTATTATAAAAGTGGAAGAAGGTAATGGTGCACAAAAAAAAAAAAAAATTAATTTTATATTTCCAATAAAACACTGAGAAAATGGGTGGTAAAGAAAGAAAAAATAGCAAGGTTTGAAGAACTGCAGTATTAACAAGAGCTTAAATATTAAAGATTATTAGTATTAAAAAGAATTAATTATTGTTTGACATCAAACCTTGTCTAATATAACCATTAAGTCTATGTCTAATATATTCATAAAGTTCTAATACAAGTATTATTGTCAAAATAGTATACATATAATAAAAAATTTATCAACGAAAAAAAAACGTAAAAGAAATAAATAAAAAAACCAAGGTAAAATGGCTAGAGAAAACACCTGAAACTTTTATTATTACCATATATTGTTTACCTTATTGTTAGCAAAGCCTTAAAGAACTATGTAGTGTAGAACTAACTTTAAAAACGTCAGAAATTTTCAGAAAACCAAAAAAATATGTATCCAGAAGCATCAAAGTACAAAAATTAACAAAAAGATCAACAAAAAGAAGCAACTAATACTTTTTTTCATTATCAAATTGAATCATTATTTACAAGCCTTCTCAGGAGACACATGCAGTCACATGCCTTATAAGACCAGGCATACAATATTTTGTTTTTATAAATTGACCATGGCTCTTTGCATGTTAATAAAAAAATGTGTTGAATAAAGAAATGTAAACTTAAACTAAAATTAAAAACAAACATATTATAAATTGGAAAGAGAAACAAAAATTAAAAAAAAAATCTAAACTATATTAAAAAAATAATAAACCAGAAAAAATACAAGCTTGAGTATATGTTTATTTTAACTTAAAAGTGTTTCACTACAAAGAATTTAGAAAAAATCAAATTTCAAAGTTATTAAATCCAAGCTTAATTACTTTGAAACTTAATTATTTAAAAATTATTAATTAAAAAGCTAAAATGCTTTTAAATTAAATGTTTGAACAATTGAGACAAATTAAAAAAATATATTAGTTTTTATGATTTAACTTTCTCTGGTTTTATTTTTTTTTTATACTATTTTATACTTTTATTTTATTTTATCATTCAATAAGCTTGTTTCTCATGTTTACGTTTTGTTTATTTTTAATTTTTTCTTTAAATTATATTAGTTTTTTCAGCATATTTTTTAAAACACATAAATTATCAATATATGCAAAAAACCATGGCCAAGTTGTCAAAAAAAAAAAAAAAATTGTATGCGTGGCCAGAAGACACATTTGACCGCATGCATCAAATTTTTGCTGAACATTAACTGAATCTTTTTAACAATCAAAAATCAAAAATCATAGTATGAAAAATAAAAACTTACCAGATCAAGTTGATCATCAGCTCCTCTGTAATTAAACTTATGGGGAAGCATACTTTCTTCAGGAAAGCCAAGTGCACACAACAACTCTTTTAGTTGTTGCTTGGCTTCTGATGTCATTCTGAGAACTTGTAAATTTAGCTCATTACTACGACAGAATCGCTCTTCAGCTGGTACACCACCAGCCCTAGAAAAAATTAAAAAGTTTTTAATAATTATAACTCAAAATATTAAACGAAAAAAGATTATTTACTATAAATCAAATTTTTCTAAATTATATTTCAAATTGTATTTATAAAAAAAATTGTTAAAATAATCCACAAAACAAATTTTAATTCTGAATTATGATGAACACAATTTAAACTTATTTAACAATTTAAACAATTAGTACTTGGCATCCTCCCACTGCTGGTAGGCCCATAACATTGCCAAATGATCACTGTTCTTAGATCCAGCAAATTTTTTGTGAACCCATTCTACATTTTTGCTTTCAGCTGATTTTTCAAAAGGTCCAAGAAAACACATACTTGCTGCTAGGGTACACACAGCATCACCAACACTACAGTTTAAAAAAAAAAAATTAAAAAAAAAAATTATACACATAAAAATATGTATATAAATACAGTTCATAATGAGAGTTTGATTTAACCGGTGTTCAAGTTATTAGGAAATAACTATAAATGCATGTATGTATTTATAAAAGTAGGTAAGATTTTGATTATTACAGCATATGTAATTTATATAACCATATAAATAACATTTGTATTGGTGAATCGATTTGTCTGTGCAAATGCTTTCAGTGTGAAAAAACAAAAAAAGAGAACCTTAGTCTTCTAGCAGATTTGGTATTATTTAAACATTTATGTATTTATTCTTTTTTTTATGTTTTTTTTTACTCTTTAATAAGTGAAACATTCTTCCATTATTAAATTATGTGCATTTGATGGTTAAAAATATAGAGCAGTATTGTCACCTTATATATAAAACCCTTATAAACGCACAATAAAAAAATGTTAAATATGTTGGTTTATATCAATATCTGTGTGTACTTTGTCTTGCATATAACATCTTACTGATGACACACATATAGCTACTTTAGCATGATGACATACTGAAACAGCTGTGTGTTTGTGTGTGTGTGAACAAACAAACTTTTATAAATTATTAAACAACTCATACTTTAAAATGCAACCGAGAACCATCATCTTTCCTAATTTAGGTTCAATTGGAAGTTTTGATAGAATATAACCAAGTGGAGTTAAAATTTCATTTTCTTCAAGAGCTTTCATTTCTTTTAGTAACTCTAATGAATCAAAAACAGCATCCATTGCAGGCGGCTCCATTGCTTTGTTTAGAATGTCAACCACTTTTCCTAATTTTAATAGCTTAATACTCAGCACTAAAATATGAAGTGGTGTCCGCAGTATCTCGGGAATCATATATTTTGCTAATCTAAAATATATTTAGTTACTTTTTAATTACATTTCATCGATTTTAGAAAAACAAAAACATTTTACAAAAGTAAAACATACAAACAGCTGCTTTATATTATATTATCATATTATGAAGAACTGAATGTTATATAAAAAAAATTAGAATGTTGTATAACAAAAATTAGAATAAATTCTAAATTAAAAAAGAAAAAATAGCATGATAAAAATCAATAGTAATAATAAAATTAAAATGTTGGAATAGAATTAACAAAAAATTATTTAAAAAAATATATATATACTTTTGATAACGAGCTTTGCTGATAAGATGAAAACAAAACCCAGGTTGGACACGACCAGCTCTCCCTTTTCGTTGATCAAGATTAGATTGGGAAGCCCATAAAGTAGAATAGTTATTCATGTTATTATGTGAAGTAAATTGTTTGACTTTAGCTCTAAAGATTACAAAATCATTTATGTACACAAAATTTATTATTATAACAGAACTTAAATTAGTAATATAACAAGCTTAATATAAATAACAATAACAATAAAAACACAACTAAATAAACGTAAACTTAATTAAACAAACAAACAAAATAAAATTAACACAAATAAATATATATATAGTATGTTATATTAGAATTTTTGTTGATCCAGATTAGATTGGGAAGCCTGTAAAGCCTCCCCCCACACACACACACACACACAAACACACAGATATATATATATATATATATATATATATATATATATATATATACACACACACACACACACACACACACACACACACACACACACACACACACACACACACACACACACACACACACACACACACACACACACACACACACATACATACAGTATAGGACAAAACAAGTGCAACAAAATAATGCTAATTTAGTTTCTTTATATAAAAGTGCTGCATTTTTTCAATTTAGAGAAATAACTATATAATTGTTTAGAGACAACGTTCTTCAAGTTTTATTCATCACAAAGTTCATTATTTGTACACGAAAATTAATAAATTAATCAAAAGTATTAAAAAAAAGTTGATTTCCTTCCGGACAAAACAAGTGCAACTCCACAAAATGTTGACCAAGCTGTATTTTGCTATCAATATTTCGTGGCGAATCCTTTGTTGTCGATCACAGCCTTGCATCTTCGAGGCATAGATTTGATCAGGTGATCAATGAAACTTTGTGGAATCGCTGCCCAGGCCTTCTGGATTTGTTCAAACAGTTGATCCTTATTACGAACACCTTCACAATAAATTCTGCGGTTGACAATCTCCCACAGGTTCTTGATAGGGTTGAGATCCGGAGATTGAGGCGGCCAATCCATTACCCATAGGTGGTTGTCTTGAAATCACTGCTTGACTACATTTGCGATGCGTTTCGGATCGTTGTCTTGCTGAAAAACCCATTTTATTGGCATATTCCATTCAGCATGAGGTAACATAACATCTTTCAGGATATTTTTATACATGAAACGGTCCATTAATCCATCGATTTGATGTATTGGACCTAGACCATTAGCAGAAAAACACCCCCAGACCATTAAATTGCCTCCACTATGCTTCACGGTCTTATAGCAGTAATGTAAATTGAGGTGTTTTCCGACCGGTCGACATACACGGCAAATGCCATGGCTCTCAATGATGTTGAACTTCGATTCATCACTGAACAGGACAGTTCGCCATTTCTGCACATTCCAGTCAATATGAGATGTAGCAAACAGGAGTCTTTTCTTCTGGTTCTTTAGTGAAATCAGCAGTTTCTTTGCAGGGCGTCGAGAAAACAATCCGGCTTCAACAGCACGTCGTCTGATTGTTCGGTCCGATACAGGCAGCTCTAATTGCTTTTGTATCTCAACTGATGATATCCAGGGATTCTTATTGACGGATCTGACGATCATAGAATCCTCTCTAGAAGTGGTGGAACGCGGTCTTCCACCTTTGTTATCTGCTGCCAATTTCCCCGTAGAACGATATTTGGAACATAGTCTTGATACGGTTCATTTTTTCACGCGATATTCATCGCAAATACTTTTTTGTGACATTCCACTTACGTAATCGCCAATAATTTTTTTTCTTAGTTCCAATCCAAGACTGTCTGGAGCCATTTTTGCACTTGAAGTCAAAAAAATAATAAAAATAAATAACCACGCTTCTCAAAGCTTACCATGTTACATTTACCTTGTGATGATACAATAATGCTCTGTGGAAGACGCCTTGGTTGGATGTGGACTGTATTGATGCAATAAAACACCAAAAAAGTTGCACTTGTTCTATTCGCTGCAAAATGGAACTTGTTAAAGAAATTCAGCCTGCGTGCTCTGTGTATTCCCTGTCAGCTGATTGCTCATGTCATGGCATGCTATGACTCCAGACTTCTGAACTTTTTGCTGTGGTAGTATAGTTCGTTTCGTTTTTAAGACATGTAAAATTAGGAACACTTTTTAGCATTGTTCAATGTTGGCAACAAATGTTTCGTCCAATACTGTATGTATACATACATACATACATATATATATATATATATATATATATATATATATATATATATATATATATATATATATATATATATATATATATATATATATATATATATATATATATACATATACATATACATATACATATATATATATATATATACATATACATATACATATATATATATATATATATATATATATATATATATATATATATATATATATATATATATATATATATATATATATATATATATATATATATATACAGTAGCGTCCAAAAGTTTGCGGACAGGCAAAAAAATAAGGAATTTTACTTAAATTTCAGCACATATTTCACTAAAGCCAACATATTAAATACCAATTAAAAAGTTTCCAAGTTAACAATTATGTTTTGAGCAAATAATGAATATTTAATTATCATTTTAAAATTGGTTAACAAAATGGCGATTTTTGATAAGTTCAAAAGTTTGCGGACAAACTAACGCTTTTAACATTTTCACCACAAAATAGCTAATTTGTTGATTTTCTAAACAAATACTTTGTGGAAATAATTTCAAAACTTTATATATAAGTGATTGAGATCATGGGATCTAAGAAATGTATTTCATCTCCAGTAAAAAAAATTGATCTTGAGATCAGTTCAGAATGGAAACTCGTTTCGTAAAACAGCACAGCTTTATGGAGTTGGTAAGTCTGCTGTTGGACAAATTATGAAGAGATTTGAGCTTACTAGATCTACAAAGAATAAAAATCAATCAGGAAGGCCATGCAAAACAACGCATTATCAGGATAAAAAGCTTGTAATACTAAGCAAAGAAAATCCCCGTTTGACAGCTGTCGATTTAAACGTACAAATGAGACGTTTCTATGGAATGAATTGTAGTATTTCTACTATAAAATGTCGTTTACATCACGCTAATTTGTTTGGAAGACGCCCAGCTAAAAAACCATTAGTTTCCTTAAAAAACCGTAACGCCCGAATGGAATTTGCATCAAAACATCTAAAGTGGAGTAGTCAAAAATGGTCAAAAATTCTTTTTAGTGACGAAAGCAAATTTATGCTGTTTGGATCCGATGAAATCAGGTATGTTTGACGTCCAGTAGGTACTAGGTACAATCCTAAATACCAACTGCCTACCGTAAAACATGGAGGAGGTAATGTAATGGTTTGGGGATGTTTTAGCCGAAATGGAGTTGGTCCTCTCCATAGAAATACCGAGAATATGAATCAAGAAAAGTACAAAGATATATGTAAGACTATTATGTTACCATATACAAAGGATAAAATGCCTCGAGGATGGATTTACCAACAGGATAACGATCCCAAACACACAGCTAAATTGGTTTTAGAGTTTTTTAAAGAGAGTAAAGTTAATGTTTTGAAGTGGCCATCCCAATCACCTGACTTAAATCCCATTGAACATCTATGGGAACATGTTGACCGTCAAATGAAAGGAATTAAGCCTACAAATTATGCTGATTTATTTAATAAAATCAAAGAATTATGGGACTTAATTCCCATTGATGTTTGCATTAATTTAGTTGACTCTATGCCTCATAGATGCCAAGCTATTCTTGATTGTAAAGGATATCCTACAAAATACTTATGTGATTTTGCTTTTGCAAAAATTTTGATCAAATATTGTTGAAATATTTTAACTATTTTAAAAAATAATGCTTTGTCCGCAAATTTTTGAACTTATCAAAGACCGTTGATTTGTATACCAATTTAAAAATATTATTTAGATAATAATTATTTGTTCAAAACCTAATTGTAAATTTGAAAACCTTTGAATTGGTATATAATATGTTGGCTTTAGTAAAGTATGTGCTGAAATATAATTAAAATTCTTTATTTTTTTGCCTGTCCGCAAACTTTTGGACGCTACTGTATATATATATATATATATATATATATATATATATATATATATATATATATATATATATATATATATATATATATATACACACATATATACATATATATATATATATATATATATATATATATATATATATATATATATATATAAATACACACATATATACATATATATATATATATATGTATATATATATATATATATATATATATATATATATATATATATATATATATATATATATATATATTAATCCATTTATCTATATTTTTTTTGCCTGTCCGCAAACTTTTGGACGCTACTGTATATATATATATATATATATATATATATATATATATATATATATATATATATATATATATATATATATATATATATATATATATATATATATATATATATTAATCTTCTTCATTTAGCCAGCGCTGAAAAAAAAATGCTTTTATTTTTTTGGTGAGCATATAAAAAAGCACTTGCAAAAAAAATCAAAGCATTTTTTTAAAATTGCAAAAAATCTTGTTTTGTTTGTCAAATTGTTTGAAAAAGTCTGAAAAATATTTTAAAGAAATATCGGGAAAAAGTTCCGCAAATATTTTTATTAAATACCCCCCAAAAAAATTCTTTGTTTAGAATGTCAACAACTTTTTCTGATTTTGATAGCTTAATACTCAGAATTCCGGAAATATCTGAAAAAAGATATTCTGGTCAGCGCTTTTTTGTGCGCTGATGTTAAATTTCAAACAGAGAAGACTGATTTAGGTTAGAGTGGGGCTAGTTGAGCCCTATGCTCAAGCTATTGAGCAATTAAAATATCTCCAAAAAAAATGCATCACATGAAAAAACATCCAATGGATGAAAGTTAGGCCTTGTTAACAACTCTGAAAACAACTGACTAATAACATCAAATAGTTAGCTACTAGTTAGTTAGTTACCAAAAGCTATCTACTAATCAAGCTCAAAAAAAAAATAACTGCTTTTATTAGAGTTAAACTGAGTGTTAATTTTTCATTCATCAGGAATGAACAATAAGATAAATGAACAAACTAAACAAAGTTCTCTGTGGTAACTATTATCAAACTATCTTTGCACTTTGCACACAAACATTGCTAACAATGGAACTTTAATTCAGAACAAAAAAATTTTTAAAGTATTTAAAATATATATATATTTGTATATAAACAAATTTTTTTAATAAAACTAAAATGAAAAATTTAATAGATAAATATAAATAATAAAAAAAATACATACTTGCAAGCATCAATAACAAAAACAACATCATCTATTGTTATACTGGTTTCAGCAATATTGGTTGACAAAATTATCTGCAATTAAATAAAAGAACTAATATAACACAAAACAAAAATCTAAAAGAAATTTGACAAATTTATTGTTTAACTGTCTTATCTTTACTTTTGTTTGAGATTAAGTAGAATAGTTTATTAGAAGTTTAGATATATTGCAAACAAAAACGATTGAGACGAGAAATTTATCAAGAGATATGTTTAAACAAGAGTTTTGATATTTTGATACAATTTCAATAACAACCTTTTGAACACCATGAGGAGCTGGCTTAAAAACTTTTGCTTGATCTGCCCTTGGAATTTGTGAATGAAGAGGAATCAATAAATATTTTTGAGAGCCTAATAAAAAAAATAATTATAAAAATAATAACGCAAAACAATTAAAAACAAAACAAAAAACCTGTCAGCAACAATAAAGAAAAAAAATTTATTGCGAAACATTACTTTCTTCAAATGTGTTTTTAAAAATAAAATGTGAGAATTAACCAAAAACTTGATGCTGCTGAAGATGACCCAAAAGTTTGAAAATCGCATTCCAACCAGGTAAAAATATTAAAACAGCTCCAGGATTTTCCAAAGATGTAATGTGTAGTAGCAATGCCTAAAAAAAAAAACTCATTAAAAAAACAAGTTAGATTAAAATCGTTTTAATAAATTATGTAAATATTTTGCATTCAGGTGTGTGTGCACGCATGTGTTTATGAGTGTGTGTTTACATTTGTATGCATGTGTGTATACATTTCTAACAACAATCATTTTCAAAAAAAATAATAATAATAACTAACATTTGAAGACAGAATGGATAACAATTTTATAGCAATATATAACCTGAGGCAAACAAACTGTTTGCCTCTGTTAATCAAAAAAGATCCTTTTAAAATAATATATAAGTTTATTTTTCATATACTATATGCTTGAACTTTTAGTGCTAAGTACAAATATTTAGCAGTAAACATAGCAATAAATGAATTGTTTGTTTTGATTCTGGAATATCTTTATCTGATAACATTTAAAGATTTGCAAGCTTAGGAAAATCCTTTTTAATAAATTAGTGTTGCATAAAAGTAGTCACAACTTGAAGCACAAAAAAAAAAAAAAAAAAAAAAAAAAATAAAAAGCAAAAACAAACTTGTTTTTATTTTTATGTACTCAGGCTTGGTCGGGAAGCGGGAGCGATTGCTCTTGAATACTGACCAAGGAAATACTGACCACGGAAAACTGGCCAGGTTTTTTAGTCGTTTTGAGAAAAAACAAAAAATACGGACATACATGGAAACATAAAAAACTTGAGTGTTCTCAAAACATCTTTGTGACTAAGTATAAAAAGAATATTCGCAAACTCTAAAAACCCGCCAAATTAACGAACAAACTAATTCTATTAGTTCAAAAAATACGCTGACTAAGCAAAATAAAGTTATAAATAGTATTATTCGCGATTTGTGACATTTTGAGATTTCTAGCATAGATTGTTTTAAGAATATATATTATCAATTTTATGACTCATTCTCGTAGCCACATCTGCAAAGCTGTAAATTATATAAACTATTATTATTTGATTACAAAAATAAATGTTTTAAATATACATTTTTTCAAAATTTTGAAAGTTTATTATAAATTATAGATTTTATTAGTACATACTTATTTTTTATTTAAAGAGTATGTATTTTTAATGTAAATGTAATTTTGTGTATCTTTTTTTTATCAATTTAATTTGTAAACAGAGACTTACAAAAATAATTGTGTTTTCAATGAAGTTATTAATAATCATTAAAGTTAATAAAACTAATTATGTAACAAACATATAAGAAGTTTCTGGTTACTTAACACAAAAAATGCATACAAAGTAACTCGCGGATGAACAAGCACCGCGCCTGAGGTCATGACAGAGCACAAATATATATAGCAAGTTATTAGATATAAAGAAAAGTTTACTAAATCTAATTATTTTTGCTCAAGTTGCTATTCTTAAAAACTCTTTATACTTTTTTCAGCTTTAAATACTAATTAAAACTAAAAAATCCACTCACTAAACATCATCAGCAATATTGTGAAGCAGTTTCGCTTCCTCGTCATACAAGTGTTTTTAACTTTTTTAGTTGATTTCTTTTCTATCTAGTTAATTTAATTTCTATAGTAATTCAATGATTTAATTATTTCATTTGTTTATCTTACTAAGAAGAATTGTTTCAAATATGTTAAACTTTTCAAACTACGTGAAACATAAAATAGGTATTAAAAAAATTAACTTTTTTATTTATAAAATAATTTAGCTTAGATAAAACTAAAACTTGCTTTGATAAATAAAGAACATTTGAGTCCTTTTTAAACAAACGTAAGATATTACTTTATATCAAAAACGTCGCTTAATTTTATAAAAAAATTATAAAAGAGCAATGTTTCGAAAATATTTGTTTTAAACGTAACTTATTTTGCTTTAAGTTTTTTTTGTGTTAAAAGATATTTTATTTTCCTAATTTTTTTTTTGTAATAGTCTCTCACCGGTCCAATTAATCTTTAGCGCACTTTTTTTTGCTTTTTGAAATGCTCTCAAAACGACTAAAAAATCTGGCCAGCTTTTAGCAACTAAATATTATTTCCGTGGTCAGCAATCAAGAGCCATCGCTCCCGCTTCCCGATCAAGCCTGTGTACTAGAAGATACTTTTTTGTTTATTTTGGAAAAAGAATTTTAGGAACAAGAAAAACTCAAACGCAAACATCTCTTTAAATCAGTGCCTCTCACAAATCAGCCAAAAGGGCGTTAATTTTTCTTCTAGAAATTTAAATTTAAAAAAAGGCTATTTTAAAATTATTCTATCATTTACAATAGTTTACTTTTAATTTGTTTTCGACATCAACATACGACAGTGTTGTAAAAATAAACAAATGCAAGTATAAAATATAAAATCTATAATACTCTGTACCACAATAAGTCCAATAGAGATTTCAGTTTCAGAAATTTGAGCCATGACATTTTTTGTTTGAATTGAATATTCTGCACCACAAACTGTGTTTAGATTTACCTAAAAAAAATTGTTAAATTAATTTTTTTGTTTTAATACTAGCAAAATTCAAATAGGTTAAATTTAAAATACCTCCTCCTCTATGTCAGAAACCTTTTTCTTTTTTTTTTCAGGGATGGGAGGATTATATCCTATTAATTGAATAATATCTTCCAAAAAGTACTCTAATAAGAAATAAAGACTTTGTATCAATGATATGAAGTTTATTAAAAATAAAAATTTATTAAAATAAATATGTTAAAAAAAAAATTAAAAAAAAAAATTATAATTAAAAAAAAAAAATTACTAAAGTTAATAACGAAAGTATAAAACAAATGTGAACACTTACTAAGTATAAATTATTGTTTAATCTAAAATTGCAACTTTTATTTGTTACTATTATTTTCTTATTATATAGTAATTTCCAACATGAGTTTGTTACATAGTCATTTGTTCAACATAAGTTCACAAACATAGTCTTCATAATTGTTTATTCCATCAATCAAAAACATTTAGCATTTTAATAATTCTATAACTTTGCTACAAATTTAATAATTTGACTATTTGTTTTTTAACTTTATTGTTTAATAAAACCATTTATGGTCAGTTTTGTATTATGTATTTTAATAGTTAAATACACTGTCTAAATATTAAAAAAAAATTTAGTTATAGTCGTTTCAAAATGTTGAAAATATATTTAACCATCAATATTTACAAAATTAACTATCAATACATTGAACCATCAATATTTACACAATTAACCATCAATACATTGAACCATCAATATTTACACAATTAACCATCAATACATTGAACCATCAATATTTACACAATTAACCATCAATACATTGAACCATCAATATTTACACAATTAACTATCAATACATTGAACCATCAATATTTACACAATTAACCATCAATACATTGAACCATCAATATTTACACAATTAATCATCAATATATTGAACCATCAATATTTACACAATTAACCATCATTACATTGAACCATCAATAAAAAGAATCAGAAAATTTCTTATTTTATAATACTATATTTTGATTTATACTTTTTTAAATTGCTATTACAATCCTCTTTTATCCTTTTAAATTCAAAACACAAGCGCTGACAAATCAAAAGCCACTGCATGGAGAAGAAAAAATGAAACTGTTAAAATAGTATTTAAATAAATAATGCAGTTTATTTTTATAAAATGCTATTATGATATATAAACACTAGGGATGAATTAATTCAAATTTATCAAATCGCAAAAGAATTTTGAAATAAAATAAAAAAAGCAAATTTGCAACATCAATTTTTTGTCATAAATTTGTTACTGATACAAAACAGGCTTGCACTTAGCTATCAACTAGATAGTCTCATGTGCTTTGTTTTTAAACCTTGTTGAAATATAAAATAAAAAATGTTAAATGTATAGTAACCCATGATATATACAAAATATAATTTTAATATACAAAATGAACTTTTAAAATATAAATTGAATTAAGATAAAAAAAAAGTAAAAAAAAATAATTATAAAAAACAAAAACAAAAAAACCTTGAACAGGGTGTAAAAAGCCATCAATCTCAAGAACTGGACAGTTGTTAAAATATTGTGAAAATATGTTTGTATCGATTGTAGCGCTCATTAAAATTATTCTAAGATTCGGGAACACAGATACCATTTCACGAAGAATTATAAGAAGAAAATCTGACTAAAAATATATTTTTTTTTTAAATAAATAACAAGTATAAAAAAAAATAAAATGTTTTTAAAAAATGTTGGTTTAGAAAATTACATTAATATCTCTTTCATGAATTTCATCCACAAAAATGTGAGAAATGCCAGTCAGCCCATTTTCCATTCTTCGCAACAAAACTCCTGTTAAAAGTTATACATACATATAAATCATATATAAACATATACACATATACATGCACACACACAACACAACACACACTTACGCGGATGTCACTTTTGTGACTCTTCTATCTCTGATACACGCACACACATATTTATATAGTATTTTAAAGTGACCTATTTCAAATCACTTAAATTTTGCTACTTATGTTAAAAGTAAATTAAATTTTTAACAAAACTAGCATATAGAAAAGCAGAACTTTAGAATGAATTGTGTAAAAAAACTGTGATAGTTTTTTGAAAAACACACCCATTTTTAGTTGTGTTTGGATTTCTAAAGAATAATTTTTAAACCTCTCTGATAAGGAGCTTATTAATTGCAATTTTACTGCAACTATTGTCGATAATAAATCTTGCTTTTTTAAAATCTATTGTGAATCTAATCTCTAATTTTTTTTCTGAAATTTTTGAAGAATTTTTAAAAGCACAATGTATGACACTTTCACCATCTCTTCTTCTTCCTCAGCACAGTCATTAAAAAGTCTCAAATTTTTCAACCTAAGTAATGTGTCTTTTGCAATAATCTATCTTTCTAAAACAATTGTTTACAGTGTTTGCATATAGACTATCATATTGTATGACCAACATTTGTATATATATGTAAAAATATAAGTATATATATGTATACATATACATACATACATACAAAAATACATATATACATATTGATACCAAGCCTTCCCAGGAAGCGCACGAGGTCGCACATTTTGTTTGTCCACGTTTAAAGTAAATTTTTTAGACACACTTTTAGTACGCATCTTTTAACTTTTAAAGCATTTCAATAATTCGCGGCAAAAAAGCTAAACTTATATACTGAGAAAAAAAACAATTCTATAAAAAAAAAAAAAAAAAAATTGTTATGAAATATCAAACTTCAATGAAGGAAACTAGAAAAATTTAATAATTTAAAAAAAGAAAATTAAAAAAAATCTTTTGCTTTTAAAATTCTATACAACTTTTGTATATTATTTTAAGGTTGGTAGTTATTTTTAGTTACTGAATTTGCAAGTTAAGGAAAAAAACATATTTTATAATAATTTAACAACAATTGAAAGTTTTGATTTGCAATTTATTCACAAATTTTTATCAGCCCACATAATCAAGAAATTAATTTGCTATGTACACTGAGCTATGAGAAATTTTGTTAAATTTTTTTCTTACGCTTATTTGATTTTGCATCTTTTCGCTTTTAAAAATGTTTTTGCAAAATTTGACATTTCTCTCAATACTTATATAATATGAAAATCAGGAAAAAAAATTGCTATTTATTTGTAAAATATATTATTTGATGAATAAATTTTGTAATGATGGAAGTAATTAAATAAAAGAATAGCAGTTTCTTTATTCTCTGTTGTTTCTTATAGCTTTTTTTTGCTGCAAATTCATAACACGCTTACTATATAAAAATGTGGTCAAGTTGCATAAAAAAATTACTTTAAAAGTGGACGAACAAGGTGTGCGACCACACGCTTCCCAGGAAGGCTTGGATATTGTCTTTTTTTATAATATCTTTTCTTGTTATAGTATTTTTATTTCATTTGAATATTGGTTTGAATGTACGTTTTGTTGCATGTATGTAATATAAATATTTAAATTTTTTTTTGTTTATTTATTATAACCATTTTTTAATTATAAATTTATATAGTATTTTAAATAAGTAAAAAAATTACCATATTAATTATTATCAGGAGGAATTTTAATTTAAAAAATTAAAATACCCTCTGATAATTATAAATACTGACAGGCTTATAAAATAGAACTAATTAAAAACACTTTTTAACTTTTTTTGTTCATAAACTTACATAAGTGTAAGTGATATGGAGTTCTCAAAACTATTTAAGAACTCCATATCTCTTATTCTTTTGTAAATTTCTAACATATAATAAAACATTTTAAAATTTTCATGCCTTTTTTTTTCAAGGTTTATTTTTTATTTACCTGTGGTACAAAATAATATAGATCCATGACTTCGAGGTAATATGCTATCAAATCTAACAGAGTAGCCAATACTATTTCCAAGAAATTCAGAGCGCTCTGCCGCAACTCTTTCTGCAACACTTGTTGCACTTATGCGTCGCGGCTATAAAAAAAAACAACCCTAAAGTTATACATTTTTAATTACTTAAATAAACTTTTATACAGTACAGGGCTTAAAATAGTTGCTATACATTGATGCCTCCTAACTATTGTCAAGATTTTCCAAAGGGGGGCAACCAACCATTGTTCATTTTGTTAGAAAATTAAATAGTAGTTTGTTGCCTCCCTCAAGTGGATCTTGAGGATGGTCTAGGAGGCACCAATGTCTGGCAACTGTTTGGAGACCTGTTGTGTATTTACTCCTTTAAACTTTTTACTTGACTCATTTTTACAAATATACATTTATTAACATAAATTAATCGATAATTTAATTCATTGATATATTAGAATTTTTTTCAAAAAATGAAAAAATCAACCTGAGTAACAACAATATTGCATTGATCTCCAGCACTTTTAAGTATGAAATCATCCAAAATATATTGTGGTACCTAAAACGGTTGTTTCAATATAATTTTCAACAATTTTCAATGATCTGGATTATTAGGAATAGTTAAGGAATTACAAACTAGAATGATATGTAGTGTAATATGTGTTTATTACACTTCAGATGGTTTCAGTTCATAACTCCTAATACTTTCTAGTATTCATATACAGTGTAATAGAATATATAATTTATTATACTGCATATCATTCTAGTTCATGACTCCTAATGGTTGCTAGCATTCATATGCATACATAATAGACAGTATATTTATTACAATGCATATCATTCTAGCATATAACTCCTCAAGGTTGCTAGCATTCATATGCAATGTAATAAGCAGAATGTTTATTATAATGCATATCATTCTAGTTCATAACTCCTAATAGCTGCTAGTATTCATATGCAGTGTAATAGACAGTACATTTATTACAATGCATATCACTCTAGTTTATAACTCCTCAGGGTTGCTAGCATTTATATTCAGTGTAATAAGCAGAATGTTTAATACACTGAATATCATTCTAGTTCATAAATCTTAATAGCTGCTAGCATTCATATGCAGTGTAATAAGCAGAATGTTTATTACACTGCACATCATTCTAGTTCATAACTCTTAATACTTGCACTGCATATCATTCTAGTTCATAATGGTTGACAGTATGCAGTGTAATAGGCATGACAATGTTAATTCCAGTGTTATAAGTTTAACAACTTATAACACTGGAATAGAACATTTTTACTTGAACAATTATTTTCAGAAAACATATTAAAATGAAATTTCTAAACAAAAACTGAAAATAGACCTAAATCTGAAACAGGATAAAAAATCAACAAATGGAAATCATTTATTCTTTAACTAACATCTTTTTTGGCTTATTTATCAATTACAATAAATAAATATATTATGTAATAACAGAATTCAACAAATGGAAGATTTCCTTGGAAGTTCTAGTGCTAGTTAATTATAACTTGATTCTGCATCAAAGCACCAAAAAATCATTGAAGAATCTAAATACATCATTAAACAATCTTTTCAGTATTTTGAAAATAAATGATTACTTAGTCCACTTAAAGATTGAACAATAAATTTTAGCATTGTGAAAAGATGTTGTTTTGTTTTAAGTTTCTAAATAAAAAACTTTGTCATAGAAACTTTTCACACCTCCTCTATTACTTAGTGGTGTCGCAATTGAATAATAGCTGTCACATTTGGAGCATGGTCAAACCTGACAAGATTGGAGCATGGTCAAACCTGACAAGAATTTTTTTCCTTTTCTAAAACACCCAAGATGCTTACTACTTTTAATCAAAAAATTTGAATGAAAATTTGATTTTCACTGTGGAGAGTTTAAGTAAAAAAATACAAATGGTTGGCTTCTGGTTTAAACTTCACTTAAGCAGTTGACTCCAGTATCTAGTTAATTTTTTTTTTTTTTTAATTTAAATTTTGCAGCAAACAGTGCTTTCTACTCTCATTTACATTTGTTTAAAGTTCATTTTTTTATCCAAAAAAAATAATTATAGCTTATATTACTTAAGGCTGCTTTGATGTGTCTCATAGTAAATATCTAGGTTTTTTTTTAAAGGAAAATTCCCTTTTTACTGCTGCTTCAGCTCACAATTCACATTCTTCACCACTGCTTTTAGAAAACTTTTTTTTCTTTCATCAGTTTGAGAAAAGACATTTCTACTTTATTTGTCCCAATTTTCATTTTTAAAGGCAATTTACTATTTCATGGCCTTTACAAATAAAAAGTGACTCAAAGTTATTTATTTAGTTGTGATAAAGTGAAAATAAAGCAATATAAATTAGTGCATCAAATTTAAATGCAAAATCAGTCTTGATAAACAATAAATATAATTTTTTTAAATGCATATCTAAAAGTTGTTAGTACAACGTCAAGTAATTCAAAAAATATTTTGTAATTTCATATAATGGTGTAACAGGAAAATCACATATATTAGAAGAACTAACAACCTCTGATATAGAATCAGTATACAGATCAGATAAATTTGATCAATATGTTTACAAATGCCATAAACTACTTTTTAAGTTATTTTCAATGCTTAACCTTTTCTATCAATTTATTCCTTGCATATAAAGCTTGTTTACATAAACATGAAAAAATGAATTGTTATATTATTCTGTAATATAAATATATATACACACATCAATATCTTTGATATTGGTGTGTGATTAGATATGTAATTAAAAATAAACATTTAATAATAATATTTAAAATAAATATATTTATTTTAAATTCCATATCTAATCATCAATAATATATACAGTAAGAGCCTTTTTGTGTCCTTGTTGTTAAGCAACAGCTTGCACAATTAAAAAAAAGCCTATTAGCACTAAGTTAGTAGCACAAATGAGGTAACACTTTTAAAACATGTGTGGACAGGCATTGTCATGGAAAATATGAACTTTGTTGTACCCTGGCTGTTTTAGTTTCACATGAAGTTTTTCGGGTTGACCTCAGTAGATTGTTGATACTGTTGTGCTGTTTGGTGGAAGCAATATGGAGCGTCTCAAAAGCAACATTATAGGGTATATTTTTTGGCATTTGTTTCAAACCTAGTCACTAACTGGTGTGTTTTACACTAAGTACCTACTTTTTATATCCAATGATGATATGGTCAACCCAGCTGAACATGCAGTGCAAGAGATTCATGTGTCTCTTTGCTATCTTTGCCTACTAGCTTTGAGTCTGTGTAGTATCTAACATCAGGCTTCATAGTCTTCCCTAACTTAGGCAAGTAACATGCATACACATATATACACAGTACCATGAACACATCCAAATTTACTTACTAAGCAACATATAATTAATCTTGGATTGCTTTCAATTAGCTGCTTTAAATGCACCAAATCCAAATTCATTGGTTCACTAAATCTGGTTTGATTTTGGGTAATTCCAAGAAAGTTTTAAAAATGTCACCTTATATCTATGATTTTGCTGATTTTTATACAGTTGAGAGTACTTATCAAAATAAGAAATTCCTTGAAAATTTTAGCCATTGGCTCCAAGAAGTCCTGATATATGATCATTTTACTTTTAACAGACCCCTCTTGCCTCCTCAGAATTGCAACATTTATTTAGAAGTTTCAAATTATGTAACTTTAAAAATATTTGATCTTTTTACCTCAAAATTTGCACCTTTGCACCTTCAGGGGTGGAGAATCCAAAGAAATGATCAGAAAGGTAAAAAAGTATTTTAAGTACTATTATTTATCAATTTAAATAAATTTAGGCATATTTTTTATTACCTGATTTTGATGGCCAAGAAACCCACGTGGCCTTAATAATATCACAAAAATAATAATACACATCATTCTATATTAATTGCGAAGGATTTCTACATTTTTATTTTTAAGAAATTTCAAGAACCTTTTTTATACATCTGTTTCTCAATAAAAAATAACATAGATGTATTAAAAAGGCTTCTTTGTTCCTAAAACCTACTTATCAGTAGAAAATGTTTATGCACAAAGAAACTATTTAATCTAAAAGTAATACAACTTTTAAAACCATCTTCATTTTTTGTTACAGCAGTATCGTAATTAATACCCTTGGTAAAAGATGCATAAAATATCAAATTATCTCACAAGTAATGTGAAATCTCTGATTGCTAAGCAAAAAGATTGCCATGCAAAACTGATTGTTACACAAAAAGACTGCTATGCAAAACTGATTGCAATAAAAAAAAAATTTATCACTATCTAAACCACATTACTCAAATTATTACATACAAAAAAATTTATATTCAAGATTAGTTTAAAAAGTTCTTTTTTTATAAAAAAAAATGCTTTACTTTCAAAAAATATAAAACATCTGGTTTCTAAAAAACCTGGTATTGTATAACAACAACAAAAATTAGTATTTTGCTGTTTGTAATCATTCAAAAATATTAAGTAATTTTTAATCTGGCTGAGTATAAATATTAGTCTAGTTTATAAAATTAATTTGATTAACTAACTTTTGTCCAGCTGATAATAATTTTAGCTCCCCGTAGAGCATCTCAAACTGCAGAATATCTACTATGAATCGTATGAGAACAAACATCAAAAATACTGCATAAAAACTTTAACAAAACACCAAAGTCAACAACATATTCTGCTAGTACAAAAAGTTATAAGTTAAATTTCTTGGAAAAATTTACAGAAAGTTCTGATTTTCTTGGAAACGGCACATGAAAAGAAATTCAATATTGTGAATATGTACAGTTTTTTATAAACTTTGTACAAATCAGATCAAAACAGCAGCAACTGAAATTTAGTTGTAACAAATTGTTCATCAATATGATGAGAATTGTTTAAAAAAAAAAAAATTCTGAAAAAAATTAAAAACTTGGCAGAATGCTTCTTACTTCCATGACTTAACATAATGTAACAGTTTACAGACATATCATTGAAATTATAATATTGATGTTACAGTTCGATTATGTTAAAAATTTTGAACTTTAATTATTACATATATAATTATTAATGTTGAGAGGTTTTGGAAAAGATATCTATCTCAGGTATATTTATCCCATAGTCAGGAGCTGACTATACAATAACTATACCAGAGACAAAATTAAAGTCAATTGAAGGTTTAATAGGTAATTTGTTGTTTGAAAAAAATAACAGCAAAAAAAAAAATTATTCAAGTTTTTTTTTTCTGTTAACATTCAAAACTGTCAAAAAAATTCTAAAATGGAAACCAAACTAGAATTTACATTATCTTGCTTTCTTTAAACTTTACTCTAAAAAGATGTGGGCTTTACATCTCTAGTTTCTGCCTTAATCCAGACTTATATAAAACACTTTTGAAACCACAATAAATGTAAAAATAAATTAAAAAAAAAATTTAATACCTGGGTAGTTTTACCACATCCTGTAGCACCTCGAATAATCACTACCTGATTTTCATTAACCAATTCTATAATTTGTTGTTTGTATTTATATACAGGTAATTTTTTTCGTTGCTCCAGCATTGATACAAAGCTACTATCATCCCATTTTGCTTGAAACTCATCATAAATAAGTGAACCACTTTGAGCAAGCTGTTGAAAATTTTATTATTATTATCATTATTATTATTATTATTATTATTATTATTATTATTATTATTATTATTATTATTATTATTATTATTATTATTATTATTATGCATACAAACAATTGTAAATGTATTTTACAAAATAGAGTGCTCATCAGAAAAACTTTCTGATGAGTCTTAATTGATTAAACACAGGCTAAAATAAAAAAATTTGATAAGCAATTTTCTAATTTATTTATATATATATATATATATATATATATATATATATATATATATATATATATATATACATATATATATATATATATATATATATATATATATATATATATATATATATATATATATATATATATATATATATCAGGGAGTAATTTACAGGCCTCGGCGGGAATAAATGAACTCGAGAGCGGAGAAAAGCTCTTCTGAAATGAACTCAGGAAGCTGTGCGAGCTGCTCATTTAAATCAGCGCTCTTTTTTAATTTTGATTTTTTTTGAAGCAACTGTGCTTTTTAAAAAGCATTGCAGTATATTATGCAATTAATTTTTTTTTAATGACATTGCGTTATTTATTATTTTTGCGAGAGCGGTAAATTGCTCCCATAAACCGTTTTAAGGAAGTGTGGGTGAGAGAAAATAGCAAAAGAAAATTATATATAAAATCAGAAAATTAAATATAAATTTATATACAATTTTCTTTTGCTTTTTTATTAAAAACAGGAAAAAAAAATTTAGTTTTTAATGGTGTAGAATATAACTGATTTTCTGATTACTTAGGCTCTCATTTTTTCTTTAGTACAATAAAATGTATTAAAAAGCAATTACATGACCTAAATTGTTTAACGTTTAAAACTGTCTTTCAGTTATTTTTTGAACATTAAATTTAAAAAAATGAATGTTGTATTAAAAAATTAAAAACTTGTTATGAAATTTAAAGACAATGAAATATAAGAAAAACTTGTTTCTTCGAAAGATAAAACGATTTTAAAATATCCATTTAGAGTAAAGTTAACTTTTGTTTGTTGGCAATTAAAAATTAACTGTTTTTGATAATAAATTAACAAAAGTAAAAACTTCAGTCTTAAGAACAATTGCACGAATTTAATTTTTGAATGAATGAACTTTAGATCTTTAGCTCACCATTTTATTTTATGGAGAAACGAAACATTGGAAAAAGGAAAAAAACGAAACAGTAAGTTTTGTTTCTTTTCCATATTCTTTTACATTTTAATAACAATAAAAATAACATTAATTACAATAACTTAATATTTTTGCTAAGATTTAGCTATTTTTAAACTTCAATGACTATGTTTGAAAAAATCTATAGTAAATGTAAATTTTTTATAAAATGTAATTTTTTAAATTATACTTTTTTTTTTTTTTTTTAAATTTTAATTCACCTCCTCAAGGCCGAGAAGGCCACTACAGACGAGGAGGCTACTTATTTGTGGCTATAACCCTCTCTCAACTCTATAACTCCGAAACACGAACCTTGATGAACAAGGCCGCTGCGCGGAGAAATGAGTTGAGCGCGGTACTACCAGGGACGTGGTGAGGATCGAACTCCGAACTACTCGTTTATGAAGCGAGCGCTTCATAAACGAGTGGTTCGGAGTTCTACACCACTACCGCAATTAGTGATTAAAATTAATTATTAAAAAAGATAAACTTTATTTTTTTGATTAAAAAAATATATATTTTTTAATCAAAAATATAAATATTTTTTTAATCAAAAAATGAGAGTGACAAAAGAGAATATAGACGCCTCAGGAAAAAAACAACAATAATTGCGTATATAAAAAAAAGAACATATTTCTTCAATCTATTACATAAAAACGATACAAGTAAAAATATATTCTCATTGATAAACAAGCTACTAGATAAAACTCAAGAATATGTACTACCAACAGCCGATGTAGATAAAGAACTAGCTAACAACATAATTAATTTACTGAAAAAATCAGAAAACTCAAGTCTAGTCTTCAAACATCCCAGACAAAGAAAAGTACTTCAGATTATAATTGGCAGTTTTTAAGAAAATTTGAACCAAAAACAATGAAGAAATTTACAAAATCACCATGTTTCATTTGGAAAAAAAATGTTCTCCTGATGATCCGATTCCAGCATATCTACTGCGGAACAATTTACAAACATTTATACATATATGGGTTGAAATAGCAAACTTATCACTAGAATCAAGCAGCATGGATTGTCTAAAAAGTGCTACATTACTTCCAATAATAAAGAAATTAGACTCTGCCAGACACTGAAGACCAGTTTCTAATTTTGTATTCATTAGCAAGCTAACAGAAAGAGTAGTTTTCAATCGCCTTGATTCCCACATGATAACAAACAATCTTCATATAGAACATCAATAAGGATACAAAAACAACTGAAACACTTTTACTTAAGCTTACCATGATATATTTGAATTTTTTAATAAACATACACCTTCAGTACTGATGTTATTTGATCTAAGTGCTGCCTTCGACACTATTGATCAGCAAAAAATACTTAGTGAAATAGGTATAACTAGTGAAATAGGTTAGTTATAAATAGTTATAAATAGTGAAATAGCTTAACTAGTGAAATAGGTATAATTGACTCAGCTCATAAGTGGTTTGAATCATTTTTAGTTAACCGTACTCAAAAAGTTAAAATTGGTAGCTCATATTCCCTGAACCAAAATGTAAAATATGGAGCACCACAAGGTACAGTCCTGGGTCCAAAACTCTTTAATATCTATATAAGACCACTATACTAACATCTGAACATAATCAACTTTTGGATACTCAGATGATCATCAAACTCTAAAAACATTCCTTCCTTCATCTCAAAATAACGCACTAGTCCTGGATATACCAAAATGTCTTGAATACATATCTAAATGCATGAGTGAATCATTCTTATATATTAACCAGTCGAAAACAAAAATACTAATTATGGCACCACCAAGCATTCAAAAAGATATTATTAAAGGTACTTTTATTTACAAAGAATGCATTAGATTTGTTGCCTCGGCAAAAAGTTTAGGGGCGATACTTGACAATGAACTATCTTTAAAAACACATATAAGATTGTTAAAAACTTATACAATATATTGAGGAAAATATCCAAAATAAAACAGTTCTTATCACACAAAGATTTGTGTACCATAGTATGTTCACTAATATTTACACAGCTAGATTATTGCAACTCCCTCTACTTTGTAATTGAAAAGTCACTTAAAAAAACTGCAACCTGTTCAAAATTATGCAGCAAGACTGGTACTTAAAATTAGAATAGAAAATCCTGTAAATGACCAGGAATTTAACAAATCGTATTGGCTGAAAATTAGAGAAATAATTTATTTCAAGGTCTTTTTAATAATGCACAAATCTATTATACTGGAAGCACCAATGTCATTATCCAAATTAAATCACTACTCAATATCAGAAAGAACAATAAAGTTAAAGGAAACAAAATACAGCAATTGTTTTAGTAATTGAGCATTATCCCACTATGGTCCTAAACTTTGGAATATATATTTCCAAATTACATTCGCGACGAAAAAAAACAACTATTTTTAAGAAAAAACTAAAATCTTATTTAATGATGAATGGTGAACTATTCTACCAGAAACTCTTGAATGTTAATTAAAATCTCTTAAACATTATTATTAAAAATATTTACTAATAAAATAATTTGTTGTACAGCTGAGCAAGTGTTTTATCCACTATTCTGGAAAAACGCAGTAGCTGTGGGTAAACATGTATTTACTTATTTATTTAAATTGAAATTAAAATTAAAATAATAGAAAACACATTTATTAGATGTTTGTTTTTTATTCGAATAATTATTGTCTATATAATATATTATACTATACAGCATGGAAAATAACGGCCAGTCAACAATCAATGACTGCCCGAAATGACTTAAATTGCTATTTCGACCTCCCAAAATGATTTCTTGCCAGTCATGGTTGACTGGTTAAAAAAAAATTAGAGTTTTAAAAAGCAAAGTTAAATAAATAATCAGGATGTTATTTGGAAAAAGCATATATTAAAATTTCATAAACTCAAAAAAATTTTAAAGAAGCATTTAAAAAAGTTTTGTTAACGATGTGTTACTTTAATTGCTCGCAGGTCATTATAGCAAAAATATGTTTAAACAATTGTTTTATTAATTTTTTTAACGACCTAGCAGAACATTTTGACTGTAACTTGAAATTTTAAACCGATGATACAAAGTTAATATTATAGATCTTTATACATGAAGATTAAGAGTGAATACAAAATTAAAAACAGTTTAGAAATTAAACTAATAAATAAATTTGAGTCAAAAACTTAATAAAGGAAATAACTGTAAATATAACTATGAAATAAATAAATATCAACCTAGACACAATTTTCTATTCAACAGAGTTGCTCTTATTTGAAATATTTTAACTAACAATATAGTATCTTCAGAATCATTGGATGTTTTCAAAGCTAAGCTTGATCTATGACTGTAGGATTGTTGGAATTTAATAAGAGTTAACAATGCTGTTTCAGTGGGTTCAATTCCACTTGCTAGTTTTTGAAAATTAGTCACAGCTACTACTACTATTACTACTACTACTACTACTACTACTACAACTACTACAACTACTACTACTACAACTACAACTACTACTACTCTACTACTCTACTACTACTACTACTACTACTACTGCTAATACTAATACAACTACTAATAATACAACTACTACTACATTTGATAAGCATGTTAGCTAGTTAAATTGACCGTCTGCTTTCAATTTTTTATTTTCCACAATGATATTGTATATAGACAATAACTATTTGAATACAAGATAAGCGTAATTACTATTATGTTAAATTTGAAAATACTACGTGATTTGTAAATTGATTGAAAATTGTTTAAAATACAGCTAATTTCCATAATTGGAACTTCCAAGGGACCAAGGAAAGTGGTTGGACTTAACCAATGTTTGACTAAAACCAATTATTGTTAGATCAAACTTTGGATGAAATGAGAAAATAGTTCGAGTTAAGGCAAGTTTTCTTTATTTAATGTAAAATATATGCATTAAATTTACATATATATTAGTGTATATACAATTTAGAAGAACAAAAGAAGTTACGGATTGTACTCACGCAATACAGTCAAAAGATAACATTCAAAAAAGTTTATGGATACAATGACTTCCTTATTATTTAGTAATATAAATGCATCTAAACTGAATACAGAATATTAAACATCACCTGAAATGACCTAATTATCATAATTAGACGATAAAAGAGATTTTAAAAATTGCATTTTTAGACCTAAGTTGACTTACTTTTAAAGAAAGACTTTTTTGATAATATTAGGGACTTAACTACAGTCTTCTCTATTTAGCCAGCGCTTTCACGCTCAAGACTTTTCGCACTTGCCCACACACACACCGAAAAAATGAAAGCGTTTTGTTTTAAATTGAAACATAATTTTTTTTTTCATTTATTCAACTTTTATGAAAAATGTTTTTTTTTTTTTTAATTATTTAAACTAGTTTTTATTCAAAGCAATCATTTCGCTATTTTTATTTCAATTTAAATAGTAGAAAAAAAGGATTTTTTAAAATTGTGCAGGCTAACTTAAAAATGATCATCCTACCAGCACTTTCTCGTGCAATGGCATTAAATTTCAAAGGGAGAAGACTGTACTTGATGGGTAAAACTAGACAATCAATAGATTTTATATATGAAAATACAACTATTATCACATATATTATTACTACTATTGTATATATAAAAATATATAAAATAATAGAATAATGGTATTAATTTATTGTTAAATTTGTTGTCTGTATTTTTTAAAAACATGTTATAATAAAATTTATAATCATTATAATAATGAGAATAAACTGAAGCACTTTATTATAAAAACATAAAAGGTTAATTAGTTATTTTTAAATTATGGTCTTACTTTTTTTAAAAGATTTTAAAATTAACAATATTTTGTTCGACATAATTAAAATATTTACCCTTTCCCCTTCTTCTCCTTCTATTATTATTGACTGAGCAAGCCAAGGATTCCAATTTAAACTAGGTGGCTCCCAATTTACGGTTTGTATTTCATCATTATTATCACTAATGCAGTAACTCATCGGAACTTGTAAATTTATCTTCTCACCAAAATTTGGCTAAAATATCAAATAAAAACAAAAAATAAAAATAAGAGAAAAAACAAAGAAAAAAACAAAACAAAAAAATGTTATTTAAACAATAACATTATGTACAAAAAATTTTTTTACAGAACCTTTATACAAATATTAAGAAGACAATATGAAATAAATAAAAAATATTAAAAAATGGATATGTATTTTTAAATATTTTTTTTTGCATACACTTGTTTTTTATTGTTAATTAAAACAATTACTGTTTTTTTAAAAAAATCACAAAAGCCTATAAAGTAATGATCTTATTTATATTAATAAAACCATTATTAAAATATATATATCTCATGCATATGGTACATATAGTCTTCAGGGTGAAAATATCTCTGCAGTAAAGTTCCTTTTTGATAAGAATTCATTAAAATGTGAACAGAAACATATAAGTACACCTGTAGACAGGAAGGCTAACTATCAAAAACATCTCACTGTTTATTGCAGCAATTTATGTAGATGATAATATCTACATAAACTACATGATGATGGTGAGTAAAAACAAGGTTTTACTTTTAATATAGCATTATAATATCCATATTTAAAAACAAATAAAAATTTTTATAGACAGCTGCAGAGGGTCTTTAGAAAATTAATTACAAACTGATTCAAATGGTTAACAAAAAAAAAGAACAATAATTAATTCAAAAATTGATTCAATTAATTCAATAAATTCAAAATAAAATTTGAAAAAAAAAGTGACTATTATAGTGACATATTATAATGAAATATAACATATAATGAAACTAATAGAAGTTTATTTAATATGACATATAATGAAATCAATAGAAGTTTAATTAATATCAAATGTTAAACATCATAATTGGTATATATATATAAAAAAAACCTCTTGGATAATGTAATACCTCCTGAACTGGTTCAATCTTTGAAATGTGTAGTATTTGTTGCATCTGTTTTTCAACTTCTGGACTCAATGCTACTTTCCATATAGGGATCTGTTTATAAAGTTTAAACAAAAATCAAAAATACAATACTTTAACTTTAAAAAATCCTTAGAAAGAAGCATTTGACTGCTGACTTCTGTAAATGGGCGAAAATAAATTCAATTGACATTTTTTATTTTAATTTGTTAAAGTTAATTAAGACAAACAGTCTTACAAATGCAGAGCATCATACAAGTGTAAGCCATCTATATATAAACAAACAAAACAAAAATGTAAGTGATTTTTTTCCTACTAAAGAAGTTCTAAGATTTTAACTAATTACTAAAGAAGTTTTTACCTGACTCCAGAAAAACTAGGTATCATTACTTAACAATTTAATTTATTCTGATTTTTAAAAAGTTTTTAATAATTGAGCTGTTTTGCTGTGTTTTAAAAATGTAAAACTTTTGAAGGTAAAAATCTTATGAACTTTGATATGTTAGGTTAAACATTTAATATCTGCTTCAGTTTTTGTAAAAAATAAAAAAAAAAGTCTGTGCATGAAAAAGCCACAAAACTCTAAGAGTTTCGCATAAGTTTTTAGCATAAAATTATTAGGTTAGATTTATCATTTATTTAACAGACATGAAGATTAGAGTTATCAGTGTTCTTTTTATTCCATATAAAAAATAATGCAGTGTTTTCTTTCTTTATCGGTTTATTTAATTTTATAATAATATAAAATTAAATAAACTGATAAAAACGAACTATTGCTATCAAATTATTTCATAATTGAATTACTTCATAACTGACAATTCATACAAAGCTATATGAAAATAACTTATTATATTTTTAAATGTAGTATAACATGATGTTACATTAAGTTAAGTTAGGAATCTGCTTATACCTTCTAAATCAGTTGTCGTCAACCTGATCCCTACCCCCCATCAGTAGGCAGTAGGAATTTTTCTTATATATAGAATATTTCTTATATATATCTTAGATATAGAAAAACATTTTCAGTTACCAAATGTTTCATGTATTCATTATGTGGTGCACACACAACATCTTGTCAAAAAAATTTAGGTTAAAATCTTAAGTTTAGTAATTTGAGCGGTAAATGAAATCAGTTCTAATGTAAAAAATGATATAATGATAAGAGAGATACAAATGATAGTAACCATATAAAGAAATATTAACTTTAGGAGAATAAACTAGAGACACATTTAAAGACATAAAGACATGATAACTTTAGGCAAATAAACTAGAGTAAATCTAAAAGGCTCAGATTAAAAATTCTGGTCATTAAATTTATAGTATATTAAAAACTGTGAACACTGTTTTAATAAAGCGATCAATTTATCATATTGCAAAAATTAATAAAAAATAAAACAGGTGATTTAAGGATTATAAATAAAAAAAAGTTAATGACCAAAAAAGTTAAAAAGTTATTGTCCGAAAATATTGGGCGGGAACTTGAAAATTAACCAATAATAAATTATGATAAAGCTATTTGTGCATTGTATGAAACATTAATATCCATTTTTGTTAATGGTGAAAGTTTAAGAAATTGTTTATTTAAAAATTTATGTTTTAAATTAGAAATTAATTAACTGATAATAAAATTAATAATAAATAAGATATATTTTAAATAACTCATTAGATTTTTTTTGCTTTGTTTTAAAATAACTATAAAACGTCTAAATTAGTTTTTACATATTTTTAAACTTCTGTCTTTAATTTTGTATGCATATTTGATAATAGATTACGAGCTTACGAGTAACGATTTAATTAATAAGAATATATGAATAAATAACTTTAGGAGAATAAACTAGAAACACACATATAAATACATATAAAGACTAATACATACATATATTTATAATACATATAAAGACATGGTAACTTTAGAATAACAATGTAGAGTAACTTTAAGAGAATAAACTAGAAGGATGCAAAAAAACAAACTAAACAATAACAAAAAATGAGGATTGTGGAGCTTGATATGAGCTGGTGAAAAAAAAAAAAAAAATCAACAACAACAACAAAATGATGATAATACATAACCATCTTGTTATAACCAACAAAATAAGTTTAGTTAAATTATTGTGAAAAAAGTTAACTGACAAACTTTTTTATGTTTTCTAGTTTTCAATTTATCCTTCAAAATTAATAAACTTTTATGTATTAAGCTTGAATATTAAATCATCTATTTTTTAAATAAAAAATTTCTTCAACTAACATTGAATTATTTGATTTCAGTACAATAGTTTATTCGATTTAAAAAAAATCAAAAAGTCCTTTGATACTTACAGCAGGCTGAGGTTTCTTTTTAAGTCCGATTTGCCCAGGCTCTGCTGCTGGAATAATGCCCATGTGATAAAGCTGTCGTACAAGACTACGAGAACAATATTGTGCAGCTAACTTTTTAGAATGAGCTGCCTCTTTACCAATGATTTTTCGATCTGCTTCTTTCAACCAAAAACTTAATTCTGCACGAAATAACCTATACATAAAACATTTTCTAGTGTCAAAATAATATTATAAAAAAGTTTCAGACATAATATAAAGTTTTTTTAATAAAACTTCTTTTACACATTAAGGGAAAAAAACTACCTTTAAGTTGTCAAACAAAATTAATTTATCAAATACCTCAGGGGTAAACTCTCATAGTTGTCTGGTGGCATGGGACAATTGAATGGGCAATCATTAATAACACTGAATCTCTTTTGTTTTTCATTATTAAAATAATTTTTTTTAAACTTTGTCAAACAAAATTATTTTCACCCAAGAAAAAAGACAAAAAAAAACCTTTACACCGGACTACCGGAAAAAAACCAGAGGATACATCACTGTATTTAGAAAAACTTTTGGAAGATAAAGTTTTCTTTTTAAATTAAAAAAAAAAACTTTTTATTATTAAATCATTCTTTTCCTTATTATCATTAAATCATTCTTATCTATTTAAATTGTTATCATCAAATTGTTATCGCAATAGATGTTCACGTTTAAAAGTATAAAAAGATTAAAATCCTGAAAGATATAAGTTTTTAAAACCATATTGAAAACTGCATGATGTAAGATTACAATGTAAGCTTATAAATATAAAAGCCAATTAAAAAAATATTTATATTTTGGTATTTAATAATAACTTAATGAAAAGCATAATGTATTTTTTATTGTTGAGTGTATTTTTTTTTAGAAAAAATAAAAACTGTAAAAAATCATTTACTGTTAAACATTTTACCAGCAAGCATGGTCATAGCGGTATTGGGTCAAAAGAAACTTAGATTAACCAACTAATATTATGAAAACCATTCAAATTATCTTTAAGATAAACTCCACTTTATTTTATACCTATTTGTGTGTCTGTGTGTATGTATGTATGTATGTATGTATGTATGTATGTATGTATGTATGTATGTATGTATGTATGTATGTATGTATGTATGTATGTATGTATATATATATATATATATATATATATATATATAATATATATATATATATATATATATATATACAGGGTGGCCCATAAGTCACTTTACATTTTAAAAATCGAATAACTTTTTTTCTATTAATATATTTCTATTTCTCTTTTCAGAATTAATAAATATAATCTTTGGAAATTTTTGGAATGGATAAGTTTATGACTGAACAACGAGTGAAGATAATTGAATTTTACTTTGAAAATGGACGGTCAATTGTTGCAACGCAAAGATTGTATGTGCACCATTTTAATGTTTGACATCCCCCTAGTAGGCCTGCAATAATGAACTTAGTGACGCGTTTTCAAGAGCATGGCTCTGTAAGTGATAGGACTAGTAGTGGACGAGGTCGTTCAGCACGTACACGTGAAAATACTGAAGCTGCGAGCCGTAGCATTGAAGAGAATCCAACCACATCCACTCAAAGGCGTTCTCAAGAACTTGGCATTTCACGGAGTTCTCTGCAGCGCATTCAAAGAGACTTGCACATGTACCCTTACAAGATTCAATTAGTGCGACCTTTACAACCACCAGACTTTCAGAAACGACTAAATTATGCTGTCAGGTTTCAGAGAACTGCAAGAAATGACAATGAATTTATTCACAAGTTAATCATGGGAGATGAAGCTCATTTCCATTTGAATGGACATGTGAATAAGCAGAATATCAGATTCTGGGGCACCAAAAATCCACACCAAGTTCATGCGAGTCTATTACACCCGGGTAAAGTAACAACATGGTGTGGAGTAACATCAGAAAGGGTTATTGGGCCCTTCTTCTTTTAAGATGTAAATGAAAATGCTGTGACTGTAACTGCTGAGAAATATCAAGACATGCTAGCAAATTTTGTTCAACCTCAGTTAGCAAACATGGCAGGGTATTGGTGGCAACAAGATGGAGCAATTGCACATACCGCTAGAGCCACAATGCAATTGTTGACTGCAATGTTTCAGGATCGGATAATCTCTCTTAAATTTAATTTTGAATGACCTCCATGTTCTCCTGATTTGACAGCACCAGACTTTTGGCTTTGGGGGTATCTTAAAGACAAAGTGTAAGCAAATAAACCCCAAACTATTCAAAATCATAAGGCAAAAATACGACAGGAAATTCTTTCCCTACAACCTCAGATGTTAAGAAGTGTCATGGAGAATAGCTTAAAAAGAGCTCGACTTTGTGAAGACGAGAACGAAGGCTATTTAAGAGACATTATCTTTCATAACTAACTTACAGACTCTAGTCAGAAGTCAGAACTAACTTACAGACTCTAAACTTTGTAATAAAAAAAGAATTAATTAAATACAATCGTTTAAGAAAAAGTTATTTAATTTTGAAAAGTGACTTATGGGCCACCCTGTATATATATATAACAAGCCTTGTTTTAAAGCATACAGTGGCGCATCATTTACATACATGTTGAGCCATTTAAGGTTGCCATTTCCGTTGAGCCGCTTTTTATTATTCTTTTAATATTTAAACAAGTCTAAAGATATCATTTAAGCGGTAAGATAAAAGAAGTAATTAGCTTTATAAAAACCACTTATGAAGTTTGAATGATGATTACCAAAAAAGAATATTTAGAAGGCTGATTAATTTTATAAGAACTGATTTATTAAGAGGTTTTTTTATTTATATTATATTACAAAATACTTTTATATTTGTACTTATATTATATTCATGTATATATACTTTTTATTTTATACAGGGGTGATTTTATTTATAGGGGTTGATATATTTACAGACTGATGGAGAAAAAATATCCTGCCTAACTGAATATAACCCTAACTTAAATAGATAGGGATAAATTTCAGCTCATGTTTATATGGAAAAAACACCTTGCTCAAGCAAGATGTTTCTAATTTCACTTGAGGTTTGTTTACAAATAATCATTTATGTCAAATTTTTGAATTATAAACTAAAAATGAAAGTATAATAAAAACTATATTAATATACAAATAATTATTTGATACCTTTTAATTTTTAGTATATGCATATTGAAAGTTTGTTAATATTGCATGTTTTACAAAATAAAGATAAACAATTTATAATTAACTAACAAAAACATAACTTTTGCCTTAACAAATGGTAAAGTTTTATAAACATAAATGGTCAAACAACTTAAGTTTAAAAATTAAGAGAATTCTTTTTAAATTTTGTAACAAATCTGTCTAATCTACCAGGAATGGTTTTCAGCTTGTGTTATATGAAGAAGTTTCACTCAACCTAATCAGGACCCCGGTTCATAAGTAAGATCTCTCCTAGACAGGGTGAATAATTTTACATTTGACAGCAACGTTAAAACTATGAGTTTTAAAAGAGAGGTGAGATCTCTGTAGTTATTCTATACCTGTTAGCGTGATAAATTTTATCAATATGAACATCCCCTTAAACAATTTCTCAGAACAAACAATAACAAAAATAATTCAGAATTAAAAAAAAAAAATGATTAGCTAAAAAAAAATACACATTAAAATTCATTTTATAATAGTGCCATTTTTATTATTTCAATTTATATTTTGTTTGTTTTGTTAAAATGATTGATTTTATCAAAAAAATGAAAATATACATTTACAAAACAACAACTCTAGATTTGTTTTTGCTAATTAGTAAATTAAACTTGTTTTGCGGTAATTTATTTTATTGCAGTAGTTTAAAAAACTAATTTCCATAAATAAATAAATAAAGATAATTTTATGAAGTCAAAATCATAAAAAGTATTCCATAAATAAATAAATAAAGATAATTTTATGAAGTCAAAACCATAATGACCTAATGTGCTAAGCAGGCTTGGTCGGGAAGCAGGAGCGATTGCTCTTGATTGCTGACCACGTAAATAATATTTAGTTGCGAAAAGCTGGCCAGATTTTTTAGTCGTTTGAGAACATTTTAAAATGCAAAAAAAAAAGCGCTTAAGATTAATTGGACCGATGAGAGACAATTACAAAAAAAAAAATTAGGCAAATAAAATATCTTTAAACGCAAAAAAACTTAAAGCTAAATAAATTACATTTGGAACAAATATTTTCGAAACATCACTCTTTTATAATTTTTTTTATAAAATTAAGCGATGTTTTTTATATAAAGTAACAACTTACGATTGTTTAAAAGGGAAACAAATATTCTTTATTTAACAAAGTTTGCAAGTTTTAGTTTCATTTAAGCTAAATTATTTTATAAATAAAAAAGTTTATTTTTTTAATACCTTGTTTATATTTCGCGTAATTTGAAAAGTTTAACATATTTGAAATAATTCTTCTTAGTAAGATAAACAAATGAAATAATTAAATCATTGAATTACTATAGAAATTAAATTATCAACTAGATAGAACTAGATAGAAATCAACTAAAAAAGTTAAAAATACTTTATGACGAGGAAGCGAAACTGCTTCACAATATCGCTGATGATGTTTAGTGAGTGGGCTTTTAAAATTTAATTAGTATTTAAAGTAGAAAAAAGTATAAAGAGTTTTAAGAATGGCAACTTAAGCGAAAATAATTAGAGTTAGTAAACCAATATCTAGAAACTTTTCTTTATATCTAATTATTTGCTATATATATTTGTGTTCTGTCATGACCTCAGGCGTGGTGCTTGTTCATCCGCGAGTTACTTTGTATGGCGTTGTTTGTGTTTAGTAACTAGAAACTTCTTATATGTTTGTTACATAATTAGTTTTATTAACTTGAACGATTATAACTTCATTGAAAACGCAATTATTTTTGTAAGTCTTATTTTAAATCATAAAATTGCTTTCAAAGATACATAACAATAAAAAACAAATACACAAAATTACATTTACATAAAGAATACAATCTCTTTTTAAATAAAAAATAAGAATATACTTATAAAATCTATAATTTATAATAAACTTTTATGAATTTAATAATAAAATTTTGACAATTTAATTAATATATATTTAAAACATTTATTTTTGTAAACAAATAATATATATTCTTAAAACAATGCTAGAAATCTCAAAACGTAACAAATCATGAATAAAACAAATTCTATAACATTTCAACAGAATACTCTAAAACTTTATTTTGCTTAATCAGCGTATTTTTTGAACCAATAGAATTAGTTTGTTCGTTAATTTGACGGGTTTTTAGTGTTCGCGAATATTCTTTTTATTCTTTCGCACCAAGATGTTTTGAGAACATCTTGGTGCGAAAGTTTTTTATGTTTCCATGTATGTCCGTAAAACAAAAGCTTTTTGTTTTGTACATAAACTTAAATGTTCTCAAAACGACTAAAAAACCTGGCCAGTTTTTCACAACTAAATATAATTTCCGTGGTCAGTATTCGAGAGCGATCGCTCCTGCTTCCCGACCAAGCCTGGCTAAGCTCTTTGTATCTAAAACAAGGCCTGTACATTTACAATGGCTGTGGAGTCGGAGTCGGAATTGCAACATTTTTAGTGCAGTCTGAGTCACTAAACAAAATCGCGACTCCCACTTTAATAGTAAAACTTCTCAGTATTGAACGTGTATGAACATAAGATTAAAAAATTAATCCTATGTTCATACTAAACCTCAAAGAACATTTCATATATATATATATATATATATATATATATATATATATATATATATATATATATATATATATATATATATATATATATATATATATATATATATATATATATTAAATACTCTAAATGCTTTATTTCAAACAGGGGGAAATATAGATAAAAACAAGAAGCGAAAAAAAAAAAAAAAAAAGATATCAAAAATTAAAATGCAATTAAAACTTTCACCTTTGATGGTCTGGACCTTCAGAATAATATATAAAATCAGCAGGAATTTTGTTTTCATTTAAAAACTGGTGCAATTTAGTTTTTGCATTTAGCAATGTCCAATTACCATGGAGATGAGCATCAGCATCAACATTAGTCTAAATATTATAATTTTAAAAACATGAGGTAGTTTGATCTTTTAAACAAGCTTTGGACTGTAGATAGTTTAGCAATAAAGACTATATCCAAGAATTTGTATTATAAAAATATTATACTGGCATTAAGAAATTACTTAAAAAATAATGTTAATAACCAAATAAAATGGTATAAACCAAACTGCAATTTAAGTTAGATGTTACTAATGAAGAAACATATTTCCGAGAAAAGTAAAATTAAATGAAAAAATATGTTAAGAAAATATTGACATATTGATCAGAAGAGAATTTATGTTTAAGCAAATTACTAACCACCATAACTATACAATCTCCTGATCCTGATATAATAGAAATAAAAGATAATAAACTTTTTTTATTCACAAATTTATGATCAAACACCTAACTTTATTTTAATAATATTTTTAAGTTGTATTCTAGTTAATTAATAATGATGAAATGATTTTAATGAATAATTCTTTAATAACTATAATTTTAATAATAACTATTATTATTATTTTATGAAAATTATATTAATAGCAATAATAACAAAAAAAAATTAAAAAACAAATCAAACAAAATTAACAAAAGAAAAAAGAAACAAGAAAAGAAAAACGAAAGACAAAAAATCGAAGTTAAAAGGTAAAAAACATTCGAAAATAGAAAGGAATTAAAATAAAATATAAAAATTGCTCCGTTTTTGAAGAAGGAAAAAATAATATTTTTTAAATTTTATTATTTTTGAGTGACGATATATGTTTGCTTGATATGATTTACTTTTTTATTTTAATATTGTTATTTTTTATGAAAACAATACTTTTCGTGACTAAATGTTTGTGTGTGTGACACGTTTTTATTTGTTAGCGTTATTAAATAATTTTTGTTTTTTTTATTTATTGTTATTTTTTAATGAAGTATTTATTTTACTTTTATTTTTTTTATTATGATTATTGATATTAAGATTATTATATTTCATTGTTACTTTTTTTTGCAGTAACTGTTTTGGTTACATGGTAGGTTGTTACGTTTTGTCACAACATAACTGTTTGTAACTTTCCTGTCTGTGCATTATATGCAATTGTTGTTTTAAAATTAATATTGGTTTATTATCATATAATTTTCACATTATTCTTATAACTTTGAATTTATCATCATTATTATTATCATTATTTGTATATCAACCCTAATTCATAGTATTTATTTATGATTAGTTTTTAACTATTTGTAAATGACCTTGATTGTAAGATCTTTCATTGAAGAAAAAAAACAAAAAAAAAAACAAAATGATAATAATAATAATAAGATAAAAATAAATTGTAATTATGTATAATAATAATAACAACACAATCTTTTAATATCAGACTGAGAATTTTTTTAGATATTTTAAAAGCTTAAGTCTTAAGTTAGCACATGGTTTCTTTGGTTTTTAAAATAGGTGGCATCTAAATTTTTTAGAATCTAATTTTTTTTTACTTTATATTATAATTTTTATTAATTCTAACAAAATGATTAAAATAAACAAAAAAATAATAATAAAAATAGCTTTATATGAGCAATTTAAGTAAACATTTAAGTAAGTATTTATTTAAGTAAATATTTATTTAAGTAAATATTTACAATTAAAAAATTAGGTTTATCATCTAGTTGTAAGGTGCATTAATAGTCAAACAATCAAGAGACATTCATGAGAACTCAGTGACTATCAAACAATCAAGAGACATGCTCATTTGACAAGATGCAACGTTAGTGAGTAACATTAATATATTTTGAAAATTACCTCTTCTAATTTTAATTTTTTTGCTGGAATGTTTTCACTTTTTCCTTGTGACACCTGAGAAACTAAAATTGAAAGTAAAAAAGAAAATCAATTTTTAAGTATAAAATAATTACCAATTATATCATTTTTATAAGTTATGCTATCAATAATTCATTAAACAAGATTTTTTGAATTGCTTTGAAAACCTTTGTAGAATTTCATCTAAAAGTACTGAAAACACTACAGTATAGCTCTAAAGTGGTCTTATTATGAACTTTATTATTTAAACTTAAATGGGCATGAATGTAAAACATATTGAATAACTAGTATTACATCGTAAAACATGTGTGTAGTAGACCTAACTGCCAACCTGAAAGTGCTTGAGGTCGATAAAAAATTGCCGAACTTGTTTCTATGTTTTATGGTGAGATCTTTGTATCAAATAATTTAATTAATGAATAACTAAATTTATTAATGCTAAGTATATTAATTATATAGCATTAATATACTTAGCATTAATAAATCATTAATGCTAAGTATATTAATGCTAAAATTGTAATAAATACTCTGATGTTTGTTTTTATGATTGGTGGACTAAAAATGGTTTAAGACCATCACAACCATTAGATCAAAATAAAAATGCAAGTTAACATTTACTTATTGTTTGAATATAAATATAGTTTAAATACCACATATTTAAAATTGGTGATATAAATACTGTTTTGAGACCACTACAAGATAATACAAAATAAACTTCAGTTTCAAAAATTTGTTTGTAATAACTGAAAAATTAGATTCTGTTACTAAGGTAACAAGAGAAAAAGTTAATAAAGTTAATAGTTAACTATCTGTTAGACTTTAAAAGACAAAAGGGTTATTATAATAGTTTCTGATTTTAAAGGGAAATATATAAAACTAATCAAAATTAAATAAACATTTTAACTTCTGTATGTAGAAAAAATGAAATATTCAAAACTACTTACCTGAATTATTTTTCAATGGATTTCCTTCTGAACTTTTTTTAACTTCAACAACTGAAGTAGTAGCCTGCTAATAACAGAATAGTATAAAAATGTATGAGTAAACATTTACTAGTCTTATAGTAAAACAAATTAACTAAAACCAAAAGATTTACAAAAAAATAAACAAACATTAAATGTTTACTAGCATATTTGGAGGGACTGCTTCAACTGGTATAATTTCATTGTTAACTAAATAATTTAATAGATCTCGTGCTGCAGCTGCTTCTCCTTCTTTTTTACTTGGGCCACCGCCAAATGCAATATAATTAATACCATCAATTTTAGCCTAAAAAATTAGTTACTTCAGAAAAACAATTTAATACTGAAGATTATTTAATCATTGACAAAAATAAAAATTACCTGATAATTAAATCTATGAGGACCATCTGGTACAGCATAAAAATGTGGTATAAGTTTCATTTGTTTTCCAACCCAGTGAAAAAGAAAGCCTTTAGCCAACCCTGCCATTTTATTTTCACTGAAAATGTGATGTTAAATGTGACATAAATATTTTCTCTATATAAAAATTATTATTTCATAAAAACTAAAAAAAAATTAAAAGTGGTATTTTTTTAAGGAGCAAAATTTTATAAAAATGTGTCTAGATCTAGAAATACTTTACCACCAATACATTGACAATATTAGCAATATTGACACAAGCAAAAAAAAAAGTTTAATTAAAAATTTAAACTAACTTTGCTTTTTTTATTTCTAAATTTTATACAGGCTCCACATTCCAGTATAAATTACTGTTATAGCCAAATATTACACTCTAGGATTTTGTATATAACAAATAATAGCAATTTTTAGCAAACTCTTATTTTATGTTTGGTATTTTATTATTTACTATGTAATTATATGTAAGCATAAGTAATCTTCATGCTATATTTTTACCTAGTAGTAAATTATTAGTAAAGTTTCATACACAAATTTAGCAACAAAGAATCTCGCTAATTAGATTATACTGAAACAAACATCTGTGAGGGCTCTAGTAAATACATTGTATTCAAATTAATTTTTCATAAAATAATATATATATATATATATATATATATATATATTATATATATATATATATATATATATATATATATATATATATATATTATATATATATATATATATATATATATATATATATATATTATATATATAAATATATATATATATAATATATATATATATATATATATATATATATATATATATATATATATATATATATATATATATATATATATATATATATATATATATATATATATATATATATAATACTATTATTATATACTTTAACATATATTATATAGTTACTATTATATATTATATTTTAGTTACTATTATATATATACATATATATTATATAGTATACTATTATTATATACTTTAATATATATATATATATATATATATATATATAATATATATATATATATATATATATAATACTATTATTATATACTTTAATATATATTATCTATTAAAATAAGTAATAAAATATAAGTACATACATTATGTGAATGTGTAATATATTTTCATTAGTAAAGTAGATTAAAATAATATATTAAGATTTACTTATTAATAAGACTTACATAACAACTTCTTATTTTAACAAACTAGTTAAGGAAGTATTAAAAAGTTTATTATAAAGTTTTTATAAATTTATTACAAACTCTATTATTTCGCGTAACATTCTTACTTGAAAGTCCTGTAACTCATTTTATAAATTTAATGACTTTTTATTTAAGGTTTTATAAACTTTATAAGAGTTAAAAAAAGTAATAAAATTTATAAAATGAGTTACAGGACATTCAAGTAAGAATGTTAACGTGAAACACTGATGCTTTACTGGAATACTAAATGTTTCTGAGTATAAAGTTGCAATAACAAGTTTACTTTATCGACATCGTATCACTACACTGTATATCCCTATTTTCTAAAGGCATTTGAGCAACTAATTCACGTAATTAGAATCATCGATTTTATTTCGCTAATGCTTTTTTTTAATTTAGCCTTAAGGATACAAACTCTATCAGCAGCAGCACATGTGGCCTTTAACTCATCGAATGCGCCATGCCTTACTACCTGTGAAACCTATTCATAACATTGGAAAATTTCACTTTCAAATGGAATTAGTGAAAATGATCGGAGTTGCGACTTAATAAAAAACACGTGTTTTTACAGTGGCACAATTCGAATCGTCGTAGTAAGCGCCGATTTAATTTACCGTAAATACTGCGTCGATACTTTCTCCCCACTGATCTCAAATTATAACTACGGCAAGTTTTTTGAAGCCAGTTTTGGCCTCCCAAGATGGCGGCGTATTTTGTTGATTACAAATTTAGAAATATTTGTTACGAACTTTTATATTTTTTTAATATGAAAATAAATGTACAAGCCTCAAACAAGAATGAAATTTTCGGTTTTACAAAGAAATTGTTTTAGAAAGAAACACAATAGTACATATTTACGTAAATTTCTAAAATATATATAATATTTTGTTTTACATTACTCTTAATAATCTACTCAAACAATATTACTAATAAATATTATACTTTTATAATATCACAATATCTATTACTAATACATATATCACAATATATATTTCTGATAAATATTATACTCAAACAATACATATTGCAATAATTTACTCAAACAATAAGTTTGTGTAATATTAATAATATTACACAAACTTATTGTTACTTATATTACTAATATCTTTTTTTTTTTTTTTTTTTTTAAATTTAATTAAATATGATAAAATTTTTTAGTTAAATTAATTAAAAATTAGTTTGTTTAACATTAGTAAATAATTATACCTATAATCTAGTAGTTAACTACTAGGTTATATAATCTAATTTAACAATTTCCAAACAACTTTCTAATAATTATTTTAAATGTGAAAAACGGAAATAATTTTAATCATTTTTTATATATATTTCATTTATATATTTTCTTTTAATTTTAGTTTTACAATAAATTAATTGTTTGTTATTGCTTTTTGTACAAATTTATGTACCTTTTAGTTCTTAACTACCCAATGTCGTGTGCTAGAAGGTTAATAACACAACTGCATGGTAGGCAGCTGAATATCTTTTTGAAATAAACTATTATAAATTAGTTTTTCAATAGATATCACAAATTTACAAATGCTGCATGAACTATTAGCTGAGCTCTGTGAGTACACACAACTTAGGGGTTCCTTCTAGAATTTTTTTTTTATATATAATTATATGTACTTTATCACTAAGCATATATATATATATATATATATATATATATATATATATATATATATATATATATATATATATATATATATATATATATATATATATATATATATATATATGATGCAGATACTTTTTTTAATGCCATTTTAGCTATATATCTGGCAATATATGAGATCAAAGCTTTTTCTGTATTTAGATAGAATGATAGAATGCTGCATTTGAAATATCTGCATATTTGTGGTCACTATTAGTTGGTTTTCTCTTTAACAAATCATATTTTTTTGTTAATTCAATTTTAATCAGATATTTTAGTACTGGAGTCAGCAAAAGAATTGTCTAAAACTTTTGAAATGTAAGTTTTATCTCTGATGCTGCAGTTTCCATTTGAAAATTGAACCCTAATTCACACACAGTTGTTTAATGTGGCTGTAAACTGTTGGCAATTGATATTGTTGTTAAACATTCTTGCAGATCTCACAGCTAAACAAGATCTCACAGCACAATAAAGAACTTGTTAGATGGATTTGACTGAGCTTATATGTTAAATAATTTTATAGCAAACCTTTTTCTACTCAGTCGAGATATATATTTTAATTGCCAATGAAACCAGTTTTTAGACTAGACAAATTCATTTGCATAACAGTTAATCTCTTTAAGACTAATGATATTATTATATACCATGTCAAGAAATGGAAAATAAAGAGCTTTGTTGCAAATAAGTTTTGTGAGTTTAAAATGTGATGTAATCAATCTTTTATGCAAATAAACTCAACAACATATTTATATAATTATTTAACTGCAACATACAGTTTAATAATATAAAAAAGTCAGCCTTTATATAAACTATAACATATAACCATAATACTTAACAGCAGGTAAACAGTGTATATAACTTTAGTTAATGAGATATTTCAAAGAGGTGTTTTGAATATTTCTATATTAAAAATTTAATAAATTTTTTTTCAAATAAATGTTTGAGGATGTATATAAAATTTGTTACATACATCTTCAATTCTATTGAGTGATTATGCTTTAAATTACAAGAAATGCTTATTTACTTTTTTTTTATATAAAGTTGATTTAAATAACTATAATTCAGACCTGTTTCTTTTTTTTAACTAGCATAAATTACACTTTAGAATGTTTTATTCAAATAATTTATGCAATAATAAAATTATAATATAATTCTAGAAGGAACCTCTGAGTTTGTATACCCCTGTAAACTGATTCAGTTAATAGTTCATGCAGCATTTGTACAAAATTGTATCTTGCTACAAAAAATAGAGAATATAAAATTGTAGGTAGAGATGATTGCTGCTTACCATGCTGTTATGTTATTAACCTTCTAGCATACAGCATTGGGTAACCAAAAACTAAAAGGTACATAAATTATACACAAAATTTAACTAAAAATGTAAATACCATTTAATAATAAATTGAATTATTCAAAAAACAATTTCTCTTTTTTTTCTCTAATATTTATAAAATTCATTTGTTTTCTTTTATTTTTGACAAATTTATTAGCCTTATTTAATTATTTTCTATCGTAGTTTGATAAAGCCATATAAAATCTATATTGGTTTCACCGCTAGGAACTTAAATCGCCGCCGTCTTGGGAGGCCAATTTTGGCTTCAACTTTATTCGGAAAAAGCAATAGAATCCATATTTTGAGATCAGTGTTTCTCCCCTCACGCAATAAAAATATTTTTTTCATTTTTTTTTTCCCAGTGATGACATAAGACGCGATTGGCTTAAAACAGCAAAAACTAAAAACATGTAAAATATGAGGATGAGATCTCCTTCCCATTCGCATATTGCTTTTTTTCGCGATTTGAAGTCTATCATGCCATATGACATCACGGAAAAATAAAGAGTTCAAAACTATTTTCTTTTTCGCGATTTGAAGTCTATAATGCCATATGACATCACGAGTTCAAAACTATTTTCTTTACGTGTTCTTCAAATCTGTAAAGGTGAGTTTCCACTCATCCGTTTTTTCACGGGAACGGGATAGGAAAGGGAAAAAATAATCACGTGAGCGTAGTTTTCCATCAGACATTAAAACTTATATAACGCATGCCCACTGATTATTTTTCCCGTCTCTTTCCCGTTCCCGTGAAAAAAACGGATGAGTGGAAACTCACCTTAATGCAAAAAAAAAAAAAAAAGGTTGAAAACAAATTGTAAAGTGAAAAAATGGTTTTTTGCTTTTTTATTTTCACATTGTTTTTTACAATCTTACAATTTTATGTTGTAAGCATTATCAATCTTATTGCTTAAAACATAACGGCGTTGTTACGGCGTAACCTTTTCAAAGACATATACCTTTAAGTATATTTTTTTTAGAAGGTTTAAGAATTTTCCTGAAGTAAAAAACAGGAACTCCTTCAATCATCGAAGATGAAGAAAAAAAAAAGACAGTCCGAGAGATGTCCAGCACCTGTTTTCACCCTTGTATGGTTGTTAAATATAGTAGTTTATAAATAATGATTAATATGTTTTGTTTTATAATACTGGAATAACAAAAATAATAACAAAAATAACTTTATTAATCTAATCAAATACGTTTACATTTCAAAAATGCAATGCAAAAAAAGTTATATAAGTGTGTACAAGTTTTATACAAAACATTAGTTTTATACTAAAGGAAAGTTTTAAAACTGAAACTTAATTAACAGTGCTTGTAAGTGACATTAAATGCCTTTAAAGAACCTGCATACTATAATAGTTGGTGTTTATATTTGTATTATATTTTGTTATAACTTTATATTTCTTTACGGTATTTGTAACGTATTATAACATGGTATATAAATCTGTATATTTCACATAAAATATAAAGCGTGTTTTCTTTGTGCTTTTAAATTCACTTATTTTTCTAGATAAAATAACTTTATTTAAACGGACCTATCTTGAGGAAAACAGGAGCAAAGTGTACCTGGTGTATCGGTATGAAGCAAGCGTTAAGATATATATGTATCGATAGGCAACATTTTTTGTGCGTGCTCCCCGGCCCCCAAAATGAATTCATCATTTGAATTCATTATTATGACTACCTTTTGTTTTAAAGATCTTCAAGCAATAAACCATGTCAGTGTCTCAGATCTTTTACGAAGAGGCCAAGAACGAAGTTCATTTCCATAAAAATAAAGAAAAGCAGTTTGAAGTGAACGTATTCAATAACACTCTCGATACTCTAATTTAACAAATAAGAAGGTTTTAAGTCGCAGTTTAAGAACGTTTTAAGTTGCAAAAAAAAAAACAGCGAACAGGTTCTTGTTCTTATAGCTCCTAGAACCTAATAGTAAACCACAGAGCAGAAATGAAAAACTTTGGAGCAAGTCAATGCGAATAATGTGGATTAAAAGAAACTTATGGGAAAGGTTTGTCATCTAGATACTATGAAACGTACCAGTTTTTTTGGTCCAAAAACGCACCAGTTTTTTCGGTTCGATGTAACTCATAGCACTTTCTTCAAATGAAAACAAAAGTTAATGCTTTCTGCAAATCATCGTTTTCTGGTAAAAAATTCGACATATTTAACACTATAAAAAAGTATGACGTTGTTTGTTCAATGACTTAATGAATATTAAATATGTTTGATAGATGTTATAACAACCAAACAAACAAAAAATGAGGCTATTTCACCCCCTCACTTTTTTTTTTCTAGATATAGACGAGTTTTTAAGAAATAGACAATTGTGCCTTTTCACTTCGAAATCCGTATTGTCGGCCATGATTTCTCCAGTCATTTTTTTTAATTTAGTAAACCAGCAGTTAAAACAAGGTTACGAAGCTTCTACAAAGATATGAAGATTTCCCTGGTTGCTTAACCAACGGCTTCACAGCCTCAATGGGTACATTCCATCAGGTTTGCGAGGTTCAAGAAAAAACAAACCACTTGTTTTGATCAAAATTTTTTATTGAATAAGGTTTCCACTTAAAAGATTGTAAAGTAACAGAATCCGACCAAAATAGTTTCACTTAAAGAACGTGGCTTTGAACCACGGTTCCAGTTCTGAAGCCAGAACTCTAATCACTACACCACGGCTGCTTACAATATATTAATAAAAAAATGTAATATCCTCAGTTTATTCTCTTATAGATAGCATAAAAATTAAAAGAATCCTAAACCAATTTGAAAAGAAAACAAAGAATCCAAGAAAAATGACTTAATTCAATAAAAGTTTTTGTTAACGATTTTTTGCCTCCATTATTTGATGGAAGGTGCAACAAGTCATATCTTCAAAACAATAAACAAACTAGTTGATCAGAATATTACTAGCTCCGATCAATCTACAATTACATAGTTTAAGGGAAAAATTATGTTGTTTTTGTTAATTTAAAAATGGCAGCTAAAAATATTAATCAAGAAATCGAATGTGTTTTAAATCAAAACGGAGGTAATTCTTTACTTAACTTATGTTATAATTTTGGAAAAATAGAATCAGGCTATATAATCTAGGGCTATTTTGATTAAATGTAATAGATAATTTATTGTTTATGCATCCTGGATAATCAAGTAAAAAGGTAATGGAGTACTTTAATCTTTAGAATCGCTTGGTATTACACCTTTTTGAGACCTTCAAATACCTCCACTTCATGGTGGAGTCAGAGGCGATTTCAGGGGGAGGGGGTTACACCCCCCAAGAAGTTGGTTTTTAAGAATTTTTTCACGAATTTAGTCGACTAGTCGGGTATCTGACACAATTCAATCGGTTAAATTTTCTTTATGAGGATCATTTTTTTTTTGTTTGTTTAGAAGCCACTCGGTACTTTTTAAGAATTCACCCCCATCTCATTTTATTCATAGAACCGCCTCTGGGTGGAGTATCGAGGAAACACAAAGATTTATGTGACACATGCTAAGAATATTGTAACATTGTTAATGCAAGCAATGAGCAAAGCAGAAATTTATAATAAGCAAATAGCATCAAAGAATCATATCAAAGTTGAACGTGAAAAAAATCGTCAAAATGCTGATCCCAAAACTGCAATTGTTTGTATTGATCTTGAAAATTTTTTAATTTTGTCTCAAGCTAATGTTAGAAACTTTTATTACAAACAGAGACTTTCAAATTATTACTTAACTGGTTATTGTTTGCTTAACAGGAAAGGTTGTTGCATTCTTTGATACTAAGCCATAATTGGCCGTGGAGGAAATTATCTAGCCAATGTAACGAGTTTGCTTCTGAAATGAATGACCTTGGCATGAATAAGTTCATACTTTGGTTCAATTCATATGTACCACAAAACCGCAATAGTTTCGTGTCAGCAGCTTTGTGTGAATTTATTTATAAGACACCCACAAATAAAAGTCATAAATTGTGGGCGATGCCTAATTACTGCATTGCGTAAAAATAATGACTAGCTAAAACCAAGTTTCATCGATTTATATCATATCGTTGTTGAAAAACGTGTTTAGAGTAGATTAGGGCAATATGAGCACCTGGAGCAAAAAATGGAATATTTTCAAAAATAGTTAATTTAGATCCAAAATTTTTGCAAATAAATAATTTTTAGGGATCCTACTCATGGTGCACTCGGATATTTGGGCACCCGAAATTTTTCTTAAAAACACAGAGTTTTTAAAAAAGTATCAAAAGTGCTTATATTATCCAGACCCCTAGGTAACATGAGCATTTAAACTAGCTCAAAAAAATAACATTAATTAGGTAAAAAAATACCAACCTGAAAATTAGAACTAATTTTTGGAGTATAACGATTCGTTATTAACGATTCGTTATTAACAATTCGTTATTAACGATTCGTTATTAACGATTCATTATTGACAAAACTTATCATTAAAAGATTTAATTTTAAGCCATTTTTTTTTCTGTAATCTAAGTTCAAATTTTTTGAATTTAGATTACAGAAAAATATTTATATTGTTAAAATATTAAGATTTTTTACTATGTTTTGTTTTTATTCAAAAAGCAATTAAAACCACTATTATTTTAGGATTTTAAACTTGGTAATTTAAATGAAAAACTCTGGGTAATTTGAGCATATACATTCTCATATTACACAAAAATGGCATCTTTAAATAAAGTCAAAACTAAATGTTTCTATGCATTGTTTTTCAAACAAAAATGGGTTTTTAGCTAACATACTTTTCTTTATGAAAAAAGTTAATTTTACTACTTTAGTACCAAATTTTCGCTACACAGTTTTATTCATGCATGATGGTATTATTTTAAGGTGGTACAAGACCAAAAATACGAGGTAACTATTAATTTTTTTTTGAGTTTTTTCAATTTTCTATAAAATATGTGTCAAATTAATCAAAGAACGTATAGCCAAAATTTCAGAGCTAAATAATTTATCTTTCTTAAAATATGAACATTTTATTGAACACTCTGTATCATTTTTTCCTAGAGAGACTAAATATTTAACATAGTTGTTAAGTCATTTTCTTCCTATAAAGAAGCTCAATTTTACTGCAGTCTTCAAGCTTTGTAAGCTTGATGTCACTTCTATGTTTTCCGAATTTAAATTCAATTAAAAGACATTGTTCTTAATCACTTAAGACGTTTCGTTTTTTTTTTTTTTTTTTTTTTTTTTGCCAAATAATTTTTTTAATAATACAAATTTTAACATATTACAAATTTAGTGGCAGGACTTCTAGAAGATCATGAGGATCTTATCATGAAGCCCTTTACAATGCATTTTAGTATCGAGTATAATATAATATAAATACGTAATATTATAATGAAGTTATAAAAATTCGTAAAATAACAAAGATAATATGAAGTTTAACAAAACACAGTAATAAAAAGTAATAAAATACAAACCATTAAATACATAAGTTTGCAAAGAACTCATGGAAATCTTCGTAAATAGTAAAACATAATACAATAAAGTATAATATATCAGCAATAAATTGATAAAAACTCAAAAATAGATAAAGATGTTTTCAATTGAAAAGATAATTTCTTTAATTTTGGTTTTGAATGAGGAGTAGTTTAGTTTGATTGAAAAGTCAAAATTAGGCAAAACTATTTTGTTCCAAAGAAGAGGTCCACGATAGGACATACAAAATTCGTCGTATTTAGTTTTGCAAAAAGGAGCATTATATTATATTAATATTTTCATGAGATAGAAATAAATTTGTGTCGTCTGCAAAGATTATTTTTGTTAGGCTTGAAGTTTTATGAAGATCATTTAGATATATTATAAAAAGAAGAGGTTCAAGTATGGAGCCTTGTGGAACACCACACGTTGCATTCATTAACACTTGAGACGAGGATTCTTTATTATAAACATATTGCTTACGATTTGTAAGATAGCTTTTTAACCAATTGAGGGTGTTATCTTTTATTCCATATGATAATAATTTTTTTATTAGAATTTGATGGTTGACGGTATCAAAAGCTTTAGATAAGTCAATAAGTACTCCTAATGTGAAATGAGATTTTTTAAAAGATTCTGAGATGTCGCGCGTAAGTTGGAGAATAGCGTGTTCTATTGAATTGTTTTTTTTAAAACCAAATTGGTTTTCGTATAAGATTTTATTATTAATTAGATGGTCGTAAATTCGATTGAACGTTATTTTTTCTAGTATTTTTGAAAAGACTGAAAGAACTGAAATAGGGCGATAATTATTTATGTTTGTATGATCTCCTGTCTTGAAGACAGGAAATACTTTAGCTATTTTTAGACAGTCTGGAAACATTCCTTGACTGATGGATGCTCTAAAGATTTTTAAAATAATGTGTTTTTATAACATCACAAATATTTCGTAACAGTTAACAGATTTTAAAGATTTGGGAGTGTTATTGTTTGTTTACCCTTTGGGTTTAGATTATATATATATATATATATATATATATATATATATATATATATATATATATATATATATATATATATATATATATATATATATATATATATATATATATATATATACAAAAAGAAAGTGTATTATTATGGTATAATAATAATAATACAAATACTCTTGTGCGTTTAAGAGTGCTCAATACTATTAAATAATAGAGCAATATTTATATATATATATATATATATATATATATATATATATATATATATATATATATATATATATATATATATATATATATAAATTAAATAAAAGAAATGCCAAATAAACAAAACAGTATTAGAAAAAAGAACAGAAAATGGAATGGGTTCAAATCATCTGAATTTCTCAAATCAAAACCTGCTGATCATGAGATTTCTTGTGTAAGCTCAAGATAGTTAGATGTATCGTTCAGCTCGGATAAATGTGAATCTGACGACTATTTTATACTTATTAACTTTTTATTATTAAAGAAATTAATTGCACACACTGTTTGCGCCAATTGCTTTATTGGAAATTTGTGAAATCAGAGATAACGTTGATTCTCGCATAGGCTTTTGTCATTTACTTGAGATAAAGTGTACAATATGTAACTTTTCTAAAAAATTTTAGAACTTCACCAAAGTCAAAAAGTTCTTTAAACACAAATGAATTTCCTACTGGTACTGTTAAAAAATTACTGTTATCTCTAGAATCACCATGTGAGATGCGAGCTATCATCGGATTATGAAAAATAGGTGCTGGTCATGATATGTAGAAAGCTGCTTCTGAAACCAAATCAATAAGCAACTCTCTTGAAACGAAAAAAGTTAGAACTTCTATTGATGTATCATGGCAGAAGCGAGGTCATAATTCGTTGAATAGTGTTGTAACTGCTGATTGTAGTGATAAATGTATTGATGCAGTAATATTTACCAAACCTTGCAATGGATGTAAAATGTGGAGATCAAAAAAAGGAACTCCAGAGTATCAGTGTTGGTTAAAATGAGGAAAATCTACATTACTCATTTAGTTTGATATTTAAAAAATCTATCTGTTAAAGGGAATAAAATAGCGTTTAAAGTAAGTGTTCAGAATTTCAGGTTATATAATGATAGCTAGCCTTAGATATTAAGTTTTGAAATTTTTTTTGATCGTTTTCACGCCATTATGGTCCTAATGCTATTTTTTTTTTTGCTTTTTTTTATTTAAATCTTTTGAGTAAACTATATCTAAAAGCATTTTTATTTTGGAGGTTTATTTCATTTTTTTATTTATTTGGTGTTGTATCACCTTAACAACGCAAAAAGTTTAACAGCGTTTTAATTAGACGATAGCCATTAATTACTGCGTATAAATTTAAGTTAATTGTACTGATTCCTGTTATCACCACATAAAGTCGATTCAAAAAATACAAAGCAACTTTAATTTCACTGCTTTTATCTAAGAAATCTTTAAGTATGCTCATAATACCAAGGTGCTCATATTACCCAAATCTACCCTAATAAATAAGATGTAAAAAAATAGCCTTTTTGTAAACCGAAGATATTTTATTTTAATTTATTTCCTAGGGTGGAAAAATAAAGGCGATAGCGTAGTTTTGGTAAATTTCGTTTCTTTAAAAATAATTAAGGGAAAAATATTAACAAGAAAAAAAACTTTAGTATCAAACAAACTCAAATTTTGACATCGCATATTGTTAATAATTGCTTAATTTTATTGTAAATCTAACTTTGATACTCGAAAAAGTTTTTCATAGGCCATCGTAGTGAACAGTCTAATTTCTAGAAATATTATTTTTTCTTTTTAATTTGGTTTTGACCTCCTCCGTTATAGATAAAAAGTGCTGAACATAAACGCCTCTCGGGATGCCTTTGAAACCTACTAGAAGGGGTTTCAAAGGCATTCCAAAACTAACGACTAGTCATATTTTCTGACAAAATGGTTGATTACGGGTTGTCGGTGTCCGTGATCTATTTTTGACCCATGTATAAGTATAAATTTTTTGAAAGAATACTTTTATGATTTTTTACACTAACCTTCACCGAGTGGTATGGTTCTAACAACTTTAAATTAGTTAAATATAAAGTAAAACTCAGTAATATCATAAAACTCTTTTAAAAAAACAAAGATAAAATTCCAACATAATGCAACTAAATTAGATATATCGTTTTTATCTCATCAATAATTTAATTATTAAATATATTATAAATACTAATTGGATAAGTAATATCATAAAAAAGTTTACACATTTGACCAGTAAAAAAAAAATATTGCCACTAGCAATACGACTAAGTTAAAATATTATAAATAATTGATTGGGTTAAAAAAAAAAAAAAAAAAAAAAAGCAAAGGCGATATAAATTTTTCGGCTGTATATGACATACATAGACACACTAGCTGCTTTATACGTTTTCAAAAAAAAAAAAAACATTAAAGTCCCTAACTTTGAAAGGACGTCCTTTTTCGTACTTTTGTAGTGGCTAGTTTTTTTGCCACATTCACCAATTCATAGCTACCTATTAATGCATTGACAGACAAGCTTGAAGTAAACCTTATTTCAAAAGTCTTACAAGTATTTTTTTTTTCATTCTGATAGTCAAAAACATAATAAAACGAAATTATTAGATAAATATTTTTACAAAGTTATATAAATTTATTTTAGTTAAATAAAATTTATTTTATATTAATTTATTTTAGTTAAATAAAACATCTAAAAACAGTTAAAATACTTTGATAGCATTATTAAAGTTCGTTTTTAATGTTCATAGAATTAAGCCCAAAAAAAGTGTTATTACTAATGCCCCGTGTTTCTCTTTGTCGCCTGACAAAAGCTGAGAATGTCGATAAACAGCTGCCAATAAAATAGTTTGACTTTGAAAGTATTGCAATATCAATAAGAGGCTCATCTACTTCTTCTTCGAATAATCCTTTTCTTGAGTATACGGATACCTTTAAATTTAAAATCAGGAAAAAGTAAATAATAACAATAATAATAAATACAATATATCATAAATTAGGCATAAACTTTGATACAATTATAAAGTAAAAATTATAAGAAAATCGTCGTATTTTTCAAGTTTTGTATAATTTGTATAATTATTAAATACATTTTATAATCTTCTTTGTTTTATTTACAAATCCAACAATAAGTTTTTAACTCAGAAAGGTGCTGGTGCTTTATACAAGGTCAAAACTCCAAAAAAAAAATGGTGCTGTTTGCTGTGACATAGCAGTAACGTTTTAGTCCATTCTTTTGAAGATCTAGTGGTGCACCTGAGTATAACCAGGTCACTCTCTTTTCAGTGGATTTTCTTTTCTATAACACTTAAACTAAATTTGCTTTCCAATATTGCTGGTATATTATGTTCTTGACAAACAATTGAGAACTAGTAATTGTAGTAAAATGAAATAAAAAAAGTTCTAGTTGCCTAATAATTTTCAAAGAATCAAAATTACATAGTGCAGTTTGAAACGAATGAAGCTTTTAGGCCATAGTAAAGGCAACTTAGGGGTCGTCTATAAAGTACGTACACTTTTTTGTCCGTCCCACCCCCACCCACCCCCCCCCGCATTTTGTATTACATTTTTTTTGAGTACCCTCCACCTCCCTAAAAGTACTTACGCTTTTAAACTATTTATCTAACATTTTATGATATCGGGTGGACACGGAAAAATCCGGTCAACTTTAATTTGAGATTTCTTTAAAACCATAAATGCTTTTAATTTCAATTTTTTCTATTATTAAATGTGTTTACTTCAATTAGAGTTTCAACTTAAATTTAAGGGGCTTGATGGGCTATTTGGCAAGATATCGAAATTTATAGCGGGTTGATGCAATCATTTCGCAGATTTTTTCTTTTTTCATCTTATTGGTGACAATAATCCAATTTTTTTGGAAGTCCTTTTATTTTTTGTTACTCCACCTGTCTTATAAAGAACTTTGTCAACTATTGCCCAAAAATCTTCAATATTGCGCTCTTCAGGACGATTTGGAGGATTTACATCTTTAGGATCAATTTTCACATTGTTATCTTTGCACCACTGTAGAACTTTTTTAGAATAGTGAGAAACAGCAAGATCTGGCCAAAAGAGAAATCAGTGTTTGTGTTTTTTTATAAATGGCAAAAGTTTTTTTTGGAGGCATTCTTTGATGTAGAGATCGGTAGTCAAGGTCTTTTTAGTAACAAAACAAGAGGACTGCATACCACAGCTACAAATTCTTGCCACTTAAGGAACTTGGATGCAAATTTTTCTCGTCAAATATATTTAGATTAATCACCAACAGGTTTATCTTTGTTCTCAAAGTAAAATGACCAGGAAGTTGCGAAAAATCCGCCTTGCAACATGTTTCGTCGTCTTCAATTATACGCATACTTTTATCCGCCATTATTTTAACCAATTTCTTTGCGCGTTGAATTTTACCATTTAAGCTTCTCTTAGATGTATTTTTCTTATGAAATGCTTTAATTCCAGCATTTTTAAGTACTTTTTTGATATAAGAACGCAACGTCTTGAAGCCTCTTGCTAGATCTCGCTGTGACTGGTTCGGATTTCTTACTATTGAACGTAAAATCCACTTTACCTTTTTAAATTTATGGAAAGTTTTCTTTCTTCCACTTCCAGGTTTTCTTTTAAAGCTTTGAGTAGTTTTGAACATATTTATAATATCTTTGAATGTAGATTTTGGGACATTTTTACGTTTGGTAATCAAGCGATATGTCGATAGATTTTTGCAAAAAAAATTCACAACTTTTTTACGCACCTCAATTTCGGAAACAAATCATTGATTTTGTTTGCAAATCATTGATTTGTAAACAAAAGTTTACCAACACAATTAAAGATAAGGAAGTAACGTTTAATTAAAAAAATATAAAGCATTTTCGATTTTAGAGAAATCTCAATTTAAACTTGACCGGATTATTCCGTGCTCTCCCGATATTTTTTAAATTTAGTGTCTTCTTTCTTTTATAATTGATCCACTGCCTTCCCATCTCATATACGCCATTTGCAGACCCCTCTTCCCTTCCGAGCGTACGTACTTTATGGTACGTACGCTCGGAAGGGAAGAGGGTTTATATATATTTACCCACAGATAAAAAAAATTAAAATTTGTTGGTGAGGTCAGGAAAAAATTATAACCCTTGGATGGTGATCTTTTTGTTGGTAGTACCATAATTTTTTTTTTAAAACACTACTTTTAACTTGAGGATGCAAAACCATGGTAGATTATTGCATAGCATTAGAATACAGAAATTTTGTTGATAAACAATAGCAACATCTTGATATACCTTTAATATTTAGGTGTTGCTATTAACAAATTTTATGTAAGTTATAGCTAAGTTTTAAAAAAAAATGAATATCAGTTAAAAATATAATTAAAATTTAAAAACATAAATTTATATATAAAATGGATTAAATAATGACTAAAACTATAAATAAAAAATTACCTTAAACTGTATCAATTCTTTTTTAAAATCATTCAACATGTTATCATTATCTGTAGCAATATACAAAACATTTAGCTTGGTTGCTTTAATGCATTTTTTAACAAGGCTAATAATCTCAGTTTTTGACGGATTGCACATCTCATGAGTCAATTTTTTCTCATTATCGTAGCCAGTACACTGCGCTGATGAAAATATACTACCTTGATATTTGTCAAGATCGTCACATATACCTAGCTATTGAAGAAAAAACACACAAAAAATTATTTATCCATTTTTTTTCCATTTACTTACAATAAAAAGAAATCTTGATCATTTCATAAAATTAGAATTTACCATGTCTTGCCCATTACGCAAATGAATTGCAATGTATTGGTTCCCATTGAGCTCATTTTTAATGTAGTCATCAGCCTGATTATTTAACTGGTCAGAAAACTCCACATATTTTTGCAGATATTGGTGTTCTCTTAAGGAGGGAAAATTACCAGGTGCTCCTTGAAAAGCAAGAACAGGAAATTTAAAAGAAGGAAACCTATAAAAACCAAAAAATACTCTAGTTTTTTTGGGGGAAAAAATTTATATTAAATAAATGTATTAATTGTCTAAAGGTTGAACAGAAAACCATATCTATTTGTTAATTAAACATATTTAATAATGAATATACTATTCAAATTTAATCCCAATAATTCTTTATTTTAAAAACAATTTTTTAATGTTTAGCATCAATATGTATATATGAATCAATATGTATAAATGTATATATGAATCAGTGTTTTTTAAAATGATTAATTTGCTCAAAACTTCTTGAGCGAATCCACCCTTTTAAAAAACACAGATTTATATATATTTGTCAGTCAATGTAGCAGACTACTTGCATGTTCTACATATTTGTCACTTGATTTATGTAAACAGTAAAAAAAAAAAAACAGTAATAAAAACATTTAAAATGTTTGTTTTCTTAATTAAAAAAAATAAAAAAACATTCCAGTTTATTAAGTTGTATTTTCGAGGTTTTATTAAAATAAAAATTATTTAAAAAATTCCTCAATCAAATCAAGTAGTTTTTACATAAAGCGTACTTAATTCTGTCACTTTTAATTTGTAGTGTAAATTGGCTCTTAACAAAGAGTTGTTAAGAGCCAACTTACACTACAAATTGTAAACTTAGATGGAAAACTATAGAAGTATATATATCAGGGTGTTAGCCAGCCCAATAACAATAAGAATAATGCAGAATTCCCAATGGGTTTAAAACTCCCAAAATGACTAAATAAAATTTCCAAAATTTAGTATAACAATAACAATAAATATTACCAATAAAAATGCAGTAAAAAATAAATTATATATATATATATATATATATATATATATATATATATATATATATATATATATATATATATATATATATATATATATATATATATTAGAGATAGGAAACAAGCGGAACTGAACTAGAATCTAACATACTACTGAACTGAACGGAACCCAAACATTACTTGTCATCAAACCGAACCTGAACTTTAAATTGAATAGACTTGTTGTCAATTTTAAAAACAAACCGAACAAACTGTACTTACCCTAACCAAACTGAAAAGAGATATTAGTGAAAATTTTGCAATTTGCACATACATAACATAATCCATAATATAATCCATAAAATAACTATGTACATATGTGTAATTATGTAAAATTATTATATACATATTCTTTTATGTAATAGATTATATATATATATATATATATATATATATATATATATATATATATATATATATATATATATATATATATATATATATATATATATATATATATATAATGTGATTATATTTTATCGCATTACATGTATAATTATAATACATAACATAACATAATAATCATAACCTTATACATAAAATAATTCTTCAATACATAATACGTAAGATAAGTCTACAATTTAGTACATAATACTATTTTGCTTACAGCCAGTCTGTAAGATCAATGGTTCAGATAGTGACAGTATGTATAATAGAAGGCAGCTTTACTGTCCAATATGAATAAAAAATATATTATTCATCTTTTGCACAACCTTTCAACACTTATTGTTCCTTTTTACAAATACTTGTTTTTTGTCAATGCAGAAGATCCAAATTTTGTTTATTCAAAGATGCGTAGTATGGTACACAAACTTTTTTTTCAGATATGGACACCTTTAGTGAATGCAGTCATTCAGATCTATTGTCTTCAAAAGAGAGTAAAGCTAACCCTAAATTGTATAATTTGCTGGCAGGTTTTAAAACAGCTGCCACTTCACTGTCTAAGGCTGGCAATAATGACACAAGATATGAATTTGACAAATACTTGGCACTGCCTGTAACAGTGTGTGATGCATTGCAGTTCTGAAAAACAATGACCATTAACCTAAACTTTCAACAATTGCATTGACTGCTAGAGAATTTTTAAGCTATTCCTGCTACAAACACAGCCAGTGAAAGAGTGTTTTCAGTATGTGCGGTGACGATTAGTAATCGCAGGGCTCGCCTAAATCCAGAAACATTAGAAATGCTAATATACATAACATGCAGCCCTGATTACTAGACTGACAGTAGGCTGCTTAAGCTACTGTTATCTGTGTTCAGAAAGTTACTGCTTTTATGTTTTGGGCACTTAAACTACAGTTTTTTATTTTTAAACTTTTGTAGTTGCAGTAGTTAAATCGTAGTTAAAAACAAATAATTTGCAATGTTTAAACTACTTAATATTACTTTAATTTATTTGTGTTTTATCTTTGTGAACTTAACTAACAAAACTAATAAAAAAACAACTGAGTTGATACCGAAGCAAATTCAAACTTTAATTGTTACCAAATGGAACAGAACCCCAACTGCACTTAAGACCGAATGGAACCAAACATACATACATACATACATACATACATATATATATATATATATATATATATATATATATATATATATATATATATATATATATATATATATATATATATATATATATATATATATATATATGTATAGGCTTGGCAAGGAACATCATAACATGATGACGAAAATACTATTTGATTTTATTAAACTTGACAACGGCTGTTAATATGTTTTGAAAATTTGTATACATTTTAAAAACGCACTAAAAAAAACTATATAGAAACTTAAAAAAAACAACTTATAGTTAAAGAAGCAAATAAATCTTCGTAAAAAAATAACGAAAAAACAAAACAAAAGCAACTTAACTAAAACTAAAAAAGCAAAAATAAAATTAACTAAATTAATTAATAAACTATAATGATAAAATTATCTAAACGTTTGGAATAAATAACTTTGAATCATTTATCTTTACTAATGTTTTTATAAAATAATATTATGCGAAATCCTTAAAATAAAACAACTGACTTTAAACAACGATTTGTTTTACAACTAACGATTGTTTAATAAATGCGCAAATTTAAAAGTTTAAAAAAAGATTCTTAACAATTCTTCGCACAAAGAAAAGAATAATTAAATCGTTTATTTAAACAATTGATATAATTTTTTTTTATTTAAAAGCATTTATAATAAAAAAATAAATACATATATTTTTCACTAATGTTTTATATAATATCATTAGCAGTGATTTGTTACTTTATTTAAATGCATTTCAATGATATAAAAACGTAAGTTAAGATCAAAGTTATTTAATTCAAACGGCTTTCAAATGTATATATATATATCAAGGGTTGAATAATAATTTTTTTCCTAACTTCCATGAGCGGCAGTGTGTGTATATATATATATATATATATATATATATATATATATATATATATATATATATATATATATATATATATATATATATATATATATATATATCACTCTTGAATACTGACCACGGAAATTATATTTAGTTGCGTAGAATTGGCCAGGTTTTTTAGTCGTTTTGAGAACATTTAAGTTTATGTACAAAACAAAGAATTTTTGTTTTACGGACATACATGGAAACATAAAAAACTTGAATGTTCTCAAAACATCTTTGTGCGAAAGAATAAAAAGAATATTTGCGAACACTAAAAATCCGCCAAATTAACAAACAAATTCTATTGGTTCAAAAAATACGCTGATTAAGCAAAATAAAGTTCTAGAGTATTCTGTTAAAATGTTTTAGAAATTGTATTGTTACGTTTTGAGATTTCTAGCATTGTTTTAAGAATATATATTATATGTTTACAAAAATAAATGTTTTAAATATATATTAATTAAATTGTCAAAATTTTAAAAAGTTTATTATAAATCATAGATTTTATTAGTATATTCTTAATTTTTATTTTAAAAGAGATTGTATTCTTTATGTAAATGTAATTTTGTGTATTTGTTTTTTATCGTAATGTATCTTTTAAAGCAATTTTTATGATTTAAAATTAGACTTACAAAAATAATTGCGTTTTCAATGAAGTTATAATCATTAAAGTTAATAAAACTAATTATGTAACAAACATATAAGAAGTTTCTAGTTACTAAACACAAACAACGGATACAAAGTAACTAGTGGATAAACAAGCATCGCGCCTGAGGTCACGACAGAACACAAATATATAATAGCAAATAATTAGATATAAAGGAAAGTTTCTAGATATTGGTTTACTAACTCTAATTATTTTCGCTTAAGTTACCATTCTTAAAACTCATACTTTTTTCTGCTTTAAATACTAATTAAAATTAAAAAGCCCACTCACTAAACATCATCAGCGATATTGTGAAGCAGTTTCGCTTCCTGGTCATTAAGTATTTTTAACCTTTTTAGTTGATTTCTATCTTGATAATTTAGATCCTATAGTAATTCAATGATTTAATTATTTCATTTGTTTATCTTACTAAGAAGAATCACTTCAAATATGTTAAACCTTTCAAACTACGCGAAACATAAAATAGGTATTAAAAAAATTAACTTTTTTATTTATAAAATAAATTAAGCTTAAGTAAAACTAAAACTTGCAAACTTAGTTAAATAAAGAATATTTGTTTCCCTTTTAAACAATCGTAAGTTGTTACTTTATATAAAAAACATCGCTTAATTTTATAAAAAAAATATAAAAAAGCGATGTTTCGAAAATATTTGTTCTAAATATAATTTATTTAGCTTAAAGTTTTTTCGCGTTTAAAGATATTTTATTTGCCTACGTTTTTTTTTTTGTAATTGTCTCTCATCAGTCCAATTAATCTTTGTCGCTTTTTTTTTTTTGCTTTTTAAAATGTTCTCAAAACGACTGAAAAATCTGGCCAGCTTTTCGCAACTAAATATTATTTACGTGGTCAGCAATCGAAAGCGATCGCTCCCGCTTCCGGACCAAGCCTGATATATATATATATATATATATATATATATATATATATAAATATAAAGTTTACCTACCTTTGAATCCAGCCCTGCCTTGTGTAAGCATCACCTAAAGTGTTCCATAGCAATCCTTTATGTTCTATAGTAGATACAAAACTTATATTGAAATGATCCCAAAATGGACCAAATGGATTTCCTTCTTTCATAGCACATTCTTTATTGTTTCGAAACGAATAACAGAAACCTAAATTGTTATAATAAAGTTGTTAATTAACTAGAATTTTTAACAGTTATAAATAGCAAATTCTCCATGCAGAGGTCTTGTTTATCAAGGTACCTGTTTTAAAGTTAAAAGGTGGTAGGAGTATATACAACAATTTAGTTTTTTTCTTCTTTTAGCAAAAAACTGTTTGGATTTAGGTCAGCAAAATGCTGGCTAATCTATATATGGTAGAGTATATATATATATATATATATATATATATATATATATATATATATATATATATATATATATATATATATATATATATATATATATATATACTCTTGCATGTCTCTTGCGTGGCATCAAAAAATGTTTCCCATAAACTGTAGTTTTAAAGAGCGCGTTAATAAACCAGACTAGAAAAAGTTTTAAAAATTAAATTTTTTTTTTTAATTGATAGACTGCCTGGCCAAACCAAACCCTCAGTCGATGTAGCAGCACTCTCTTGCGAGTCAGGCTATTTGTCAGTCGTTGTAGCAGCACTCCCTTGCGAGTCAGGCTATTTGTCAGTCGATGTAGCAGCATTCCCTTGCGAGTCAGGCTATTTGTCAGTTGATGTAGCAGCACTCCATTGCGAGTCAGGCTATTTGTCAGTCGATGTAGCAGCACTCCGTTGCGAGTCAGGCTATTTGTCAGTCGATGTAGCAGCACTCCGTTGCGAGTCAGGCTATAAGATAGTCGATGTAGCAACATTTACGCATGTTTTAAAAATGTTTTTTATTAAATCAATAACAAAAACACCACTAATTAAAAAAAACTTTCTAGTTGTTATAATTGCGGTTTTTTAAAAATTTTTTTAAAAACAATTAAATTTAATGTACTTCCGCATAAATTAATTGCTTTGACATTTCGATGACAATCAAAAACAGCTTAAGAGACGAGGTAATTAAAATTGTAGTCGTAAGAGACTTTTTTTACATTAAAATGCTCTTAAAGCTACACTATATGGATATATATATATATATATATATATATATATATATATATATATATATATATATATATATATATATATATATATATATATATATATATATATATATATATATGTAGGACAGATTCACATAAACTGATTCACATCAATAGAACAGATTCAGAGAACAAATATATATTTTTCACACTAAATTCATAAAAAAAAAAACATTGTATAAATATTGGTAATGCAATACAGTTTATTCAAAATAGAAAATAAAGTGAAAATAAGTAACTAAAAAATAGTAAACAACCAAAATTGTTGAAAAATGACTAGGGCTAAGGCTGGATTTGATAAAATATAGCTGGGGCCAGGTTTGTGAATGGAGCTGCATAAACATTTATACATCCTAAAGAGTTTTTTATTCAAACTTCGTGTTATAATATATAATGCATATTACGAATATATTAACATTATCATGATCAACATGATCATCAAAATCATCATCATCACAATCATCATCATCATCATTGTTGATGTTGTCATCATCATCATTACCATCATTATCATCACCCTCATCATCATCATCATCATCACCGTCGCCGTTGTCATCATCATCATCATCATCATCATCATCATCATCATCATCATCATCATCTACTTCTCTACATGCTGATACCTAAATCACTTTAACTTTCTTTAACTAACCTTGTTCAATACAATGTTTTTTTTTCTCATTTGTCTAAGAACCTTCTTTTCTTGTCTTGTTAGAATCATACTATGCATCCATCTGATCATTTCCTCTTTTGCCAAATACTACCATTTTATATAAATACTAAAGTTTATATAAATATGTAAGGATATTGTATGCCAGCATTTATATAAATAGCAAACATGTTTATATCCATTTATATCCATATAAAGTATGCATAAATGTGCATCTTAGAAGGTTTTATTTCTTCTGTTCAATTTTAAGTCAATCTTCATTCTACTCCATATTTTTTACTTATGTGAGCAGGATGCAACAAATCTACGAATTAGTAACATTTGTTAAAAAATACAAAAAAAATGAACGCTGTATTTCTTAACTTTAGATTAAGCAAACGTTGGTGTTCGGTTACAATTTTTCAAAACGAACGCATTACTTCAGCATATTTTTTTTATAAATAATTATGTGATTGATAGTTTTTTATTTATTATAAAAAACACATATTTTAAATAAAAATATTTAGTTTCAAAAACTAAAAAAAAAACATTTTTATAGACTTAAAAAGAAATCATGCTTATTTTCTTCAAAAACTATGACCATTGGGTGACAGGCACAAAATTTAGGGGTATAAATACTGCAAAGCATTATGCAACGATTTTAAATATAGAAGATGTCTAAGTTGGTGTTAAACTGAATATTGCAATGATTTTTAATGACATTGTTTAAATTCAATTTAAATCTTTATATTTTTTGTAAATAAATTATTTGTGTTTTATTTATTATTCATCTGATTTCTTAAATGAACTTTTTACAAACAAAAAAAAAAAGTCTAACACCCAAAAAAGATTTTTCCTTTTACTGTGAAAACCGTAAATGCCTTTTTTATCACTTGTTTATTTTATTGATAGCGTATTATTATTTATTGAAAACCAACCCATATGGCCGCCTTGACAAATCAGGAACCAACCTTTAATTAGATAGTGTCTATTGGGACGGCCTCCGTGTACAACTTGTAAAAAAGACTATTGGCACAGCTGCCATATACACAGTTAAGAAAAGGTGCTTGCACAGTAAAATTAGCAAAATTTGAAATAGGACTGCACCATAAATTTTGAATTAATTAATAGGTACAACAAAACAAATTAAAAGCTGAAAAGGAAGATCCGAAAGAAAATGACAGCTTTGTTAATTACATAGAATTCTAAAAAAGTTCTAAAAAAAACGCGAAAAGAACAAATAAAATTAAAAACTAATTTTTAAAACCCAGTGCTTTTATATGTTTTAAAAACACAAATTTTGCAATAAGTTTTTTCTGATAATACTATTTTATTTTACTAACATTCGGCTGTACGCGTGTGTAAAATAACAAAAAAAATATCCAGGAAGAGGCAAGACTCGAACCTACGACCTTCAGTTTACGAGGTCAATGACTTTACCAAATAAGCTAAACGCGCGATTAAGTATTTAAACAATTAGTATACTTATTTATAAATTTTAACTTCTTCTTTCCATATAAAAAAAAAATTTAATTAAAATTAACTAAATTAGTTAACTTATTGCATAACTAACTATTGAATATTGTATTGTCATCAAGCAAGAGTATGTATGCAAAATTTGAAGAAATTCTATAATCAGGAAGTGACTCAAAAATTGATTGCAAGATTTGGTTTTGCGGCTGTGTGAATAGCCTTTTTAGAATGTAAACACAGCGTGCAAATAGCATCGGCCCTTTCATTACAAGGTATATTAAGGAAACAAAATTAAAAATACAAAGAACTTTATTCTGAGAATCTTTACAATAAACTTTTCTGAACTGCAATTATTATGTTCTCAGTTACATCTTATGATTTCTTACAAACGTCAACATTCATTTAAAAAAAATAAATGATTTGTCGCGCCCTGGTGAGCAGTTACTTTATTAAACCATAATCATTTTTTAAATCTTTTTTACAAGATCTTTCTAGAAAAACTAATGTCCTTTTATTATTGCAAGAAGCTAATGTAAAAAGGTCCTGTCTGATGTTAAGCTCTGCTATTCTCAGTTTACTAAATCTTGTATTTATCTCAGATATCAGGCTCTAGATACTTTTGCAAGTCTTCAACAGTGTCATTAACTTAACTAAATTTAACATTTAATCTCTAATTCATGGGACTGATCTTTCTACTTCTCCTTAGAATAGGTCAGTCATTTGGAAAGAACTTTTCCTCTAACTTGACTCTTGAATCAAATGGCCATATTCTTTCTGTAATCCAAATCCAAATCACTCTAGCTTGCGATGTTTAAGTTCTGAAAAAAGATGTTTAAGTTCAGAAATACTTCTACAGTTTGTGCTTCAGACAAAACTTCTATCATAGTCTTAAAAAAGTGTTCTCCAGAACTCTCTTTAACTTTTGCTAAACTTTTAAATAGTGCTAAATAAGTGGTTCCAATTTTTCAAAACTCTAGAAAACACTTTGACCTCTCTAACTATCCAACAATTATTATTCACTCTGTTATTAGTTTCTTTATATAAAGATTTTGAGATTGTTAAATCATTTTTTTCTAACTACAGTAATTTTAATTTCATTTCGAGCAACTTTAAGGTTACCACTAAGTTCTACCTTTGCTTCTGTATTGTTTGTTATCTCCAATAAAAGTCTTCATAAAAATTTTTGTTAAAAAAAGTGGCTCTATTTGCTGACAATTCAACTTTATACTCTTGTCTCGTGGCTCATAGATTTTAAGTCTGAACTTAAAATCCACAATTTTGTTGGACAACAAAACTCATTAATTTACTGCAAATTTTGTGGGCATTCTTATATTGATGAATGGCATAAAAAATATTATTATTTAAAAATATTATTATAACAACTCTCTCACTCTCAGACTAAGTCTAAAAGCACATTGTAAATGCAACTCGACCTGCTTTATTTGCCAAGCTTGAGTCACTCTACTGTTGTCAATAAGTATTTCTTTCTATTTTCTACAATTACTACCATGGTCAATGCTCAAACAAGCTATCATCTCTAGTTTGATCAACCAAAACTCATCCAAAACTCACTCGCTTAGCTTATTAAAAGGATACAAGTTGCATTCTTTTACTTTATCTGTTCCTTAATTCTATAAAAACTTTTATTAAGCCGATTTTTTCTATGTACCTCAACAAAACCTCATAACTCTTACCCATTTTCATGTTTACCTGACTTATATAGCCGACAACTTTTTAAGTCTTTAGTTAATTGTTTCTTAGCTCTTTAACCCTATCCTCTATTTTCTAGTAACTCATAACTTAATAGTGGCTGCTTGCAACCTTGTTGCAAGTAAATTAGTTTTTAAAAATATATAAATATATGCTAATATTTAATAAATAGTAAATGTAAGCATAAATTTATAATATATAAAATATACTAAATTTTTTTCTAGCCCCGGCTATCAACCCCTGCTAAATCTTGCCAGAGACAGGTTAGCAAAAAGTCTCATTCTTTGCCGGGCCCTGGCCACTTATTACTGAAAAGTACATAATAGCAATAACAACATTAACAATAAAACAATTTATAATAATTTCAAACATGAAATTGCCATTTTCTTCGTAATTGGCATTAAGATTAGCAAACTAAATTTTACTATAGTAAAATCTATCTTGTTATTTGACCTAAAGATTAAGGTTGGCATTAAAATTAACTGCTCAAACTTAAACCCTAAGCGTATATATGTACACTCCTATCATGTTTTTCTTATTTAAGTCAGTTGATGCATGTAGACTTCCTGCATGTTCTTAAAAAAAAAAAACACAAAAAAAAACAAAGAAATATATGTAAATAAAATAAAATAAGCAACAAAAAAATAAAAATAAATACTTTCTGGTGCAAACAGACTTGCAGTTCTTTAAAAAATGATTAAACTTAGTTACATTAAACACAATATTTATGAAGGCAAACACAGTAAAAAGATGAACTCTGTAAATTTAACCTTATTTGATTGTGCCATCAATTTCCTAACTTCTTCAACTACTCTTTAAGTTCATTTAAGGAGTTGCTTATGTGAAACTCCGCTTTCTGTAAGAATCATTCTATGAAAGCTATTCATTTTCCAGCTGAGAGGATATATGCTGTTAATGGATTATTGGGATTATATATTTATAATATATACTTTTCAATGAATTATTGGGTAGGTTCAAAGTAAGTTTTTGTATGAATTGAGATACTAGTTGAAAGGACAATGAATACTTTTAAATCTTAGTTATTGTTACATACAATTTAAGATACTAACATTTTCACCTGTTTGATCTTCGAAGAACTGCACATTTTCATTATCATTTTCCTGGTCCTACATGGCTTGTTCTAAAATATAAATGCCATACTCAAGTACTGTCAAACAGTTGAAAAAAGAATTCAGAAAATTTTTGCACTCAAGGATGATTCTGGTTTTGCATTTTGGCAGATTTTTGTAGCCTAGGTTTTCCCTGAGTTTTACAAAAAACTATTTTCCAGATAATGTCAAATTATTTTTGTTTTGATTTTTGTTATTTTCTTGTTCTTTTATTCTTTACTTATTTTGTCCACGATAACCGAGTTTTATTTTTTTTTCTTCCACTTATTTTATTAAGTGTCTTTATTTATTTTTAGTTTTTATTTTACTTAAAAAAATGTTCACTGAAAGTACAAACTATAATGAAATAGTGATACCAATTCAAATCTCTAGGAGTAACAAAACTTAAAATGCTGCAACAGATCAATAATAATGACGTTATCTAAATTTAATGTGGCAGCAACCACCCATTTATAAAGTTAAACTAAAAATTTTCATTTAAAGTTAAAGCATGGTTAGATCTAAAACTTTTTAGAACCAAACTTTATTTACAACCAAAACACACTAACACACTAACTATTCAACAACAAAATTTATTTATTGTGTAACAATCACAATAATTTATAGTGTTGTGATGGCAATCAAATTTTAACACACAAAGTTAATTTTGTATAACACATTCGAGTCAATGAAACAACAGCAGGAACAAACAGATACAAATCATTATCAAAAGTATTATAAATTATATTAAAGTTATGTTATAGTATTATAAAAAACACAAATTTTTTAAGCAACTAAAAAACCTTTTCTTTTTTCGGGTGGCCAGATCTTAGGTGACAATTTTTCCATGAATTCCTCCATTAATATGACACGATGGTATGACTGCAAAGGATTCACTTTAAACCATCTATCAAAGTTAATTTGAAGCTAAATAAACCAATTATTAGTTAAATAAAATGAAAACTGATAAAAACAATAATAATAATAATAATAATAATAATAATAATAACAATAATAAAGATGTAAAACAAACAAAAATTAGAAACAATTTATGATTTTATGCAACACTTCAAGTTTTACAACTTTATAATTTTTTTTTACTCTTTTGATTGATTTTAAATAGAAATAGAGAAACAATATATTAAATAGAAATAGAGAAACAATATATTAAAATCAAACAAAAAGATTAGAAAGATAAATAGAGAAACAATATATTAAAATCAAACAAAAAGATTAGAAAGATAAAGATATTACTTTATCTTAACTTTATCAATAATTAAATATTGATAAAGTTCACCTGAGACCTAGGTACAAGACTGATTCTTTGAAGTTTAGCACAAAAAAAAACTTACTGATTTATAAATCATGCGAGATGAATATGTAACCCAAGGTGGCAATATCAGAGTTCTATTAATTCCTTTTGCAAATGCCAGGGCACCAATAAACTGCTCTGCTTGATTTCCGAATCTACCTTTAAATTATTAAGATATTGTAATATATATTTTATACAAATCTAGTCCTAACAGTGTAAACCCAAAATAAAGTGAGACATAACGTGCACTATGAAATGATAACAGAGTAATAATAAAATTCTGAATGAACAAAAAACAATACATACCCATACAAGGGCAATATACAACATAACCATTTTCGTCTATACTTTTACAAGTGATAATATCAAGCCAAAGTATAATAATAAATATTAACATACTATAAAGATAAACTAAAAATATAATCTTTATTTACATTTATAGTGTAAACCAAAATCTAAATTTATACTAAATTAGTTTAGTACATAAAAATAAAAAAAACCTTTTGTCTTAATTGCCAAAAAATGAAAAGAATAATTTATTATTTCATGAATGAAGACTTGTGTTTTGCATACTCATATTTTGATACAAAACATTTTTGTCTAATATTTCTACAAAAGATTACTTTAATTTTATCAATCAATAATCATAAAAATTTATTGTGAATAATTTATCTGAACTATGATGTACTTGTACTATCTTTTGCAGATGATGGTTTGTGTACAATACATTTATGAAAATAGCATAAAATTTATAGCACAATATGTATTAATTAAAAATTAATTTTGTTAGTTAAAACCAACGAAATTAATTACCATACCAGGAGTATTTAATAAGCATGATAATGGTTATCATGTAATAATATTTTATAATTATTAAACTAAATTACATAATAATACATATCTACCATTATTATACTGATTTGCTAACTGTTTTTTTTTTTTTAGATCTGGTTATTAAGATGCTCCAAGATGCAACAATCTTAGTACAGAGTACTGTGAAAGAATATTTAACTCATAAACTCCCACCTCTTTACTGATTGGCAAATATGGTCAACTCTAGCATAAAACTTCTCAATTCTGAAGAACATACTCTAATCACTGCCCAATGGCTGCTCTTAAGGAAAATAACTTTTTTATTGTATGGTTAAAAATATACCCATAATGATACTTGAAGCAAATTTTAAAATTTTATATATATATATATATATATATATATATATATATATATATATATATATATATATATATATTTGTATATATATATATAAAATGTGGAAGCCATATTTTTTAAACTTGCATTACCCAAAAGAAGCCTCTTTAATGTGAACTTTAGGGAAGCCATTAAAAGGTAATCTTATCATTTGTATTGTTATCTTATATGAGATTTAGATAAATTAAATTTATAAACATCAATAAATATAAGTTCTCATGATTCTATTTTAAAATTATTTTAGGTTTTAGAGATTAATTTTTTAGATTATTGTTTATATTTTTAATTAAAAATCTAAAAGCTGAATATGCTAATATCAAAAAATCTAGTAAATTTTTTAAAAATAATAAAAAGCTCATCTTTACTTTCTTTGTTGTTGTTGTTGTTGTGGGTTATTAAGGTGCATATATACATACATACACACATACATATATACATAAAAGTTAATAATAACAGCTACAACAATAGAATCAAAAAAAAAACTATGATATGAAAGATAAGACCAGTTAATGAATATATTTTAATTTTGTTATCACACAATGTACAATTGAAATGCTTCTTTTGGACTTCTATTGATGACTTGATGGCCTAAAATCAAAAATTAGTCATATAGTAAGATAATCGCAAGCAAATACTAAAAAAAAGATAATAATTATAAACAAATACTAATAGAAATCTCTAAAAATTATTGAAATTGCAAACATAAAAACTGCCCTTTGAATGGAAAATGCTTAAAAATAATTTGCCCTATGAATAGAAAATGTTTATTTGTAAAAAATATTTACAAATACATCGTTTCCTCATTAAATAACCCTGATAAACAATATATTGACTAAAGGCAAATGGAAAAAACATTACACCAACCATAATTATATATATATATATATATATATATATATATATATATATATATATATATATATATATAAAAATAGTATTGCATAAGGTAAGCAATCTGACGTCATACTGAAATAGCCTGCTGCTGGGGGCTTCAGTACATACATCGACTGACAAATAGCCTGACTCGCAGTGGAGTGCTGCTACATCGACTGAGGGTTTGGAATGGGGCAGCAATCGTTTTATTCATCATTCTTCATTTTTTTCCTTCTTTTTCTAAAAAAGCTGTATGGGTTAAGGTAAGCAAAAAAAGTGAGCAAATGCTTATAAAAATACGCTTTAGTAAGTGTATATATATATATATATATATATATATATATATATATATATATATATATATATATATATATATATATATATATATATATATATATATATATATAATTAGTTCTCTATTTTTTCAATTTTATCAAAACCTATCAAGCAATAAAGTTACAATTTTTTAATATATTATCTATAAAAAGATTTCACTTTTTTTTTTCTTTACTTTTTATAGACCTATAAATTACAGAATGACTTACTTTGCCCATTCAACATTCAATATTAAATGATCATATCCATATCCTTGAAGTGATTTTATGGCTCGGGCAGCATCTTCACGTCTAATATAGCTGACAAAAGCAAAACCCTGAAAAAGATTTTCACTTCTTGTTAAAAAAAATATCATAATTTTAATGAATGAACTTAGATGGATAAGAATAAAAAGAAAAGAATACAAAACAGTCTATGTAATACAAAAATATATTATCAAGGGAAATTCATTTTATTCTTATCCACCTAAAAAAATTTAGATTTAAACTCATTGATTTTCTTCTTAAAAGTAGTGAATATACCTAAATCTACATAAGTAAGATGTTTTATTGTAAAAATAAAAAAAAAAATTAATAGAGAATAGACAAATTTTTATAGATTTTTTGAAATTTTATAAGTTCTTTCATGTGATTCTTATTAAAGGTTCTATATAGAAAATTCTATTTGAGGTCTAATAAAAAGAACCAGCATTTTCAAAGAATATTGTTTTTTGAATTGCTTTAGGACAATTTCTAGAAAAAAAACTAGAAACTTTAAGTGATTTCTAACGCTAGAAAAAACTTAAAGTAATTTCTAAACACTAGGAAAAACATTAAGTAATTTCATAACTCTAGAACTCTAACCTTATTATTTTTTTCTTACTATTATTAACAATTAATTTTCTTACTCTTGTTAACAAGAGTCTTTAAGAAACTTTAAACACATTATCTTAAGTTTTTTTCATTGTTTATATGACAATAAAAACTAATTTCAATCATCTCATTCTTTTGATGATTTGCTAATCATACAAATAGAAAAATTTTATTGTGTAGATTTGTTTAGCACATTAGATGGATGGAGTGTAGCAAATTTAGTAATGTTAGGGGCAATTATTGCTGCTAACATTTTAAAAACACAATTCAATATGTTGGTTGATGTAAGTTCTTTTTGCATTGCAAATTAGAAAAAAATTGAAAAACTATTGAATCTTTACTTTTTAATTGACTCTAAATAAAACTTCATTTTCATTGACTAATAAATTTTAACGCAAACAAGATTTTCTCCATTTTTGCATTGTTAAATAAGACTGGCAAAAACAAAAACAGTCATTTAAATATTAGTAAAAAAAGTCAAGATTATAATAATTTATTATCAAAAAATTTAATTTCATTCCAGTTCAACAATATTGTAATTTTAATTATGAAATTTTTTCAAAGAAATCCTCACTTATTTTCTTTTTATATTTGTAGAATGTACTTTTGTAGTTTCTTTATATGATAGGCTTGGTAAATTTTAAAAACTTTTAAAGACTATTGAATAAATCAGTTAATAATCATTGCTTTAGGTAGAACTTTAAATTTTTTGTTTAATATAAAAAAGATTAGACTTAATTATAACAATCTCAGGAGGGAAAAAAAAAGTGGAGATGGCAAAATCTTATAATAAAAAAATTGAAAAAAGAACAATGGATAAAATTTAAGAACAATGGACAAAAAAAAATTTATGGTGTACTTTACTTTTTAATGTTAACATTAGTATTTCTTATCAAAATTACTTTTCAAGAGGCATTATCTTCAAACTAGATTGTCATTACCTTCCAACTGACTGCCATAAATGTCTATACTTATGTTATAGTCAGCAATAAAAGTGTTGCGATAAATAAAATTTAATATTTACTAAAAAACAATTGCAAAACCTAATCTAATAACTAATTAGCAGACTTGGAGTTAATCAACTTCGGTATACAAACATGTCAGCTAACAGTTTTTAAAAAATATATATATAAAGGTTCTTATTACCTTTGATTGATTAGTGATTTTATCTTTTGCAAGATAAACTCGAGCTATTGAGCCAAATGGGCGGAACAACTCTTGAATATCCGCTTCACAGGCGTCTTCAGAGAGGTTTGTCACTCTTAAAGTAGCTGCTTCATCGGCTGTATACAAAATAACACCATATTTTTAAAATCATTTATTTTTGTTGGGGAAAATAAATTACTAAAAGGAGCAAACTTTAAATTAAAATAAACAATCAATGTTAAATTTAAAACTTTCTGAATCAATTTTAATTATTTCAAAATAACAACTCCCTTGCATCTCTCTAATTATGATTTCTCATTTTAAATATAGAATATTGCATTTAATGTGGAATACCTTGCTTTCGAGAATTCATTGTTTCTCCTCTTCTCTGTGTATCACCTCCAGTACGTAGTGAAGGAGGCATATATTTATCAGCACCAGCAGGTTTACCAGTTGCTTCATTTGGTAAAGAAACAGGTTCAGCTAAAAGAATATTTACAATATTATAAACTGTTTTCTATAATAATTAATTGTAAGTTATATTATATAAATTTTTTTAGTTATTCCCACAACACATTCCTTATTTCTAATTCTAATTGTTAAATTTATAGTTTAATTCAAATCTAAAACAGATAAGCTTAGTTTGCAATTCTAGTGATGCTCAATTTAGTTAAAAAAGCAAACGCTGAATGATGACACCTTTCTAAGCATTTCTCAATTTTTTGTGGAGCTCCATTTTAAATTTTAAAAAACTTTTTAATATATTCAAGAGGCAATTTAGTTTAAATTTAATAGTGGCCACTAAATTTTTGCAGAAAAAATTTACTGCAACAAAAATAGCAAAATTCACAAAGAAGCTCATAACAACATGGTTTAAATATTATTTGTATAAAGCAGATGTTAATCCAAGTAATACAAGTCTAGGATAAAAATACTTATTGTTATATGCCAAATTAAAAAAATAGAGATGAGGTAAATAAAAGTGCATAGTTAATTTAATCAAATTCAAAAGCATATACAAATGAACAGACTTTAAAAACAAGCATTTCTTGGTGATACTCGTGGTCCGAAAAGTACATAAGTTAGGTTTAAAATAACTTTGCCAGACCTGAAGGGCAAATAACAAAAGGTAATATAAAACTTGGGCCTAGTTTTTTTGAGTCAACATAGTCATAATACATGATAAAACTTTTTTTTCTTGAAAAAACCTTTAACCATGAATATAAAAATTAGCCATTGCTTCAAATATTATATGTTCAAGATTGCTCAATGGCCCATTCAACTGGCCTTAATTAACTAGCGATCATTTAATCAACGAGCGATCACTTGACGATAGATCACGAGCTAGATCATTTGATTAGCCCCTTAATATAAATTAGTATTTAATGAATACTTAGTTTCCACTTGGTTAATTTATTTCTTATTTAATTAATTACTTCATGTCGGTTAAAATAAAAAGAATTAAAATTTTTTGACCGAAATTCTGATTTGAGTTTTTTCAGCTTCATATACTTATGATTATATACTATTTTGAAACTGTGCACTTATAATTTTAAAATATTTTAAAAACTCTTTGCTTTTAAAATATTATAAAATTATTAAAAAACTCAATGTTTATTTTACTTTTGCTTCACTTTTATTTTTTTTAAACAAGCAAATAGAACTTATTTTTTATTACTTAACTCAATCTTAATGATTTTCTTTTGGTGATAACTTGAAAGATGATAATGATTTGTATGTTTTATTATATACAAACTATATAAAATATATTTTTTCATTTATCTTCATTTAAGAGTTAAACATTTTATTTTAGTAAGTATACTATTGAAAGTGGTTTCAAGTAAATTTTGATTTTACTATTTTGAGCTTACTATTATTTATAAAAACAAATGAGTAAATATAAGTTTGCTTCAGGTGTCAGTTATTGTAATCATAATTTTCACTTTGTTTTGAACTATTTTGTTCAGTTAATGAGGTAAATCAAAATACTTTAGCAAACCTTAGTTTTTTAACAAAATATCCCCTGTGCCCTCCTTTTCCTGGTAAAGAAAATGGTTCTGTGTGTCAATGTATTTTTCTCAAATTTAAACTTTTGATTGAGATTGCCTCTGATTCTTGGTAAAATGAATGAGGCTAAATCTAAATGATTGCAAGGTTGCACCTAAATGATTTCAAGGTTGCAGTGTTTTTACAAAAGACAAATTAGCTCAAAATTTCTTGAGCAAATCCACTCTTTTATAAAACACTGATTCAAATATGAACTCCATACAGGTATAAAAGACTCTATTTATAGTCAAATATAGGAAGTAAATAGACGTTTCTAAAAAATACAACCTCAGTGTGAAAATGTATATTTTAGCATACCATTCATTTGGTTTGCTTTAGAGCAGGATATATTAATTTGGTTTTTTGTTTTTAAATTATTTGAAATTTGGATATCAAGATGGGGTTCACAGTAAGTTTTACTTAACTCATAAGGTTTTTTGTTTAAATTAAAAAATATTTTGTGTAGGGATTCCAGCAACGGATAAGCATAATTTTGTATTTTGCGATGTTAATAGCCATTTGCCATTTTAATGCCCACTCAGTAATTTTGTCAATATCTAATTGTAATTTGGTTGTATTAGATATCGCATTACTACTATCAATTCTAACAATTAGCTTTATGACACCAGCGTACATCATTGAGATTCGTTATCAAAAAAATCATTTATAAATGTAATAAACAAAATAGTCCTAATAACACATCCTTAGGGTAGTCCACTAGTAGCAGTTATCCAATTAGGTTTGATTTCCATGACTACTCTTTGTTTTTATTAAGTAAAAATGAGCTTATCTATTCAAGTAGCTGACCAGATCTACAATGAACCGATTACAGATCTTTACTGTAGGTATTATAAAATCTGTATGCAATAACAATATTACAACACATAGCTGAATATTCAGTTTTTCAACGAGCACCATACCTACGATTGCTCACCATACCTACGATTGCTCACCATACCCAACATTAATGCCACACTCTGATCAGCCAAAGTAACAATATTTCTCTAATGTACAAATATTAATTTCTTAATTTATTTTGTTATATTTTTGTGAAATATATTTGATAGTAATTAGTTGATTGTAACACAGTTCCAAAAATATACAAACAAAGGTGTATTAAATAACTTTTAAGATATTTATGCAAACATAAATTTGTGTGTGTATATATATATATATATATATATATATATATATATATATATATATATATATATATATATATATATATATAGGGTAAGGCAAGCGAGTTCGTCATGTTTTACTTCAAAAAAATGAATTTGCATATAAATAAGTTATTTTTTCTAGTTTAATATTTTTTTTTATAAATTAGGGTCTATACTTTGTTAATGTATTAAATCAAAATATATTCTAAAGTTACTTTAGCGTAGAACTTGATTTTTTCATTATCAAGTCATTTATCAATTTGTCAGTACAGTTAAACTTATTGAAAAGTAATATCACTTGGGCAATAGACAAAATTCCTTACTAGCGGTTAAGGCAGCTTACCTAGGAGAAATTTTCTACATATAACATTATTGAGGTAACAGTAGGATGACTTCCCTAATCTAAAATAGTAAACCTAGAAGTTCCGAGTTCAATCCCCACCACATTTCTGGTAGTACCGCGCTCAACTTGTTTTTCTGTGCAGAGGCCTTGTTCGCCAAGGTTCATGTTTTGGAATTATAGAGTTGAGTGAGGATTGTATCAACTAAAGTAGCCTCTTTGACTGTAGTAGCCTTCATGGCCTTGAGGAGGTGAATTGAAATAAATAAAAATCTAATATGACATTAATTGTTAAACTTTTTCTAGAAAATATCAAATAATAAATTTTGACATAAATGAAAACCATGTAACTGCGCAAGCGCAAGAAATATCATCGTTTTCAGCTAAGTAATTAGACAAGGCTTCAGAACACATATGTTTAACTACTTTATTAACATGTGTGTCAAGTGGTTGAAGGCGATGTGCACTATGAAGTGGAATACATATCATTTCAATACCCATCTCTATTGCGAATTTAATTACTTCAATAGTCACATGATTTTAGTGGCCATCCAAAAATAACAATACTTTTTTTCCATTCACTTTTGTACGAAACTCATTAAAATGATGTAAAAAACTAATAAAAATCTCTTGATCAATATATCCACTTTTACTGCAATGTACTTTTGTACCTTAAGGAAATTCAGATACACCTGGAAACTTTGTTCCCTTAAAAATGAAAAATGGTGGTAAGCTGTCTCCTGCTGCATTGACAGTGGTTATGTATGTTGTTATTGTGCCACGTTCACCAATAGTTAACTTTTGTACCTCACGAGATCCCTTTAATGCTATTACTTTAGCAGTACTACCCTAATATATAAAAATAAAATAAAAAGATATATAAATATAAAAATAAAGTTTAAAGCTTTTAGGCATTTTGAGCATAATTTGTTTTCCTTTCAAAAAGCACTTGGTAGTTTAAAAATTTGCGTGATGAAACAACCTAATTAATTTTCAGCATTAACTTTTCTTTAATGACGAAGTTACCCCTCAATTTAGCATGTGCTAGCTATCATTACATGAAAAAAATTCTACATGAAAATTCTAAAGGCAAAAACATAGCAACTTATACTATTATTTTAAAAATACTGACATCGAGGAGCCAAAAAATATATACTTTGTGGTCAAAATATTGCGTATTTTGATTTTTTTTTTGACAATAGGCATTTAAACAGAAAAATACTTTTTCACCTTTAATGTTTACTTGCAATATTTAGAGAATAATCCAAGGTAAATATATATAACATTTATTTAATTGTATTTTACAAATATCTGTTGAAAAAGTTTCGAAAAAACCTAGTAAATAGATTTCTTAGTTTTTTTGCATTATTATTTTAACGCTGAGTCTCATAAGTGACGGATTCGCTCCGTGACGAATTCACCCCGCCTTACTCTATTAATAAATAAATATATATATGTATATATATATATATATATGTATATATATATATATATATATATATATATATATATATATATATATATATATATATATATATATAAAGTATCCCCTAACACACCATTTTCTTTAACTCTTTCTTTATCTTCCATTTCTTTAAGAGGTGTTAAACTGTCTTTGTAAGGACATTTTGTAGTCCAATGGTCCCCTTTGCAGATACGGCACTTCACAAGACTACTTCCCTTTAACTTCTTTAACGGATCATCTTTATCTTCATCTAATTCCTAAGATAAATCTTAAATTTTTGACTCTTTATCAAAAAATTAAAGCAAATACAAGTAAAAAAATTCAAAAAAAAAATCAAAAAAACAACAACTAAATATTGCTAAAACAAACCAAAAATCAAATTATAACTTGATTTTTATATTTAATGAAAGCTTAAATAAAATTAGAATTACCATATACTTTTTTAAAATTCAAACAATATTTAAAAAAGTTTATAAAAACAAACTTCTTTATTTGTTGTAAAGGATAGATAAACATCTTCTCCAACAAATGTTGTTGAATGATCAGGTCCATGAGGATTATCCCTTTGGGCTAAACCAAACTTTTTCCATGTCTATAAATAAATTATAAAACCTATGAATACATCCAATTTTTTAAATTTACATAATCAAGAAGTTTACAAAAAAAAAAAAGAAGAAAAGCAACAATGAAATTTTAAATATAATAACCAAAGGTATCTTTGCTAAGTCATAACATTAGTAATTAAACAATAACTAATAACTAGTATTTTAAATATTATCTAAAACCAGCAAAAGCTGTAATAACAAAGAAAGATCACTTTAAAAACATGGTAATTAAATAAAGGAATTGTTATTTACTTTGTTAATAAATGCTTATCTCAGAATTAGGGTTGGCCTTTGGCAATGCTGACCTGACAGTGCTTGAATTCAGCAATTTTTTTACGACCTCAGAATTTCAAAACTTAATTTATAATGCTATTAATTCTAATTCTTAAAAAACAAACATTTAAAATAATACAACAACAATAACAACAACAACAAAAAAACTTGTATGTTTTTCCAATTGTTGAACCCTTTTTCAAAATTTCGTACCAACCTGATACTAACCTAAAACAGATTTAGGTCTGCAATTTTTTCATGAAATTATTTTTCCTAATTGTGAAGGCTGCTTGTAGATGAGTTAAAAATAATTTTTTTTTTAATTAATTAAAAATAAATTAACATGAGTCAAACTAGTAGTACCTTTTAATAAAAGTGAGATGTTTTCCAGCTTATATTATCTTGGATAAGAGCTTAAATAAATCAGGGTGGCCACACTTTTTTTGTTTGAAAATATTAGGATAATTTAGGATAATATAGGAGTTTATATACTTAAAGTATATAAACTGTGAAATATAAAATATTTAGATGTAATTGTGCCTATATTTATTTGTTTTTTAAACCAATTTTGTTTTTATATATGATTCATTAAAATAATGGTGGCAATCTATCCTATCAAACTGCACAATTAAAGTTCATATCACTTTTAGCCAAACATAACTTGATATTTTTTTGTCAGAAGCCACACAAATATTATATATACTTTCAGACATGTTTAATTTCTTAAAGCCTTTTATATTGAGACGCAACCCTTTTCACAAAAAGGCCTTAAATGCGAGCTTCATAAAAACTTAGTGAATTTACACTTTCAATATTCTATTTAGCAGTCAAACCTTAGACAATAGTATATATCAGGCTTGGTTAGGAAGCGGGAGCGATCGTTCTCGATTACTGACCACGGAAATAATATTTAGTTGCAAAAAACTGATTTTTTAGTCATTTTAAAAACATTTCAAAAAATGCGCAAAAAATGCGCAAAAAATTTATTGGACCAATGAGAGACAATTACAAAAAAAAAAAAAATTAGGAAAACAAAATATCTTTCAACGCGACAAAACTTTAAGCAAAATAAATAGCTCTATTATAATTTTTTTATAAAATTAAGCAACATTTTATATAAAGTAACATTTTACGATTGTTTAAAAAGGAAACTAATGTTCTTTATTTAACAAAGAATGTAATATAATTTTTATTTATATAGTCATGTCTTTTTTCCAGTGTTAGATTAAGGAGGGTTGGGGTTAAAGGGGGCTTCAGATGCGGACCCGGCAATGTTAGGGCCCCAAAAATATCAAGACCTTTTTGTTTAGTCATTTTTATGTTGTGGTACATACAAAGGCATCCAAAATAAAAAAATGGCCCAAAGTCCTGAAAAGTCTAACAAGGTTCTAATAAAACTAATGCAAGTTTTAGTTTTGTCTAAGCTAAATTATTTTATAAATAGAAAAGTTAATCTTTTTAATACCTATTTTATGCTTCAAGTAGTTTGAAAAGTTTAACATATTTGAAACAATTCTTCTTAGTAAAATGAACAAATAAAATAACTAAATCATTGAATTACTATAGAAATTAAATTAACTATATAGAAATTAACTAAAAAGGTTAAAAATATTTTATGACGAGGAAGCGAAACTGCTTCACAATATCGCTGATGATGTTTAGTGAGTTGGCTTTTTAATTTCAATTATTATTTAAAGCAGAAAAAAGTATAACGAGTTTTTAAGAATAGCAACTAAAGTGAAAATAATTGGAATTAGTAAACCAATATTTAGAAACTTTTCTTTATATCTAATAACTTGCTATATATTTGTGTTCTGTCATGACCTCAGGCGCAGTGCTTGTTCATCTGCGAGTTATGTTGTATGCATTGTTTGTGTTTAGTAACCAGAAACTTCTTATATGTTTGTTACATAATTAATTTTATTAACATTGATGATTATTAATAACTTCATTGAAAACCCATTTATCTTTATAAGTTTTTGTTCACAAATTAAATCATAAAAATTGCTTTAAAAGATTAAATTACAATAAAAAACAGATACACAAAATTACATTAACATAAAAAATACATATTTTTTAAATAAAAAATAAGAATATACTAATAAAATCTATAATTTATAATAAACTTTCAAAATCTTGCCAATTTAAAAAATATATTATAAAGCATTTTTTTTTTGTAAACAAATAATAATAAAAAAAGATTTACGACTTTGCAGATGTGGCTCCGAGAATGAGACATAGAATTGATTATATATTCTTAAAAAAATTTAAGCTAGAAATCTCAAAATGTAACAAATCGTAAATAATACAATTTCTAAAACTTTATAATTTTAATTAGTATTTAAAACAGAAAAAAGTAACTTTAAGTATAACGAGTTTGTAAGAATGGCTGAAGCAAAAATAATTGAAGTTAGTAAACCTATTTCTAAGATTTAAAAACTTTTTTTTCTTTGGGGAAAGAATCAGTTATCGGGTACACTGAGAAAAATGGATTAGTGGTTAAAATTATTTGTATTAACTTTGACGAATATTAATTTCATTGAAAACGCAGTTAATATTTAAGTATTTTTGTTTACAAAATCAATCGCACAAATTGCTGTAAAAGATTACATTTGAATAAAATACACATACATAAAACTACATAGATAAAAATACATTATATACATAAAAAATACATCCCTTATATATAAAAAAAAGAATATACTAATAAAATCTATAATATATTTACAAAACGTTGACAAGTTAAAAAATATAAATTTTAAACATTTATTATTGTAAAAAAATAATGTTAGTTTAAAACATTTATAGCTTTGTAGATGTGGCTCTAAGAATTAAAATAATAGTTCGTTTGATAGTATATTCTTAAAACAATTTATGCTAGAAATCTCATGAAAACGTAACAAAATTCAAATAATACAATTTTTTAAAATATTTCAACAGAATACTCAGGACATTCGGTTAGTATTTTTTAAATACTCTAGAAAGTTTGGTTAGTATCTTCGGAACCATTAGAGTTAGTTGTTCGTAGATTTGGCGGGTTTTTTGTGTTTGCGAATATTCTTTTTTTATTTTTCCGCACTAAGATGTTTGAGAACATTCTAGTTTATGTATGTTTCCATGTAAGTCTGTAAAACAAAATATTTTAAAATTTACGATAAAATGAACTTATTATTTTGCGGACAAACAAGGAAACATACATAAACTTAAATGTTCTCAAAACAACTAAAAAATCTGGCCGGTTTTTTGCAACTAAATATTATTTCCGTGGTCGAGTTATCGAGTGCGATCGCACCCGCTTCCCGACCAAGCATGTATATATATATATACATATATGAGGAGCAAACATTCAAACCGTGTTTTCTCCAAAAAAAATAAAAACTGAGTTATTGATGGTTTCTTGTAGTCCATGTTAAATAGCACCAGATTCAAGCCTTAGTTTCAGTCAAATCATGCTTTATCCTATTTAAAAACAGCGTGCAAAACTAACTGTTCAATCAAAGAGTGTTTTCTCCAAGGTCGGTGTTCAGTCAAACAGTGCTTTCTCCAGCTGACCAATGGGAGCGGTCCTCTCTGATCACATGACTAGTTGGCATAAGCTGTTTTAACACGTGGTTAAGTACTGAAAGTAAGGTTATGGTAGGTAGTTCACTAATACTAATGCTCTACAATTTTATTAGTTTCAATCTTTCGATTTCAAATGGATGAAGTGGTTGATGGTATTTTAGTAAGTATTGGAAACACTGGAGCTCGTAAAAGACAGGCAACTGGCAAAAGAAGAAAAGAAGAAAAACAGAAGCGTTATTCATCACCTGCAGGAACCAATGTATACATTCCGCGCAAGCATTCAACAAAGAAGTTCTCATGTTGTGATATTAGACCTTACGATGTAAAGAAACTGAGGGACAAACTTTGTAAAGTTCCTGTCAAACTTCGTCAAGATTCAATAATTAGTTCTCTAGTTGAAACAAAAAATGTTTTTCGACGAAGGCCCAATAACCCTACCTAAACAAGTCACATAAGTCAAGCTCTCAACATGCCTTTTCTACAAACTACTTCATTGTTGGAAATAAAACGAGAATTCCTGTTTGTAAGAATAATTTTATTGCCATTACTAAAGTAGGAAGGACAAGATTTGCCAATATTGTTTCCAAAATCCATGCTGGAGATCCTATTGAGGATAGAAGAGGAGGTGATAGGAAAAGTAGCCACAGCATTGATAAAAAGAACAAAGTGAGAGATTTCATTTCTTATTTGAAGGCATCAGAAAGTCACTATGGGAGAAAAAAATCTAGACGTTTGTATTTGAACTGTAAATTGAATATAAGAAAGCTGCACCAAATTTATTGTGACCAAATAAAGGATGATTTGTACAGAGTGAGTTTTGCCATGTTCAGGAGAGTGTTTGTTAATGAATTTAACATTGGCTTCAAATCGCCATCAAGTGATGTTTGTAGCACGTGCGCCCTTCTAGACCAGAAAATTAAAACATTGTCATCAGGATCCATGGAACGTGTAAACCTTATGACTCAGAAAAGGATTCATAAACTTAGGGCAAATGCATTTTATGCGTACATGAAAGAAAAAACCGATGAATCTGTGTGCAGTTTGTGTTTTGATCTACAGCAAATACAACAATTGCCAAAAACAAACATTCAAGATGCATATTATCTGAGGCAGTTGAATTTTTATAGTCTATGTATTACTAGTTTGGATGGCAAAACCCCAACATTTTATACATGGTTTGAAGAGCAGGCAGGAAAAGGCAGTACCGAAATTTCCTCAGCTCTACATTCTCACCCAAGAACAATGAATCTTAAAGGAATCAAGACTTACGACTTTTTTGTGACGGATGTGTTGCCCAAAACAAGAACAATATCAACCTTCAAATGCTTTTGCACTTTCTCTACTCTTCAAATAATGCTGACATTCAAGAAATTCAACTCTACTTTCCGGTCAGAGGCCATAGTTTTCTGCAAGCAGATCGTGTGTTTGGTAGGGTTGAGAAAATCCTTAGGAAAAGTGTAACAATAATATCCAAAGAACAATATTATGAAATTTACAAAAACATTGGAGCTGTAAAAGTTATGGGTGTTGATTGGGAACTTCTAAATACCAAATCACTCAACAGGTTCTTCAAAAATCTTTCATACATATCAGAATTAAAAAGGATCTTTCTCAAGAAACACCCAGGAACAGGAGCTGTCAAGGTCAAGGGCTTCAGAAACTATAGATTTGAAGATGGAAGTGAGCAAGCTGGAGAAGGACTCCTGAAAAGAGGAATAAAAGTTTCAAACGCCAGAAATATAACTTTAGAATCTCTTCCACTAAATCGTCCCATTTCTGCCGAGAAGAAAAAAGATGTTGAGAAACTCTTGAAACTATTATATGGCGATGGATGGCAGAGTGAGCCTGATTTTGAATGGTACAGGAAAATATTATTCGATGAACAAGACGGGAATGAAGAGGAAGATGAAGTGTGTGACTGTTTGGATGAAGATATTGGAATGAGAATTTAAATTGTTGAGTATGTATTATTATTGTGTTTTATGTTACCATATTTTTTAATTTCTTAATTTGTGTGTTGCGTTATTTCAAAATTTTTCAAATTCTTGAATTGCACCAATAAACCCCATTGACTTTGTGTTATTCGTTTGTTGTATTACTTAAATCATTCAAAAAGTGTTTTATCCTTGTGAGACTCAATCAAAACATGTTTTCTCCTTAGTATTCTGTCAAAATGTGTTTTCTCCAAAAAATAAATGCATTTTTTTCATTTGTTTTCAAACAAATATCTAAAATAATGTATCAGAATACTCCTCAGAGCTATTAAGAACAATAGAAAACTATAACTTTGATTCATGACAGTTCTTTAAATTTTTATCAGTTTTTTGCGTTTCCTGTAAATTCTCATCTGAAGGAGAAAGCACGGTTTGAACGTTTGCTCCTCATATATATTTTACCTTAAAGGTAAAATATATATATGTATATATATAAAAGGCGTAGCAAGTCATTCATTTAAAAATAAAATAAAAACTTTTTTTTTAACTGATATCGTTGTTCTTTAGTTTTTTTATTTCGCTTATTACATTCGCTTTTTGATTTGCTTTTTTTATTTCAAACTTTTTGTTTACAATAAAAAGTTTTAAAACAATAAATGCTGATTATCTTTAGTCAGAAAAGTAATAAAGACTTTAGCATAGTAATTATTCACAAAATGAATTTAGTGGAGGTAAATATCATTTACCTCCAGGTAAATATCATTTACCTCCACAAAATTCATTTTTTGAATAATTACTATGCTAAAATCTTCAGTTTATATATAAACTGCCATGTTATACATATATTTCAATGTGGCTGTTGTTGTGCAGTGGTTGTGAAAAAATAAAAACCTAATTGACTCAATTAAATTTGAGGAACAAATTTTTTACCACTAGAAAACACCTGTCAAAACCATTTAGGTTACAATTAATACCTTAAGTTTTCCAAACACGTGGTATAGTTTCAGAGGTTTCATTTGATGTGCTATCTAACAAGGAAACTTTTACACTCACTTTGTTGTGATGGCTATCACTGTAAGGATTTGAAACATTAAAGTTTTAGTGAAAAATGACTTGTAAAGTAAAGTATCAATTTACCTTTCGCTTTGCTATCGATGTCGAAACCTTGAGTGTTTCTAAACTGTACACCCTTGTAACCTAAAAATAAAAATTAACTAATAATTCTGAAACAATACTTTTTAAGCAAAAAATTAAAAAAAAAATTAATTATTTCATTCTAAAAAAAAATTTTTAATTTTATACAAAAATTTTGATTTATTAAATCTTAATACTAATACTTTTGATTTTTTAATACTTTAAAAATTTATCAGCACATAAATATGCACTACATTTACAAAAATAATATATTTATTTGGTGGCTTGATTGGTATAATTTAAGAATGTACAATAAAGTATTAACAGTACACTTTTTTGAATTTTAAAATTAATTTTATTTTTATTCTTCTCCTTGGTCAATTTAAATTTAGATTTATGCTTGTTTATAACTGGTTATATTTTTGACAAAAGTATTTGACATACAATAACAAAATCTTTGACATTGGAAAACTGTAAAGTGACTCAGATTTTTAGTTTAAAAAGTAATTCAGAATGTATTTAATTGTGCAGTTTCATCAAAATATCTATATTTCAGTCACATATGTGACATTGCCCACAGCTGTGACAAAACCATTGAAGTTTTGATTAAGCTTTCTGTTTTTAGATTGCTTTAATTTTGCTAAACATTTTCAAAACTTTACAACTTTAATATTCTTGGGCTCAATTTTTGGGCAGTTTGGCAACACTACTATTTTCAATCCAGTGATGTCAAGTCATGTCAGTAGCCTTTTCTCCAATTTGAATTGAATATTAAATAATGAAGGGTATAGAGACTATATACCCCAATATTAATTTAAAAATCAAGTAAACCCTATCTACTTTAACTTATATTTTTCTATTTTTATTTACTTTTACAAATGTTAAATTTAAATTAGGTCCATCAAAAGTAATTTGAAAGAATGTAAAACAATCTAAAGAGCTTAAACAACTATATTATATTCAGAAAAAACATTACCAGCTAATGTTTTAACTCAGAACTCCAATAAGATATTTTTACTTGTCTGTGCCATCCTAAAAGCAAACATGTAGATTCGTTTGAATTTTTTTTTTTTCGATTTGTTTTAATTAATTAGTGTGGTGTAATAAGAGATTTTGTTGATCAAGATTTTTAGCAGGACTTTTTTAATGAAAGAAGAAATATATAAAGAATATAACCTAAAATGTAACTGCATGTTGTATTTTTATACTTTAGAAGTGAACTTGTACGCAAACTGACTGTCTGGAAACATGGAACAGAAAAGCTTACTTTTTGATTGTGATGATGTTACAAGCCAACATTTAAATTTTAAAACTTTTAGTGCCCAAATTGGCTCTGTATTTAATATATAAACTCTTAAGATATCAAACAAATTTATTTACTTTCTATTTTAATAAATCAGTTACTTCAGATAACTTTTGTGTTAAATCTTATTGCTGCAAGAAGAACATCTTTCTACATGTTTTCCCTTTTACATGCTACCTTATATTTTCGATTCTACTGTTTGTAACACCGAAGGACTTCAAACAAACTTTACAAAATTTATTTCATCCCTTCTATCTCTATACAAACAACCTTTGAATGGAACAAATAAATTCCTTATTGTAGACATATTAGAATACAACTACATCCAAACCAGTTAAGTTTTTACATATTTGCTTTTCCATTAATACTGTTATAAACTTCAAATAAAAAAGGTGGAAATGCTCACTTTACGGTAGGATATGTGATATACCCTTAGTATGGTATAATTTTCTACCTTCTGAGGTTGAAAATGGTATGAAAAAATAATAACTCATCATACAAATTTCTACCTTAAAGGTATAATTTTCTACCTTAGAAGGTATAAAATTATACCCTACGAAGGGTATATCACATATCTTACCCTTAACTAGAAATTTCTAACTTTTTTTTTAGAGTGTAAGAAAATATAACTAGTGTAATTAATATGAAAATCTGATACTTCAAAAGAATTACAAAATTCTTTTATATTATAAACTTTTAAATATATACTTTATAAACACTTTCTTTACTAACAATAATCTCTTCAGTTTATAAAGTGAAAAAACAAGTATGAACCTGAAAAAAAAATAGTGGAAATGAAACTTGTTCACATTTTTAACTTTTTTTAAAAATAATAGAGGACAAATTTAGAGATTTTTTCAAAAAAAAGCGACTTTAGAGAAGTCCTAGCCACTCTGATAAATATGAAAAACATATAAAACAATAGTATAGTTATATGCCAGGCCTTGTTTTAAAGCATTTTGCATAGAGAGATTTACGTATGCCTTTAGCAATTTTACATAAGCAGTAAACAATTTCGGTTAAGCGACTTTTTATTATTTTTTAACTTTTAAATTATTCTATAAACAGTAAGATAAAAAAAGTAACTAACTTTTAAAAAAATCACATTAACTTTTGAATGACTTATGACATTTTTTTTTAAAAAAACTCAAAATTCAAAATTTATTTTGCTTTTATTTTATTGAAATGATTGATTTTTTCGCTTGAAAAATACATATATCATGATAATATAATTTAACTCTGTTAAAAAATATATGATTTATTTAAAACTAATTTAATGAAAATATATAATTTTATTATAATAAAAATAATAAGTTAATTTAGATTTTAAAAATATATAATTTAAATTTGATTTGATAAATATATTCAAGTTTATAAAAACTAAAGTTAACGGTTGGGTTTAACTTAACTGCCAAATTTATTTTAAAATATTACTAATTATTGTTCAATATTTAAATTTTATTTGTCTTTTTAAAAAAATTAGGTCATTTTTATCGCAATTGTTTTTTTGTTTAAAACTCAAAATTAAATTTTAAATAATTTGCTGCATCAAAAATTGGCACAAAAAATGCAAGTTAAACCCTTTTTTTTTTAAATGCAAGTTAAATGGCACCGAATATTTTTTAATAAACCATATATACAATGATATAATTTTAATAAATGATGTTTGGAAAAACATTTTTTTTTCTTCACAACAAAATTGTTAATAAATTAATAAACTTTTAATAAATAAAGTAGATAAATTAACGTAATTTTTTAATTTGTTGATCGCTAATTTTTTTTTAAATAAAAAATCACTTGTAGCTGCAAAACCGCATTTAGAAATCGAAGAAATAATTGTTTAAAAATTCAAAAATTTAACCTATTTTAATTCATTAATACAATGTCCAGAAAAAAAAAAATTTGTTAACATCAAACATTTTTTTAAATGTGATATTAAATTTAATTATTCAATATTAAAAAAAAAATAAAAAAAATATTTTATGTTAATAATAAAAATAAAGTTAAATAACATTTAAATGGTTTTGCGGTAATTAATATTATTGCAGTAATTTAAAAAATGTCTTTAAAAATAAAAAAATAAAAAGAATCTTATGACGTGAAATTTACATTGGACAATTGTATAAAGCATTTTTTATTTAAAACAAGGCCTTATGCTATTATATCATCTTTAGGCAATATTATAATGCCAAATAAATATACAAAACAATAAAAACAACAAATTTTGATGACAAAAATAAATTTTAAGAACCAAAATTATAATGTGAAGATTTTTACTGTTTATATGAAAGATAACTCAATAGTCATTTAAAAAAAATACTTTCACTCTTTTTCCTTCTTCATTAAAACGGTACTCAATAAGCTTTTTAATGTTCCCTTTGATTTCTTGACTTGGGGGTGGTAAAGACCCATCTATAAAATATATCATAAATACATATTTACTTGATTGGTTATGTTGCAAAAATTATACAATGTAAAATAAATTTTCAGAAACCTAAAAAAACTTAAATAAATCAGTAGTAAAATAACTCAATAATTAGATGCATTCTTTAGTTAAAGAAATGCGCTATAAAAGGAATATCTTAGATGCATATTTAATTTGAATAATTTATTTTAAAGGAAAGCATAAATTATGGTATAAATAAGTATTGCAAAAAAAGGTTATCTTTGCTCTAACAAATTATGATATGTTGTAGCAAAAACATATTTTTTTGCTGACATGTCAGCAACCATTGCTTTTGTGCCATTGATTTTTTAAAAAATGAATTTAAATCTAAATGCCATTTAGTTTAACTAAATTATTAAAGATGCACTAGGCATTTTTAATATTACATTTATTTACAGTTATTATAAGTCATAATAAAATATCTCTATAATAATTAAATTAGTCATATAAAAAAAATTATGTTTTACAAATTATATAATTAAATAGGAAAAACTTTTTGAAGGTAATCATGTAAATATATCTTGAGAGAATACTAAAGTAGTGCAAATATAGTAAACTTTTTTTAATTATAGGATTTTAAATTGTCAAAAAATAATTATTTGCTTTTCTATCGGTGGATATAATTGATTCTCATCATTTATATTTTCTTAAAGGTTAAAAAGTAAAATAAGAGGAAATTAAGCAGGACACCTAAAATTTTTATCTTTTTAAGGTTATTTAAAGACTTTTTAAAAGGTTTTTTTTTTAAAGATTTGTTAGATTTTTAAGGAGTGAAAGCTCTGTTATTCTGTAACTATAAACTTAAGCTATTTATCACATTTAATACTTTTAAAAAAAAAAAACGTCGTAAACGACCAGGGTTGTTATTTGACCGGGACTGGGTTTGCTAAAATATTGCCGGGGCCAGGTTTGTGACCGGGACTGCATAAACATTTATACACCCAAAAGTACTTTTTTTTTCTTCAAAATTTATGCTTGATTTTGTATATAAATGCATTTATAGACATCATTATGATCAACATGATCATGATGATCATCTTTAACTTATCTAATTTTAGTATTAACTTATCGATACAGCATTGGTAGCAACATTATCAACTAAAACAATAACATTATGTAAAACACTGAGCAAGAACTAATCCTGTAGCCACATAATATATATGTTATATAATATGTCCACATAATATATTGAATTGTTCAAATAATTTTTAGTATATTCCCCATCTTCACAAGTAAATGCAAGGCTATGTTCAGGTTTAATGCATTTTTTGAGCATTTTTAAAAGTGATATTATTGTAATTGTTCAATTTGTCTGATCTTGAACATTAACTTTGTCGTCAACCCCAAGGCAAACTAACTGCTTATTTTGTCCACATTTTCAAATAATTTTGACTTTTCATTTAGCCATTTAATTTACACCTGTCAATCAAGATAGGATGTCAATTAAATTGTGGCTGATATCTACATCAGTTTATAAGAGATGTTTAATACGAAGTAATAAAGCATTTGCAAAAGCTTAAATACTCACTTCTGATTAGTTCCATAGCAGATCTTGGAAGTTTAACTAAGTTGTTTTTTTGAGAGGGTTTATTGGTTGCCATTCACCTTCATCTTATAATAATTTTCAATTTTATGAAGAAAAAAAAATTGAAAACCTTCAATTTGATTCACTACAAATATTTAAGATTAGAATCTTGTGGTGCTTGCAATGATTATTGTTACCAATTACAAGATGATCTATGACTTTCCTATTAATAGATTTGCTAAAAGAGGTAAACTTGGGTTACTGTAGTCTTTATCGCTTTACATTTGCTGAGTTAGTATACAATACCTGTATTTGGATTTGCATAAATAAAATAGTAATCGTACTGAATACCCTGCAAGTGCTTACATTTGTCAATAGTAACTCACCAGGAATACATTCAATGCTGTCAAAAAGTGTCTTATTATTATATTAACTTTTATCACTTTTGAAAATTTACAATATATACACACTGTATTAGAGTATAATATTTAGTATAATACCTATTCTGGAAACTAGAAAAATTAAAGTCAGCAATTTATTGACAAGCTTTAACTATTTTTGGCCAAGATCAAGTCAGCACATAACTTTTAATGTGATGATTTCACCATGACAAAAAAAAAAATAAGTGCAGAGAACAATTTTTAATTTTAAGAGTTTCTTTGAAATTCTACTGCTTTTTTTTGCGATTCTCTAAAAGATACCTTAAATATTGCAGATTGGGTTGTTGTAGGGGTATTAATACCTTGATCAAGAATTTAAACTAGTCTGCTTCACTAGATGAACTACAGTTTCTGTAGTAGAATACTGCTTGGACTTCTTTTTTTAGTGGAGGTTCAATAGTATATACACAGTCATTAGTATCATCATCATAAGTTTCTGTATATTATGATTTATTAGAAGCAATTTCAGATTCTACATTTGAAGTAGGTAGATTACATGCACTAGTGCTTGAGGAATTTCCTCTGTCAACTTTTGATGGATGCACTTTAAATGTGTACTATGAGTAAAATTTAATTCTTCACAATTTCTTTAATTCATTAGCTATCTCTTTAATTCTGATATTTCATGATTTTTCATCTTTTAAAGAAATTGATACCTTCCAATAATTCTTATTTCTTTCAGAAATCTAGAAAAGCCATAAAGTGGATCATTGATTGTTGTTAACTTCTTTGAGAGAAACTTTTTTGGTAAACTGCAAGGTTTTTTTCATGTATCAGAAATTTTCCAACATAATCTTGACTCTTCATTTTACTTTTTAGAAAAGGCAACTTGAAAGTAAACACACTGGAAATGGGTACCAGACATGCAACAACTGAAAACGGAAACAGATGATACACCAAAGAGCAAATATTTACAGAAAATTATTAGCTTCCAAAAAACTAAAATTTGGTTGTTTCTATAGTGCCACACTTCTAATGAAATATTTCGATCTGTGTCCTGAGTGAGTTTTTGTAAAGGAAAACCAAAAATGTACTATATTTCATATTGGTACTACTACTCATCGTATAGTGGTAGGGCTGTGTAAAACTTTAAAAACAAAATGAAAATATCATAATCCTAATATATATATATATATATATATATATATATATATATATATATATATATATATATATATATATATATATATATATATATATATATAAAGATTTTTGCTCTAACTCAAACCTTAAGTTGATATAGTCACACTTTTATATGTATGTCCTAGGCCCCAGCTAAAAATGGGGCTTTTTACAAACCCAGTCCTGTCAAAGTTATAAGATTTAGCAGAGTTTGATAGCCGGGGCTAATAAAAAATTCATAATACTTTATTTATTATAAATTTATGCGCACATTTACTATTTATTAAATACTGGAATAAATATATTTATTGAAAGATAACATCTTGTATAAATTAATGTATTTAACACGCTTGTAATACTTGTATATATATATATATATATATATATATATATATATATATATATATATATATATATATATATATATATATATAAATATATATATATTTATATATATATATATATATATATATATATATATATATATATATATATATATATATATATATATATATATATATATATATATATATATATATATATATATATATATATATATATATATATATATATGTATATATATATATATATATATATATATATATACACTCATATCCTAATGAGTTATACAATTCTTTATACTTGATACAACTTACTTCCATCAAGGTCTTCCATCATGTCTCCCCATGATGGCTTAACACTGAAAAAAAAAGATATTGACAAAATATATAATTGATATATAAAAAATAAAAATGGGAAGGAGTTTTATATGTTAATTTATTCACTCCATAAATACTACACTATAAATATTATTTATAAACATATTTTAAAACAAACTGACAATAAAATTGTTCAATTACAAAAGAAAATTAAGTTTTAGAGAAGAGTTGTATTTTAGAAAAGTATATGAAAAAAAATATAATTCTTTTCATACCCTTTTTAATTTATAATTAAAAAAGTAGATTTTTTTTAAATTTCATTTTTAAATTAATTTAAAATAATATTTAAACACATTTATTTTAATAGCGGTTTTAAATTTCTTACATCTCAGTAGGCTCAGGCATTTTGTTAATTAATATCAATTAATAAAGAAAATTGAAATTCTTGTCTTTGAGCCACTTGGAATTGACTAAATTGTGATAACAACGTGTTAGCGACGGCAACCGACTTCGCCACTTCGCTCTTGAAAACTAAATTGCTGTGCATTAGGTCGGAAAAGATTGCGTTTTTTGGACGTAAAATTTTATTTTGTTCTTTTATCAAGACTTAACGTACTCACGATCGTAAATATAAACTAATTTGTTTACTATTTATAAAATGAAACATCGTATATATGTAATGAGAACTATTCAGTACAATCATTTTTTTTAGCATAAATAATAAAGACAAAAAGTATTCTGTTAAAAGAAGGTGAGAAACTTTCAGAAGATCAAGGTTTTGTCATCAAGAAACCACTTTGAAAGTTGAAACGATTATGTATTCTTAATTTACGAAAAAGTTCAGCTTAGCAAAAAAGGTCGTATTAGAATCACATAAATTAAGCTACCAGATATAACGCATAAGTATATGGCTTGTTATACATAATATATTGACAGATATGTACAAAGTATAAATAAAATCTAACATTTACTTTGTTTTGAAGTTAATTTTAGTGTTTTTTTAGATTTGCTTTAATATACGTTTATAAATTTCCTTATGTTTAGAACGAATTTTTTTAATAATATTTTCAGAGAATTCGGGTTATTTAGCTTTGTAATTGTCGTATTTTGAGATATTAATTGTAAAGATAAAGGCTACAATAGGGGTTGTCCGTTAAGGACGTTACTCAGAATTAAAATGCTTACCAGAAGTAGATGTTTATTGGCACCCTTCCGCGGAGATTTTCATTGAACATAAGGCAACATAAGTAATATATTACTCTAAAAATCTCTGCGCACGAGAGCCAACATTCCCCTACTAATTGCCATTAATTGAACTTAGCGTGACCTTTTTTATGGACGACTCCATATCAAATAGAGAAAGGTGATTTTTAAGAAATATGAAATTTAAATGTATATTAAAATTTCATATTTGTTAAGTGTTATATCTATTTCTATTGTATTTAAAAAAAACTCCAATGAAAAATGTGATGAAACCAATCGAAGTTTATAGTTTAGCATGAACAACAAGTTTTGAAAGACAGTAAATTATAAACGTTTAGTAACAACAATGAATTTATCTTTATTAAACAATTTTCTTGATGTCGATAAAGTGCAACTAGGTTGAATCTATGGGTATTTGCCCATGTTATAGATGTTAAGCAGAATATAGTATGGTTCAAAATAGAGTTTTGAGTTTTCAAAAAAACGCAGACCAGATATTATACTGATTTAGAGAGAACATGTAAGGGAGTGCTTCTACCAATACCAGCTAAATGTATGGGCTAATCCAAGGGCCCTCATTCAAAAAGGGCTTCGATGCCCATGAGTTAAATGCATTTAATAATATAAGCAAAAATATTAAATAAAAAATTTGAATTCAGAATAGGAAATTTACTGTATTTATAAGTAAATATTTGTGAAAAACATTATTAAATTGTTAGGAAGAATCACATTGTTAGGAAGTCAAACTTTTAATACTGCAGTACAATCTCTTTAATTCGAACTTTTAATACTATTACTAAATAAATACAAAAGTCAAAATATTATTCAATAAGCATGGGTTCTACTGCAGTTACTCCAGTTCCGCACCCCAGTACTCCAGTTTCACACACAGATTAATTGGCATTTATAATTCTGTACTTTTAAGGATGTGGCTTGGCTGAGCGTTTTCTAAAATCAATATCGACATTTTATAATGGCGTAAAGAATCTAAAAGATACTATAGTTGCTCTTCTTAATGTACATCTAATTTCTCTAGCAAACTGTCGCAGCCAATCTTATAATGATACAGCTAGTGTATCGGAACGTTATGATGGTTAATAAGCACAGATTTAAAATTAAATGAGCTTCTTGTCTATTTTTCTTGTGCTGGACAAAGTTTGAACTTGGTGGGAGTAAAGGCAGAAAATTGTTTAGAAGCTGTAAACTTTTTTCTTCCTTAGCGAATTAAAAATTATTAATTCAAGTGCTCTTAAAAATAATATCGAAATATAGCTAAAACATATGATCATGACCTCGAACCTCTGAATTTTTTTGTGTATTTTGTAATTGCTAATTGTACAGAGCAACATTTTTTAAATTTAAGCTAATAAAAAATGAGTTTCGTAGGAAAACGGGGCTTAAATCAACTTTCTCTAATGTGCACAGAAAATAACCTCTCGAAAAGCACTGGTGTCAAAGTTATCATCAATGAATTTGCAGGGGGAAAAAGTCAAAAAAGGGAAAAAATGCAAAATGCCGACAATAAAATAGTTATCGTTATGTTTCATTTTTAGAATGTTCTCTTAATTATTTTAATAACTATTATTTAATCCTGGGCTAAAAAATTAAATAATTACGAAAATTTAGTTTGTATTATCTAGTGCTTGCATTAAACAAATAAATTTTATTATTTTTATATAATAATAGTCATAACAATGGTATAAATTTAATGGTAGAACTTCTAGAAGATTGTTAAGATCTTAGTGTTAAGCTTTTTATAATATATAATAAATTAAAATTATATATTTGATTAAAACAATAATAAAAAGTAATCAGAAATTGGTAAAAATGTTTTCTAGAGAAAAGAAAATTTTGTAATCTTCTTTTTAATGCAGAATAAATTAGTTTAATTGAAAAATCAAATTTAGGTAAAACTAGTTTGTTTCTATTGTGTTTATTTCCTATTTCTTTTTCCAATATCCAAATCCAATTCTATTACATTTGTTTTTAAATATAATAGAAAGAGATTAAGACATATTTAATAGAATTGGATATAGACAGACATACAGACATCGAAAAGAGACCGTTTGCAAAAAGAAGCATTAAGATTGATGGCAACGTAACTAACTACGATTTTTTGGTTTTAAGCAATATAGATATTGAAATACGTGCGGCGATTTGTTTACACTGCAACATAAAGCATAAAATAATAGCTAGATAAACATTCAAAGTTTTCATATCTTTCAGAAGTACTGGATTAAGGGGCCCCAAAATAGTTTTAAGGACTTTTTTTTTTGTAAGCCATTTTTTCAGTCAATTTTTATCAAAAGTATTTATTTGAAAAATTATTGGGTTAGGGGCAAATGCCCCTGCTGACCTCCCGGTTGCTACGGGCCTGTTGCTATGATAAAGAGTTTTTATGTTTGTTTTTTATGTTTTAAATACAATATAATAATTTATATGGATGAACAATTGAAAAGCATAATTGAAGTCATCAGATGAAGTCATCAGATGTTAGATTCTAACATTTATTTATTATGTTTCTAGCTTTATTGCAGAAAATATTACTCATATTTGTTTCAGGTTTTTATGTAATTTCTTATACTTTTTTCTGGATTTGTTTTGAAATATTTTATGTTTTTTAAGCAAGTCGGGGACGGAATTTTGTTTTTAAAAAATAGCTCTTAAAAAACTTTTCAAAATTACGAAAATTTCTAAACGTTTTGTATTTTTTTAATGTTTTTTTGATTCTAATTTTAAGTATTCAATATATTTTTGTTTTGTTTTTGAAGATTTTTTAAAACTTTTAGTAACCTAGTAATTCAAAGCATCGAATTTTGGCTTTGTCACCTTTAGGCGCAAGATTATCACAATTTTGGGTTTAATCTATTTGACAATGTAAAAGATGTTAAATATAAACGCTCTTCTAAATAAGGATCGACACAATGAATAAGGTACATTAAAACCATTCATGCCACATGCAGTGATATCGTCTAGCTCAGCTCGGTACTTTCTTTGGTATGGCTTGTTTCAATGTAACATTCTCCAGAGTATACTTTCAAACAATGGCTAATAATCTATAGGTGGGAAGAAATAAGCTATAAGTCCTTTTATGGATATGCTTGCTATTTTTTGAATATGCTAGCTTTTTTAATTATATTTTTTATGCGAATCACTTGTCACTAAATTCTATATTAAACTTTTTTTTAATAAAGTCGCAAAAAAAGAGAATTTCATTCTTCTTTCGTATGTTTTACTCTTCTTCAAATAATTTTGCAAAAGAATATGAAATTTAGTCCAAACAAAATCAAATAAAATTTAAACGGGCGGACCCAGGAAGTTAAATTTTTAAACCTGAACACTTTAGGGTTGTGATTATACTATAACAAAAAATAAGCTTCTATATATTTTTCTAACCAAAATAAATTTTTGATTTTTCATTTTTCTGGTAAAACTGGTTATCGTAAAAAGTTTGAAAAATGTATTGGAACAATTATTCTTCATTTATTACTTCTTAAAGCAAAATAATCAAAGTTGACAAAAGTACTTTTGTTTTTAAAAGTACCAACACGGCCAAACGACAAAAAATATAGCAAAGTATTTTGTGTTTCTCATTCTATTAAACAAAGCATATATGCAAAAAAGAAGGAAATTGATGACAAGTAAAAATCTTTTTACTTAAACACTGTAAATGCATATCAAATTTAAATTTCGAATTCTACAGACAAACTGTGCATACATAAATCATGAATGCTAATATTTTAATGTATCTATTTTTAGCTTTATTTACAACATTTTTCTAAATTTGATTTTATTGTGTGTTTGTCCGCCCGGTTAGAATCTTTGAAGCTATATTTAACCCATTTCACGACTAGCTAGAGCTCTGAAACTTTCAGGATAGCTCAGAACCCGATAACAATACAATAAAAACAATTTCAAGCTTCGGCAGTCAATATTTCTCTTAATTTCAACAAAATAAAATTTTAAATGCAGAAAAAATAACTAAACAAATCTAAAAAGTAAAAAATAATCTACAATAAAAAATGAATTTTTCTAAAAACAACGTTATTCAAGCGAACTAAAAAGTAGAAAATAATTTTTCTTTGAGCTTGTCAGAATGTCTGCTTATATTCCTCTTATAATGATGACAGACTTTATACTAAATTTAATACAAGTAAAACGAAAAACGTTGGGCGCATGTTATAGGATAAAAGATTAGTGATCGACCAACACTTAATGGTTTCGTTAATCATATATCAATGCAATATATTTACACTGATCATTAAAAACTGTATTTAAATTATAATAGATACACTTAAATGCATCCCCACAAACAAAGCATTAAATTTAATATTATACTGCATAATGTCATAATATTATCAAATCACCACTTGCGCCCAACGTTTTTCGTTTTACGTGTATCAAACTTGTTATAAAATATGTCATCATTATATAATATAATCTAAAGTATAAATATAATATAATATAAAATATATTATAAAATCTGTTATCATTATATAATATAAAAAATATAATCAAACATTCTGACAAGCTCAAAGAAAAGTTATTTTCTACTTTTTAGTTCGTTTGAAAAACGTTGTTTTTAGAAAAATTCTCTTTTTATTGGAGATTATTTTAAATCTTTTCAAGAATTTTTTTTTAACATAATAAAAGCTTTTTAATAATAATATTTTAAAATGCTTCATAAAAAGATTTTGATAAAATTAACTTAAACTTATGCAAAGTGTTCACTCTACTGTTTGAAAAGGTGTACCAAAGGGTGCAAGCTTAGCGCAGCGACACCACAAAGCTTGCACCCTTTGGTTGTCTTAATCGAGCTTGCGTTTTATTAGAGCAGTTAATACAACTTGATTTTATGCATCTGTCAACATCTTTGAATTAGTGTTGTGTATTTGACCTAAAATTGAGTTTGACTACATCTGGTCCTGATGTATTTATTTTCAAGAAATTTCAAGAAACTTGTTTTTTTTCAAAACTAACTTTTCATGAATTTGGTCTCTGAACAAATGCAAAATGAAGTCAAAAATTAGGCCAAAAATCATGCGGAGAACAGGAAATAATAAACATTATATAATTAATAATTACTAAAACAATAAGAAAATAATTTAATTAGTTTGTTTAAAATAAATATTTATAGTTAGTAAATGTGTAAAGCTAGTGATGTTACAATGTATTACATAAATATACTTTAATAGAAATTTTAATAAATTTTTTAAACTTTTGAAATGTCAGTTATAATTTTCCCATCTGATCATTATGTGAAAGCACAAAACTACACTCCTTCTTTCATCATGAATACTTGTGAATTGTTTAAATGTGCCTTCATTTTTGCACCTTGCAAATATTTTTTATTTTCCATCTCAATATGTTTCATTTTTTAGCTTGCAGTAACATACGATGCTGATGCAACAGTTGACGTCATCGTTATATTATACGTCATCATTATACAGGACGGAATTTAATGCGTATTCCTTAACATTTTAGTTCTTCTACGCGTTATTCTCTGTCTAATGGTGACTGACGCTGTGGAGAACAGTCACTTTCAATGTTGAAGTGTATTAAGGATGAATCAAAAAGTACAATTACTCAACAAAGACCTGCATCATTAAATATTTTAACTATCATTAACATTTAAAGATATCATGGATGATTTTGATTGGATGATTTTGCATTAGTAAAATCTTGAGAGCAAATAACGCAATAACTTTTTTTTAATTTTAAAATAAATTTACTTTACGTAAAATTTGTTGGGTTTGTATTTTTTATAGAAGGCCTCAAAATATTTTTTTGGCTTAGGGTCTCGACACTGCTTAATCCGGCCTTGTGTACACTATAAAACCTGAGTCATTTTGAACTTTATACCTATTATAACATGAATATATCTTTTTTAAACATAAAACATTTTTATATATTAGTTTTACTATTTTTATTTACATCATTAAATTTTATCACATTGTTTTCTAAATTAAAAAATTATATATATATATATATATATATATATATATCATGTTTTGCTTACTAGCTGCTTCGTTAACACATTGCTATGTTTTTTCAAGTGTCTAGAAACGTCAACTTTTCGAAAAAACTTTTTTTCACAAACTGGACATGAGAAAGGTCTTACTCCAGAGTGTCTTCTTAGATGCGTCAGCATATTTGAAGATTGGCTAAATAATTTGCAACATACGTTGCACGAGTATGGTTTATCTCCAGTATGCATGACAGAGTGTTTCCTCAGATCAGAGTTTCTTAAAAATTTTTTGCCACATTCTAAACAAGTAAATGGTTTATTATCTGTATGAGTAACTAAGTGTGTTGCTAAACTAGATTTACGTTTGTAAGATTTGTTGCATGTTTTACAAACAAACGTTTTCTCATTATAAACATTCAAAGAACTGTGGTTCATGAGGTCTAAATAACGGCATCCAATAATTGAAGTTTCACCGTTCTTTAACGATATAATTGGTAGTTTATCATTTGTTGCCGTTGTTAAATTGTCTTTTTCATTATTTACAAAATCTTCTTCTAAGTCGAATGATTGAAAACTACCCAATGAAGAGTGTTCTATAAATTAAATTACTAATTTAATTTGATTAAAATACCATTAATTTTATAATTAGCTTTATAATACATGTAACCAACACAAATAGTAATAATAATAATAATAATAATAATAATAATAATAATAACAGTAATAATAATAACAATATTAAAAACATTAATAACAATAGTAATGGTGATTTTGCTGATAATAATAATAATAGATTATTGTAAATATAATAAATAAAAGCGGTGAATCATACGTAATAAGTAATTATTGACCTATCTTGGTTCTTCCTACCTTCTATAAGTTCCTCGAACAACTAACTTATGACAGACTGTACGAATTTTTAACTCAAAAAAAAAAATCCTAAATATAAAACAATTCAGTTTCCAAAAAAAATGTTCAACCAAGCATGTAATTCTAGATTTTGTTAATAGTATAATCATTTCTTTTTATAAAAAAAAACAATTTATTATAGGAATTTTTATAGACCTGTCAAAAGCGTTTGACATTGTAAATCATAATATCTTACTTAAAAAAATGGAAAGCAATCGGATAAAAACATCACTTTTGACTGGTTCAAAAACTGCCTTGGCAACAGGCAACAATTTTTTATTTCAGACGATTATTCTTATTTTCAAAACTACTAAGAATAAAGTGTGGTGTACATACAAATTGAATACTCTTTATATAATACAAAAATATACATTAAGATTAGTTAACAATAAAGATAAACTCACCCGTGCTGAACCCTTACTAGAAATCTTGAATGTACTAAATGTTTACCAAATTAACATCTACCAATGAATTCTATTCACGCTTAAATACTTCTACAACTTAAATCTTGGACTAGTTCCAGACTCCATCACATTGTTCAGATATCTTTTTTTATCAACATGTATTAAACTTAACAACATGATTTGTAATACTGTTAACGGGTAACTTTTTCTAACTATAGAAACTCAAACTAATTTTTTAAATTCTTCCTTTTTTTATATTAAATCTTTTTTTAAATTCTTTTTTTAAATTAACTCAAACAGATTCACAAGAGCAACTTTGAATCGCCTAAAAACAACAAAACTTTCACAATTTTTTATTTCTAACCGGGGTCCGTATTCTATATTAAAAAAATTTCGAAAATATAGAATTTAAAGCATTAAATAATCCTCCCACCTTGAAAAAAAAAATAATAAAACACTCAATCATACATAATCCTAACAATTTTATTGACATGTATTAAACTTAACAACAAGATTTATGATACTGTTAACGGGTAACTGTTTCTAACTATAGAAACTTATCAACTATGTATTCTTTAATCACATATAACTATATATTATTATAAATTACATTTTATTTAACCATTTGAAGAGGTACTCAACGACAAGACTTCCTAGTCTATTACGAGTTTCCTTTCAACAGCATTTTTTTAAAAGAAATACTGTTAACTTTTATGATAAGAAACAAAGTTATTTATTAACTTACATTATACATTGTTAATTACGTTATATCATGCTATGTTATGTTGCGTTTTTTATTATGCCATGGAACTGTAAATGAACTGTAATTTTTATGCCATGGAAATGTAATGAACTGTAAATATGAGAATGTATATAAAATTTAAAAAAATGAAAATATTTGTTTGACTTAATCTGATTTTTTTGTTTGTGTTTTTGGTTAGTTTTTATTTTATATCTGATAATTCACTTTTATTAAACTATTATTTTATTTTTTTATCATAGTTTTTTATCATAGTTACTATTTATAATTTTATTGTTGCACAATGTTTTATTGTTGCGCAATGAAGACCTTTTTAATTTTAGCTAAACAATATTATATGGCAAATGTGTGGTAAAAAAGTGCTCCGGTAAAATGTGTTTTTATCATTTTTTGTTGGTTAGGTTTTATTAATAATTACTTAATTGCCAAAATTTTGATTACGAACTGTCCGCTCCTGTTTTAAATAAAGTGCCAAAGATAAAATGCTTGAGTTTTAAGAATTTAAATTTTGCCGTGTAATAAAAAATTAACGTAATAAACGTGGTTTAAAAATACAGATAAATAGAAAAGTATATTCTGCTTTTAAAAATTTAAAAACTTGTTGATTAGGTTTAAGAAAAATCGTTACGAATCTCAACCTAAAAACTTGTTATAAAATAAAATAAAAAAGCATCGTCAGCTATAATTTAAAAACCGTTCGTGGTTTAGGTGGTTATAAGGTGAAAATAAGTCATAAACATTTTAAAGTTAGTAAACATTTTACCATTTTTTAAGCTATTATAAATTAACTTTTTAAATCATTTTAAGATTTTTAAACATTAATTTTAGATTAGTAAACATTTTACCAAAATCGTCAATTTCTTCATTATTACCATAGACTTCCCAAAAATCTTCATTAAGCATTTTGTCTAGTTTGATTTTTGAAATCTTATTTAGAAAACAATTTTTTTATGTATTCAGCAAATTTTTTTAAAGACGCTTCTTTTTGAACATTTTTAATGATCGATTCACCATTCACCTAATAAACTTGAAAATCAAATAAGTTATAACTATGACAACAACTATATCACTTTTTTACAAAATGGTGAATAAATAATAGTATATATAACGATATGTGCTCGCATATATAATAATGACATTAAACCAAATGCATTAAAAAATAACCTTTTGGTTTCGGTTTATATACAATCCGCATAAAGATTTTATGAAAAAACGTTTAATTTATTTATTTCGTCAGTAAGAAAGAATACATACAATGCCGTGCAATATAAAATAATATATACATGACCGAGGTAAAAATTGTATTGTGTACAATCAAAGTTTTATCTTCTTTTGTCAAAGTTTTCAAAGATCCGACTTTTTTACAATGTACTTCCTAAAGATGATTCATTAATGTTTTTTTATTAATATTGTAAATATATCCCACTTAAGTTATGCTAACATTGTTTTGACAATAATCACTCATGATGGGAAAACTTTGATAGATTCACGAGGTAACATTTGACGTTCAAGTCAATTTATCCCAAAACCAAAATTTGCTTTTTGACAAATAGTACTTGAAAATCAACTAATATGTTAAGTACTTAGAAATAACATCATGAAAATACATGTAAAATAATAATATATGCTTTTATTTACTTTATAACTAATAACTTTCAGCATTAAAAAAAAGGAACAAATAAGTTTAATTTATTTACACTGTTTTATGTTTTTAGTTATATATACTATTATGCGGATAAAAAGAGCTAAATTGTGCATTCGACAGATGGCTTGTAGCATCTATTAAAGTAATTTAAAAAACAGTCCACGAGTAACCTGAAAAAATATTTAACTAAACACGTTTCCATGTTACCCACTTGTCAATTTAATCTCACGTTACCTTATTCTTTTCTTTAAACACAAAAACATAAACACAAAAACGGGACAGTATTTTTTTGAAGAGTACTTCTGACAAAAAAAGCTTTGAAGGTAATATCACTTGTACTAAAATGAAATTCACAGACGTACTAAATAGTATACTTGCTTTTAACACTAAAATTGTCGACTCTTGATCATCTTTTATGTTATGAAATGCATTGATCCATTTTTAAATGTGATTAAAAAAGATTTTAAAAATTTTAAAAAATTTGAGACTTGCTTATAGAAAAGGTGAACAAACCAACGTTAGTTTAATTTTTATGCTAAATAATATACATATCCTATATGTATGTATATATACTGTAATATCTGCATCTATATTTTTTTATATTTTTTTAAATAATATTTAAAAAAAGTAACGATAATGATAATAAGTTTAATAACGGTATAAAGTGTTTATATATTCAAAATCAAAATTAAAATATTCAAAAATAATCATTTTTTTTTTTCTTTGCAAAAACAAGTTTAATTTTTTCTTTCGAAATTTAATAATCTGAAATTTTCGAAATAATAATTTGTCAAAGTTGACCTCGCCGTAACATCATTGGAATTCGATTGCTGTAGAATTACGCAATATTTATCGAATAATAAAAACTTTTTATAATTTATATCCGTTTTCTGTAATACTAAATATTTTATCATTCTCCTCATTATTATCATTTTCTACATTATAACTAAATATTGTTAGTGTTGTCGTGGTCCTTACAGCTATAAAGCATGTATGCACCTGTATTTATATTATTTTCTATTGGTCAAAGTTTATTAATAGAAAAACGAGTCAATCATTCCTTTGTTTGCAAAATTACTATTTTACTTTTCCATTTTAAAGATTGTGTTTTGCTCAGTAAAGCTTTTTAGCATTTGTTGTTTTTTTGTTCAGGATTTTAAGTCAGAAGTCTTTGGATGTAAATTTAAAAGCATGAGAAATAAAATAAAATATAACACATAAATCGTATCGTTAATAACATAAAGTTTCTCGCATCATGTAGCAATCATTGGGAGTGACTAATAATTGATATAGAATAAGCAGAACTATCAAAAATATCATGACATTAGCAAACTAGCGATAAAAATCTTATATTATAATTTTGACTTTCCTGATTATTGCTACAAGATAGCATAAAACATTAGTTGAAGATTAGGTTAGTAACTTTCATATTATATATATATATATATATATATATATATATATATATATATATATATATATATATATATATATATATATATATATATATATATATATATATATATATATATATATATATATATATATATATATATATATATATATATATATATATATATATATATATATATATATATATATATATATATATATATATATATATATATATATATATATATATATATATATATATATATATGTTAGAGATTTTATAATTTGTGTACATTCATGTGTCTTATTTACATCCAACTTTTATATATATTGTTCAGCTAGAAAATGATTGATGTTAATTACACTCTTGATTGTCCACTTTGGCCTGATGCCCCACACCAATGCTCTACAGTAATGATTATACAGCGTTTTGTCTCAACAGTATCTTTGTTAGGTTGTCTATTTATAATTGTTGTCATATGCCTGTTTCGTGCTTATCGTATTTTTATACAGCGTCTAATTTTATTTTTAAGCATATCTGCAGCATTTCAATGTATTAGTTATGTAATCAGTGATCTATATACTAATAACTTTGTTTGTCAATTTCAAGCATTCATTATGCAATATTTTTCATGGTCTACTTTGTTGTGGGTGGTAGTCATGACTATGAATATAATACTTTCAATTTATCAGGTTTCTGCTTCTAAATTTGAAAAGTATTTTCATCTGGTTGCATGGGTTTTTCCCTTTTTTTGGGCTTCTTTGCCTTTTATAGGTAATAACTATGGTCAAGCAGGAGTTTGGTGTTGGATAAAAAGAGATGCTACTGCACTTCGTTTTGGAACTTGGTATATTCCAAAGTTTATTATTATATTTCTACTTGTATTAGTGTTTTCGTTCATACTTTTGAGAGTAGTAAGGCAAAATAAACAATGGAAAGGTACTCACAATACAACTGATACCAAAGAAAATGTGTTACTTATTAAGGAAGTAAAGCAACTTGCAGCTTACCCATTGATCTATGCTATTCTTTCTTTGCCAACATTGATCTATCGAATTGAAGATGCTGTCCATCCTAATCAGCTTCCAAAATATTATTTGCTTATATTGAGTGTGCTTATTTCTCCTTCTATTGGAGCAGTAAATGCTTTGGCATTTGCATTTTATGGAGATATTCGGAATAAATTGTCTTTTTCTCAACTGAAGTTTGCAACACTATCATGTTTTAGAAGTTCAACAAATTCTAATGTAATTCACAATTACAAAGTAGATGATGAAGCAAATATAATTAGTGATATTGAGTACAGCAGCTGAAAGATTTGATTTAGCTTTTTTTGGCTTTTAATTTGCTACTGTTTTTTTATATTGTGAATTTTGTGCAAACTTTGTGGTTTAAGAGACATATTTGGCAATAATAAATTGGTAATATATTTTTGAAAATGCAAATAAAATGTACATTACTATTCTGTTTTATATTATACTTTTTGTGATATTTTTTATTTTTAAGTGGTTTATAATTTTTTATGAAAAACTACAAAATTACATTTGTTTTACACTCCCAATATATTTTCGCTATTTATAGGTGGTAAGTATTATAGAAATAACTTGTAATCATAATTTAGCGATTCTTCTTTAAATTAGCACAGTTATTTAGTTTTTATATGTATACAATCCTATCTAAAAGACATTGAGACCAAAGACCCCAAATTTTATGTCCTGGCACTCAAACCAAATTCTTTTTTATAAAAAAGTATTATCCATATTATTTTTGTTTAAGTTATGATAGCAAAGCATTTTGATTTCTTTATACTTCCATTTTAGATAAAACTTTATTTTGAAATTGTAATAAAAGTTCTTAATTTTTTACTGAATCTTTTCAAGTTTTTTAAACTTTAACAATTTTCATCACTGGAAATAATTTTTTTTTAAAGAGGTCATATAGTTTATTTTATTATATTTCTTTTTTAATAATTTGTATAAAAAAGAAATATATATATGTATATATATATATATATATATATATATATATATATATATATATATATATATATATATATATATATTTATATATATATATATATATATATATATATATATATATATATATATATATATATATATATATGTATATATATATATACATGTATATATATATATATATATATATATATATATATATATATATATATATATATATATATATATATATATATATATATGTATGTATATATATATATAGTAACTATATTTTTATAAGTGTTTACAACAAATTAAGTTTAAAGTCATAGTTATATGTTATAAGTACGTAGTAAACTTAATATTTTTATTAGATAAAATTTAAGTTTAGATTACTCCCTATATAAACTAAACTAATGTATTTTTTACATTAAAAAAAATAATTAAATTTAATAGGTAGTTCAATAAATTTCAATTGCGGAAAGTTGTGTCATTTAAGGTTAGTATTTTTTTCACATAACTATAAGTTCTACTTATTTTTGTTGCTTGGAAAAGTATGGTAAAAATAAAAATCGTTAAAAGTATGATAATAAAAACGTTAAAAAACAATGTCAGCTGTTTCTCTTTTCAAGATGTTTGATGAACAATATATGTTATCCATCAGTTGAATGTTGACGAAATCTTTACAGGTTCATAAGTGTAGACTCACCTGTGGTGAATGGGGAGGTAAAATTGCTTAGGTATTTGCAATGATTTTCAAGTTCTAATTTTTATTATTCTCACTTTCTTTTGTTTATTTACCATTTAAAATTTACAATCAATGAACCATGTTTATGAACCATTTAAAATTTACAATCAATGAATGTAACTGAGTAAAAACTTTTTTACTATAAAAAATTTTTTTGAGAAGTAACAGCAGTGCTAGTCTCACTATTTAAGATGAAATAACTAATCAACCTAAATTGGAATCAAGTTTATATACTTTCTACTTAACATATCTTACACCTGATTGCTCTTATAATTGTAAACTTACCAGTGTTGTGGCTAAGATTATCATGTTAGAATTTAAATCATAAAAAGTAAAATGGCTACAAAAATTTTGGTTAATAGGAAGTATACTTTTTTATAGAGCCTATGTTTTATTTTTCATATTTTTTGGTCATCTTTCTAAATTTGAAAATCATATTTCCAATTACTTCAATGTGTAGATTACTACTAAGTGTGAGTTTTTTTGATAGTAAAGGCAGTGTGGTTTTTTGAGATTTTTAATTTACGAGTAATCATTAGTGCCTTTGATTGTTGAATGAAAAATGATTTAGATCAATAGTGGTGTACAATGATCCTGATTTCTAGCCATTGTTGAAGATATTCCTAAATCTAATTATAATTTGAGGCAAACTATAGAATAAGTTGAAAAAGTGAAATTGTTAGAATTTCAGTTTTTATGACTTTAAATGTGAAAATATTTAATTTATTTGGGGGTTCTGAGAAAAGAATTTGTTTATTCTATAAAGTAATATCTACACTTAAATCAAAATAAATTTTTTTTAGCATTATTGATTGTTGGTACAGTAAATATTCAGAAAAAAAATCAGTAAAATTATACATAAAAGTCTTTATGAACTGAATCAACTCTTAAATTTAGCATCTTGATCTTGATTAAATTGAATAAATGGTTCCTCCACCTAAACTTCATTTGTTAGTTTGCTTTTTTTTCTCTGCTTGAATTTTTTTAATTAGATATCTGACTGGGATTTGATGATTGACTTAATAAGAAAAATGTCATTCAACAAGGATATGTAAAGGTTGGGATTGAAACAATTCAAACAAAATATTAGATAAATTAGATTTCAATTAAATAAAAAAATACTTTGTGGAAAGTTCACATTCTACTGTGTCATGTATAGCCACACTTGGAACACTATAACCAAAGATGAAGTAACTGCTTTTTGCTTTAATTAGGTAAGTTAAACCAACTTCAATAATTTGATATTTGTAGATACTAATGTAACACTTGCAATACGATCATCATCAATTTTTAAACGATGCTGATCTGTGTTTAACATGTAAACTTTGGCGGTCACTTTTAGAACTTGTAAAATATATTTGATAATTATTTCATAACTTATTGGACAAAAAATACACTGTAAAAAATCATTAAAAAAAAGTTTTGTATCACCAAAAGTAGATCTATGTAGCATATAAGATTAAGTACACAAATCATAAAATTGGACTCTAAATTTTGCAGTCTTTAAGGGTATCTTGCTTGTACAAAGGTTTGGCAAAAAAAAGTGGAGGAGCACAATTTTATGACATCAGTTTTTAAAAAATGAAATTGTCAACTTCGTTTTTTAGAAATTGTTGATTATGCCACTCCACTGGAAACCCGTGTTGTCGGCCATGAGGTATTATTTTTATTAGTGGTATTATTGAGAGATGCATAATATGGTTGGAAAATTTACTTTTACATGAAAGAAAAATAATTATTATTTTGAAACTTAAAAACATTTACAAATGTCCTGTGCACACATGAGTATACATACATTTGTTGTTTTAGAAAAACTAAAAAATTTTATTTAAAACTTTATTTTTTAAAAAGTGCATATTTAGTGACAATATTATATACAGTATTTTCAAAATATTGAAACAATTATTTTTTTATTCTTTATTTATAATTTTTATAGATTTACAATAATTCTATTAGATGTATACTTAATATATCAATTAAGAGTTATTAGATACACAAAGTACCATATTTTTTCTAAACTTTAAAAAACACTTTATAGTAAAATGTTTAAAACAAAGGTTCTTTTCAGTTTTTTTTAGAAAATTGTACATGATTTTGATAAAAGGTATCCTAACTGAACTGGTGGTTAAAATTTTTTTTTTATTTTATAATTTTTTAAAGTTTATACATGCTTCCATATATAAACTTTTTAACTTTATACATGAAACTTTCTTGTAGGAATATTGTTTGTTTGTAAATAAATCTTTTGATTCATTTACAAATTTTATTTTAATTACCATTTTGAGCCTGTTTTATGTTTTATCTTATTAATATAATACTTTGTGTCTTTATGTATTTATATACATTATGTAGGTATTTGTCATGTTTTCTTAATGTTGTACAAATGTTTTTATAAGATGATTTACTTATAGGTCTATAATAATGACTAAGCATTCTTTTGTTACTACTAAATCTTTGTTCATTCATCTTATTGGTTTTGTATGGTGTAGTTTTGGTACCTACAATGGTCATGTTTATTACAGCATGCCTTCATACCAAAATTATGGTGGGCGCTTTCAATTTTTGACTATGTGGGCATCCTACCTTTTGTATCTTGGAACTGCTATCGGCACTCTTGTTGATTCTATACATCTAAAAAACAAAAACAATGAAAATAAACATCTAAAATCACCTCTTTTACTGATTCGAGATGATTTTAGTGTGGTATGGGGAACATTGAATTGCTTAGTTCCAATATTATATTGGTCTGTAGCTTATTTTGATCGAGAAGGTATTCATCCAAAGGAATTACAGCATTTGTTACCATTCAATGGTTGGTATAACCATTATTTACATACTATTCCTGCTTTTTATGTGCTCTTGGCAATTACGAATGTAAATTATGCTCATCCACCGCTTCGCAGAGCTATAGTTTATATAATTACTTTATTTTTAACTTACTTATGTTGGTTAATTTGGTTAGCAAATCTTAATGGAGTATACGCGTACCCATTTCTAAATGCATTGAGCAAAGAAGGCTTTGCGGTTTTCATTATATGCTCGTGCTTGGTTGGGTTTTTATTGTATATAGTTTTAAAATCTGTCTCTGCAATGTTGTGGAAAACTTGTGAATCAGAGGCACTTCGTTCAAAGCTAAAATAAAAATTAGAATTTTGATTTGAAACATGCTCCATTTATTAATTTTTTTTATAGTTCAACATTTTTGTTTTTGTTATATTGGTTATGTTCTTTTATATATTGTATGAATTTTATCTAAAACTGTTTTAGTTGTGTTAAATTAGAAGATTTTAGTATTTCTTGTTTACTGTTGTCAATCAACATAAAGTTGTCATGCTTTATGTTAAGACTTTTGTAAGCATAAAAACCTCTAATAGCGGCGCGTGTTGTTTGTGTAATAAGTATTACCTAGCAAATACATCTTGTTTAAATTTAATTTTTTTTTTCTGTCTCCTAAGTTTTTTTTCTAAATTTACGTTTGTATTTTGAATAAAAATAAAAACAAATTTAAACGGAGACCAAATATAAAATATTTATTAAATATGATAGATTACATGCAAAAGTTAGATTATACGTATGTTATAAAAAATAAAGATTAAAGTTCGATTTAGAAGATTATCTTGTCAAGATAATCGATATCATTAAATGTTTTTTGGGCAATCATTTTAAGTAACGGTTGACTTTGTTATAATTGTGAACCAAAAAGTATGAGTAAGATGTAAGTTTGGGGAGACCATGAGATTTCGGACACAGTGAGAGAATAGACACTTCTAAATCTCTTACCCTGTTAACATTCGAGCAATCTTTTCTATGGTCGATGTGTTAGTATCCACACTATTTTAGCTTTAAAGCAATTAAAAGCCAGTTTCCTGGAGAAAAAATTTAATTTAAATCAGTAATGTAGAGGGAAATAGGTTATAAGAAGACATTGTTAACATTTTGTGTTCCAACAACGTCACTACCAAATAGAATAAAAATACTTCGACAGGGTTGTTTAAAACTAAGCATTTGTGCTGTAAAAAAAACTTGGGAATTTTAAATCAGTTTTACCTTTGAACAAGAGCGAGAGTTAGGTAAATACCTAACTCTCTTTTTTCCAGTCTCACTTGTAATACCTAACTCTCTTGTTTCCAGTCTCACTTGTAATACCTAACTCTCTTGTTTCCAGTCTCACTTGTAATACCTAACTCTCTTGTTTCCAGTCTCACTTGTAATACCTAACTCTCACAATTTTGTAACTCTCACTTGTTTCCAGTTACAATTAAAGATTTGCAAGAATCAACTTTGCTGATTCTTGCAAATCTTTCATTGTAACTGGAAACAAGTGGCTTTTTGAAATATTAGGTATTTACCTAACTCTTGCTACTTTAAAACTAAAAACTTTGATACTCATCTGTTAACTGGTCATGGATTAAACTGATATCAGAGTCACTCCTAATTTCAGGCAATAAAACCAAACAAAGTTGCGTTCCTTTAAAAAACAAAAATATTGACTTCGGCTAATTCAGGGACACTCGCTGTCATAGTAACAAGAGTCTTAAAGTAGTACGGACCTTAAAATAGTCCTTTTCTCTAAGATTTATACTTTTCATCCTCTCTGAGTGTTATACTTTTCATTTTCTCTGAGATTTTTGCTTTTAATTTTCACTAGAAATCAAACTGAACTAGAATCGGAAGCACAAATTTTATTGACTAAAGTTTATATAAACTTTTAGAAACATTGATATTGTTATAGGTTAGATTTAGTACAACTGCATTAATTAACTTTATTTTCTTTCTGAATTTTTTTTTTTTTTTGGATAAACTAAACAAATCAATAAAAAAAAGTAATGGTTCTATAATAAACTTTATCTTTTTATAAAAGAATAGTGAAAATTTATCATATTTCAAATTTTTTAAAGCTTATTAATGTCAATCGACAAAAATTTTAAAAAGCATCAAAAATCTTTTCAGTTACTGGTAAGTATATTTGTGTATATATAATTTATTGGATATTCAAAAGCACATTGACATGTACAAAACAAACATTTTTGTAGTGGATTTGCTATGGACCTATATAAGCATTTGAAGCAGTTCGTTGGAGTTTTGCTTGATGGTTATTTAGTGGACCATTAGTGACATATGGTATAAGTGACCAACCAAAAACTTTCCAATATGTGATGTACAGTCGACCCCTCAAAATACCTTTATAAGTCCATTGAAAATCCGCTGTAGAATGTTTCCTGGGTATGAAGTGAACAAGTTTGTTAGTTTTTTAGAAGTACTTTGACATGCATGTAGTGAAAAAATTTATAAACCATTCAAAAACACTTGGGCATGTATGTAGTGAATTAATAACATAAGGTGTTTACATTTGGACTTTATATTACAAGCAGTTTTTTAAAAATAAAACTTTCAACCAATCTGAAAGAAAAAATAAAACAAAATAGTTAACTATTCTTTTATTTTTTTAAGAATGCCAAAAATTAAATTGAAGATTTTAGAATGTTGCCAGCAAACATTCTACAGTGGAATTTCAGTGTACTTATATAAGCTAAAAGTGCCTAGTCATTGATTAGCCACTATATCGCATGTTAAAAAGTTATTAGCTGGCCACTTATAGCAAATGCCGTTAATGGTTCACTAAGTAAAACCCTAATCAACCCCTAAATATGCCTATATAGGCCCACTGCAAATCCACTATAAAAATGTTTGCTAGGTAGATGTCAATGTGCTTTTGAATGGCTAATAAATTATTGATACACAGATATACCTACCAGTAACTAAAAAGATTTTTGATGCTTTTTTAAACTTTTGCTGATCGACATTGATAAACACAAAAAAAGTATTTCAAATGCGAAAAATTTTCGCTATTTTGTAATAAAGAGATTTATTATAAAATCATTCTTTTTTTTTTTTTTTTTGCTTTGATAGAATATTGAACGTGAAAAATTTTTTCAAGTCTTTTGGAAATACATGAAATATTGTTATTAGTAGACCAGGGAAATCTCCTGATATATTTATTAAATACCATTGCCATACATGTCCCATGAATGGAACTTTAAAGTGGCTCACCACTAAATAAATCTCAATTTTTATCAAAACTTGGTTTTTTGGATTTCTTTTGTTTTATACCAATTCAACATAGCTGTAAATATTTTTGAAATTTTTTTTGACAACTTTAGCCTATTGTAAGTTATTCAACTTTATTGAGGCTTAATTAAGAGATTTTACCTTGACAACGGTCCCTAGCAACTCTAAATTAGGTTTAAAATTGCTTTTTTATTTGCCCTGATTTAAGTTTTTTGTCAGATTTTGTTAACCACGTACGTGGTTTCCCTCAACGCAATTCCCTCATTAAAATACAACACATCTGAGTTACTAAATTAACACGCGTGTTAATTTAGTAACTCAGATGTGTTGTATTTTAATGAGGGAATTGCTGATGTTCTGAGATTAATGACTCACTTCAACTCACTAATTATATAAGTATTTCTAGCAAAAACCTTAGACCATTAAAACAGTTTTAATGGTCTAAGGCAAAAACCAATTTTGTTTGCTCCGAAAAACGCAGCAATTGGTTATGCGGGGTTTCCACGTCAAAAATGTTTTTAATTACGTGCACATGTTTGAAAATCACATGATAAAAAGGTTTGTTTACACGATTATGGATTTTCAATAAAAATTTAATGTGTATATAGAGATTATATTGCAAATGATTGCTAGTTTTATCTGTTAGATTATTTAGTCTAACTGTTATAAAAAAGTTTTGCGTGCCAATTTGTTTATATCTACAGTTTTTTCAAATATAAAAAATACATTAATAGTTGTAGTGATTAAATAAACTTACAAAAATTAAGATCATTTAATAATAAAAGCCTGTTGATGTATTTGGCCCCAAATTACGTTATATGACTTTTTTGAATTTTTATGGATTTATACATGTCTAAAGTAAAACTGAGCTCCTTTGAACAGCATGATTGCGATATTGAAAAAAAGAAACAAAAACATTCTCTCTCTCTCTCTCTCTCACACACACACACACACACACACACACACACACACACACACACACACACACACACACACACACACACACATGCACACACACATTTATATATTTGTGTATAAATATAATTTTATATTTATTTTTTAATTTAGAGTACAATGGAGACGTTTTTTTGCAAATGTGCAAACGTTACTATTAATATAGTATCTATAAAAAACTCTAATATTGAGATAAAAGACTTGGTTCATATTGAAGATGTAGAAAATATTGTAAGGCCATTCTTCAAAAATAAATTAATTGAAGTAATCCCTGCAGCTAATGGAATAGAAGTGGTATGTTAGTTATTTCTTGCTCATTGAGCAAGCTTTGTTTGCAATTACTGCAATTACAATTTTTTGTTTAATTTGTAAAAATAACTGGTTGTTATTTTAAAATAACTGTTAGCGCTGATTGCAAATCAGAAAACATAAAATTAAAAAAAAAAAAAGGAAAAAAACGTTAACATTATTTTTTAAATCTTAGTATTATCTATTTTGAGTTTTTTTTAATTTTTGTTTAATTAAGAAACTTAGTTTAAAAAAAATTATCTAACTAATGTATTCTGAAAATAATAAATAAATGTGAATGAAAAATCAAATACTTTATTTTCATTCAAGTTAAAAAAACATGATACTTTTAGATAATATTATAATGGATTTTCCTCAAGTATATAGATTTCAAAAACAATATCTTCAAAAAAGATTTTACGCACAATTTACAAGTGAAATAATTGAGGTGATACTGCAGTTAAGCGGCGTAAAATAGTTTTATTTTTTTGCTTCTATTTTTTGTATTATCTTGTCCATGGAGACTTTTTAAACATAAAGAATGATTGGCTACAGTGCATTCATCACCTATCTTACAGTCTGCTACCACAAAGGAGTGCCGCTACATTGGCTCAGGGTTTGGCATAAGGCAGCAATCTTTTTTTTTCATTATTAAAATAATAAAAGAAAAGACTGCTGCCCCATACCAAACCCTCAGTCGATGTAATGGCATTTTTTGTAGCAGTAGGCTATAAGATAGTTGATATATGTATTGAAACTATTTTTTTAAATTCTGATTCACTTCCAACAAGTCTGCAAGCAACCACTATTAAGTTGGGAGTTACTAGAAAAAAGAATAGAGTTATAGAGCAAGGAAATGGTTGACAGAAGACAGAAGTTAAAGGTTGTATGAGTCAGGAAAACATGAAGATGGGAGAGAGTTTTAAAGTATTGAAGTGCAGGGAAAAAAACTAGACAAATAAAAGATTTTAGAGCATGCAGGGACAGATACAGTAAAAGAATGAGACTTTGCTGAATGAAGTGTCAAGCGAGAGTGAGTGAACCTTGTAACACTACTGGACTTAGCTTGTAACTTGTAGCTTGTAATACTACTGGAGTAGCTTGTAACATTACTGGACTCATACTTGCCAAGGAAAACTCTCTGCTTTTGATTAGTAAGAAAGTCACCAATCAAGAAAAGCAGTTTTTCAGTGACACCAGGTGCTTATATTTTGCGCATAAAACGTTGATGTAGCACAATTTCTATAGTTTATTCCTAACAAGTCTTTTTGTTGTTTGTTGGTTTATTCCTAAGAAACTTGGCTCATGTTTGTATATACAATTTTGAATATAAAAATACAATAAAAATCAATAAAAATTTTGTAACGTGATATATTACTTAAAGTAATCAAAACATCTTAGTCAACTTTTTGATATCACAATTCAGAATTTTGAAGTCTGTCAATCTATAGTTCAGAATTGAAGGCACAAAAAATAGTTTTTTTTTTTAATCCAGTTAGACTTTTTTCATAAGACAGGTGGTATTTACCTGTTATGACCATATCAGTATTGCTAAAGCAATCCAGTTATGACTAATTGAGCTATGTAGACATTAGTCCATAAAGAAGCCCATCCTTGTTGTGCATAATTTATTAAGTTTTGATTTGAAAGAATTCAGAGAAGTGACTGTTACAGTATCATTATAAGTGAGTTCCAGTGGTTGACTACATGTTCTGAGAAGAAATATTGTCTGACCACAGTTGTGAATCTATGCTTAAACAGTGTAAGTGGGTGATCTCTTGTTCTTTTGTTTGTGGCTAATTCAAAAAAAATTGTATTGTTTGGTAGTATTGCAAAGTGGAGGAAGAGACTCAATGTTGCATATGGGATTGAATGATTCAGTCAGTATAAAGTCTAGAAAACTTTTTTATTTTCAGATTGCATTGCAGAATGATGGAAAAATTATCTCCTGAAAAATGAAATGGACTTTGAAAGTATTCACAAATTGATGATCTCATAAAGTGGTGCTAACCTTCCAATTGCATGTCAATTTTATTTATCTAGCTTGTATGGATTTCATCATTTGCATACATTCTAGTTATAACAATTTTTCTAATTTGTATTTACTTTTTGTGATACTAATTTGCATGTTATTATCTCAATTTTTTTAAAATTGTTTTATTGGGTTTTTTGTTTATTTTTAGTAACTTAAATCCTAGGTTCTGTTTACCATAGTACAGATTTCAATTTAATTTTCAATTCATTTCAAACTTACTGCATATTATATTGCTTATTACCTGCATTTTATATAAAATAGCTATGACATTTCTGGTTACCATGGATGTCATTTCTTTGACTACTAAAACAACCATTTTTGCTATTTGTTTAATAATTTAGCAAATTGAAATAAAGATGCCAATGAAATTTTAGTTAACTTCTGTTAGTTTAAATAAGACTAAATTAGTTTTATGATTTAATTTTTGAATGTATTATATAAAAATATTTATTTTTAAATGTCTTAAATTTGTTATTTTTTCTGAGTTAAGTAAATTATTACAACAATTTTGTTGCTTTTCAAGTTAAATTCACCACTGGCAAAAGTGGCACAAAACAGGTTTAAAAAGTTTCAGATTTATAAAATCTCAATAAGGATCAGGTTTCTATTGTTGAACTTATCTGTTGGTACTATTCCAGGCCAAGTAGCTGCAACATAATCTACACCAGTTGGCAGATATTTATTGTAACTGATAAAACAGGATTGATTTGATTAAGATAATTAAGAAATGTTGATTCACAATTTTCTTCAATAGTTGTAAATATTTTGTACAACTATTAAACATTTAACATTTCTTCAATTGTTCCATTTTTTAATATCAACTATAAGATCTCTATGTAATAAAAAAAAAAAAATTACTTTGACTAATGTAGCATAACAAATTCAATAAAGAGTTTAATTCAGTTGTCACAAACAACTTAATATTTCAAAATTATAAACTCTTTCATATAGTTTAATTACTAAGTCTTTTTATCCATTTACAAATTCTTGACTAAAGTCTTATTGATGATTTATTTTCTAGCTTTTATGTTAATAAACATAAAATCTTTATATTAATTTTATTTTAGGCTCAAAATATCCTATTGTTACAGAGATCTGTTAATGGGTGGAAAGTTTCTTTATGCCTTAATTGTGGTTGCTATACCCATGCCACTAATCAAGATCAGAGATTACTTTTATCTGAAAATCTGGATGTAAAATTTCTTGTTTTGTTTATCTTTTCTATTTAAGTATTAAATTAACTATTTTGTACCTTTACAAATAATTTCAAATATTTTTTTTATTTAGCACGGGAAATCAAAGTATAGCGAAATACTAAACTCTAAAAAATTCTCTAAAATATTTAATTTTAAACTTATGAATGAGGATATACAATCAAATACAAGCAAGTATTTTAGTTGAATTATGCTGAGTAAAAACTTAATGAGTAACTTTTTTAACTTTAGGTGATTAAATAATATTGTGAAAGTACTGACTCCTTTTATACCATTTCATTATTTTTAGCACAAAAGATACATTTTAAAGAGTTATCTAAAACGTATGAACAGTTAGAAGCATTTTTTAAAAAAGTAATTTTGTTAGAAGAAGATGCAGTTAGAGAAAGAATCAGGTAATATTCCAAATTTAAGACATTGTTAAAGGTATCCCAGTACTACTAAATTACTGAGTCACCTTTTTAGAGTTTGAATTAGAACTCTATAATAAAGTTTATTTAATTTGTTTTATGCAATTTTTAATAGCCTAAAATGTCATTTAAAAAAATATATAATTTGTGTAAAAAAACATAGCTTATTAAATATCATTGTGTAAAGAAAAACAGCTTATTTTCATAAAATTATTACATAATATTGCACTTATTTTGTGATAAAAGACTTGAAAGTTTAAAATAATTCTGATTTAAGGTTATAAATATGTATCTAAATCTTGTCAAAAAATTATATAATGATATAATATATATAAAAATATATATAATGATAAATATGATATATATAGTATATCATATTTATCACTCTTATTCATCAGAGTATTGTTTCAGCTCTTGATTATCACTTATCTCTAGGGATTATCACTTATCTCTTGGGATTATCACTTATCTCTAGGGATTATCACTTATCTCTTGGGATTATCACTTATTTCTAGGGATTATCACTTATCTCTAGGGATTATCACTTATCTCTAGGGATTATCACTTATCTCTAGGGATTATCACTTATCTCTAGGGATTATCACTTATCTCTAGGGATTATCACTTATCTCTTGGGATTATCACTTATCTCTAGGGATTATCACTTATCTCTTGGGATTATCACTTATTTCTAGGGATTATCACTTATCTCTAGGGATTATCACTTATCTCTAGGGATTATCACTTATCTCTTGGGATTATCACTTATCTCTAGGGATTATCACTTATCTCTTGGGATTATCACTTATTTCTAGGGATTATCACTTATCTCTAGGGATTATCACTTATCTCTAGACTCTTGATTTGAAAGTCACAAAATAATTATTTCTTCTTGGTTTTTGGAATCCATAAGCTCTATAAATGTTAAGTAGCATATGGACTTCCTTTGGGAAAAAATTAAGCCTTTTTAAGTAGAGGAACAATCAAATATGAACCTGGAGTCCCAATGTATAATGGTGGCTGGGGAATCAAGGCTAAAGTGCAATAGGTTCCAATTCAATAAATCTCATAAATTTTTCATTATTGCAGATTTAATTTTCATATTAATGTAAATACTAATTTAAAACTCAATATTAATGAGTTATTAGCTCCAGAGAACAGGAAAAGGTTTAAAAGCCTGAATGTTTTTTGAGACTCTGGATCCTACTTGAAAAAGATTTTTGAGTTACCCTGTCTGACCCACTTTTGCCAGTGTCTTCCCATCTTCTCATTTCAAAAAAAGTTTAGCGAATTGTTACTTTTTTTAAAAATAATTCACATTTCGTTCATTTGTAACACAAAGAACTTATCTTTGTTCTGCAGTAAATTTCTTTGAAGTCTACTTGTTTTAAAGTCTTCCCTAACAGCATATTCTTCTTATAGATAGGTTATATAGATAGTATCATCTATTATATTTATAGAATATATATTGAATTTTATAAAAAGTTTAGTAGTTCAATTAAATAAAATATTTGTACATATGTCTTATTATAATGTCAATCAATAATTTTGTATTGATTTATTAAATAAAACAATGTATTTATCTTACAATGACTTTAATTAAACAGGCAGCCTTTTAACAACCCAAATAATATTTTGTACATAAATTATTTAAACCTCAAATATTTTTGTAATTAATTTGCTTATTTTTAAATTTATTTTATGTAACATAGTATTTAAAACAATGTAAATAAATGCTTTATGTAACAGTATTTAAAACTATGTAAATAAATTCTTTATGTAACATAGTATTTAAAACTATGTAAGTAAATAAATGTCAACAACTACTTTATGTAACATAGTATTTAAAACTATGTAAATAAATACTTTATGTAACATAGTATTTAAAACTATGTAAATAAATTCTATTTGTAATATAGTATTTAGGACTCAATATAAATTTTATACTTAATCCTGCATTTACTATGCAAATATACTGTTATTATATTGTCTATTTATGATATTGGTTATCCCACTAAAAGAAATTATGTTTATTTATGATATTGGTTATCCCACTAAAAGAAAGTAGTTTAGATAATAGTAGACTCTGTAATAATAACTTTATTTTACTCAAAAATGCACTTTTTTGTGCATGCTGATAATAATTGTATATATTTTGTAATTTACAAAACATTTTTTATTAAAGGATATACACTGCAAACCAACTGGAGGAGTTCCAAGATTTCAAACTGAGAGCCAGTAATGAAAAAGATACTTTAAAGAAGTATTTTATTTTTTATTTTTATTTTTAGGCTACAAAACACTTATGAATCACTTGAAAATTGTGAAAAAAGTTACAAGCTTGTAAAAGCTGTCAGGCTTGTTATTAGGAAACACTATTTTGTGTGGCATATAATTATTATGCAACATATGTGGTACTACTTTGGTATAGTTGCGGTAAATCTGTGTACTTATATTGAGTGATGTTCTCTGATTGCTTTTACATAGAGAATCTTAAAAAAAAATTATTAAAAACTAAAGACTGAAATTTAAATCCAATTAAATTTAAAAAATTCGTACAAATCTTTATATATATAAATTTATATATAAATTTCAAAATGTGAGTTTGGAAATATATATATACTACACAGTAGTAGTGTTGCCGGGAGCAACATCCTGATTATACACTAACACTCTGAAATATGCGTAATATGCTGAATGAGTTTTATCCCAATGATTATCTTGTGTTTTGGTTCTATGTAGTCAAAAATGAAATAAAATACAGTGTTTCAAATTTTACAGTAATTTTACTTGACATTAAAAACTGTAAAAAGTAAAAAAAAAAAACATATATAAAGTTATATCTTGTAATTCAAACTGCTTCAAAAGATTTAAACAAAGTAAATTCTTCAGTCCCTTCAGTGTTTAATATATAGGTTTGAACTCCTAATTTCAATAATAATTTCAACTGTAGTTTTTTTTTTATTATTTAGCAAAAAAATTATACTTCAACAAAACCAGTTACATTATAACATTGAAAATATTTATGCTGCAACAAATCCAGTTTATTTGTAGCTAGTATTTTAATATTGTATGTTTTTACCGCATAGATATCTTTAAAAAAAAGGTTGTTTTGAAAAATTAAGCCTGTAAACATATTTGCAAATAAATAATGTTATGAACCTTATAACATAAAAAATAGCTAAAGGTCTACTACAGCTGAAGAGTCTAGTCCTTTGTTTTAATTCTATCTAATTTGTTTATTGTTATTTCAACTTTTTCGCTCTCTCTTAACCTTTTATTGACATGTGACCTGTATGGCAGTTCATAAAATTTGTATCTAAATGACGAGTGACCTGCATGGCAGCGCATAAACAATTTTAAATATTTAAAAACATCTATAGCAATTGGGAAAAACTTTAAAATTATCTTTGAATTGTAAATAATTTCTTTAGTTAATGCTTCAAAATGTTTCTTACTTGCATTTATATATTGCTCAAAAATCAATTTTAAAAAATGACGAAGAACAGATTATATTAAATTGATATAAATGATTTACAGTATTGGACAAAAATTTTCCAACCAACATCGAACAATGCTAAAATGTGTTCCTAATTTTACATGTCTTAAAAACGAAACGAACTATACTACCACAGCAAACAGTTCAGAAGTCATAGCATGCCATGACATGAGCAATCAGCTGACAGGTGACAGCACACAGGCAGAATTTTGTTAATAAGTGCCATTTTGCAGTGGACAAAACAAGTGCAACTTTTTTGGTTTGTTTCATTTTCTTAAGTCTGGTCCGTGTCAACGTCACGGAGGTTTTTTAATAATTAAAGGAAGTATCCAGAAGTTTCCAGAAGCATACAGAAGCTTCCAGAAGTTTCCAGAAGAAGCATCTGGAAGCATCCAGAAATATCCAGAAACATTCAGAAGCATTCAGACGCATCCAGAGGCATTGTAAAGAAGCATCTAGAATCTTCCAGAACAGGTTCACACAGGTTCATTATACTATATGAGGCATGTAAACCGACATGTAATTCAGTCAGTATATAAAAGTAAATCAGTCAGTATTATCAAGACAGTTTATCGAAGTAAGTTTTATAAAAGTATTTTTTTGAAGAATATCAATACAAGAAGTGAAATACAACAAGTGTTTCATTACATCAATACAGTCCACATCCAACCAAGACGTTGTGTTCCACAGAGCATTATTTTATCATCACAAGGTAAATGTAAAACGGTAAGCCTTGAGAAGCGTGATTATTTATTTTTATGATATCAAGTGCAAAAATGGCTCCCGACAGTCTTGGATTGGAACTAATAAAGAAATTATTGGCGATTATGTAAGTGGAATGTAACAAAAAAGTATTTGTGATAAATATTGCGTGAAAAAATGGACCGTATCAAGACTATGTTCCAAATATCGTTCTACGGGGAAGTTGGCAGCAGATAACAAAGGTGGAAAACTACCACCACTTCTAGAGAGGGTTCTATGATTGTCAGATACGTCAAGAAGGATCCCCCGATATCATCAGTACAAAAGCAATTAGAACTGCCTGTATTGGAAGGCCTGGGCAGCGATTCCACAAAGTTTCATTGATCACCTGATCGAATCTATGCCTCAAAGATGCAAGGCTGTGATCGACAACCAAGGATTTGCCACAAAATATTGATAGCGAAATACAGCTTGGTCAATATTTTGTGGAGTTGCACTTGTTTTGTCCAGAAGGAAATCAACTTTTTTTAATACTTTTGATTAATTTATTAATTTTCGTGTACAAATAATGAACTTTGTGATGAATAAAACTTGAAGAACGTTGTCTCTAAACAGTTATATAGTTATTTCTCTAAATTGAAAAAATGCAGCACTTTTATATAAGAAACTAAATTAGCATTATTTGGTTGCACTTATTTTGTTTGATACTGTATATTTTTTTCAATGATAGTGGTGGATATTTTTTTTGTTTGATTAGCACTATAAAGGCTTCATTAATTTAATATCAAAAATGATATGTTTATCTATTTCTATTTTTATTTCTTTAAGTTTACATAAAGAAACTATATATTTTTGTTAATTTTAACTTAATATATTTTGATCACATAACTAAGATAAAAAAAATTTTTTTAAAGTTTTTGGATATTTTGAAAATCAATTCTTAGACAAAAAAACAAGGTCTTGTTTTTAAAATTCTGACTAGTAGTTTTTATTTTATACTCTTTCAATTAATCATGATTCTAGTTCTTTATTTTACGCGCAGTCATGTAGCTGTTTTTAGCTCAGTCGCTAAAGGGTTAACCATATACACAAACCTTGATGAACAAATATGCTACCTAGAGAAAATGTGACAAAATAAATTGTTTTTTTTTAAATCAGATTTTGTATTTAATTTTAAAAAATTATAACTAATCAAATTTGCATAAAATAAAATATTTATATAAATTTTAAATTTTTTGTTGTTTATAGCAGTATTAAAAGGTTTGAAGACCCTGACGAGTATGAGAGTTTATTTGGTTTGGATGCAGGAACCAAAAGCATCATTCGTGGGTCTAACAATAAGTTTCAAAATTTATACAATGAAAAAAGTAAGTTTTTAACTGGAAACAAAGTTGTTTATTTTGATAAAATATATTTTATTACAATCCCTAGATAATAATTTTCAAAATTTTAATTCTAGTAATTCTAAGTTGTTATCCATAAAGTACGTACGCTCATAGGGGGAGGTCTCTAAAAAGCGTACGAATGGTATAGGGGGGGGGGAGGTTTAATTGAAAAGTATGTACATCAACTTTCTAATTTATCACAATTAACCAGCTAATCAATAGAAAAGTTAAAGTTCTGACTTAAGATCATAGTTTTCCAACATAAAAAGATGTTTGGTATAGGGAGTAGAGGGTATAATTTCCCTCAATGCACACACATGCATGGGGGCATGCAGGATTTTTTGATATTCCTGTTAGGACACTTTCACACATTGTGCAAACTCCAAACTTAAGTATAACTATGCCAAATTAGGAGGCCTTGCAAAAAATTATGAAGGCAGAGGTCTGGGAGCAAAAAAGCGTTTTTTCTAGGGCTTTTTTGTTCTCAGGCCTCTGTCATCCCACCTTTTTGCAAGGCATCTTCATTTGGCATAGTTCTACTTAAGTTTTAGAACCTGCACAATGTTTATACCTTTGGCATAGGCATACCTATGTGCCTATGCTAAAGGCAAACATAAAGGCCCCCTACATAAACGTGTCATTTGGGTCTCAAAATCTCCCAAATTTTACTGCTAGGTTTCGCTAAAATAAAAAGCTCCTTAAATTAACAAAAGGACACAAAAAAATCAGAAAGTGGATAATCAAAAATATTTTTTCTAATTTTTTGAATTTATACTGAAAATTTCAAAAAAGTCAATGATTTGTAAATGGAAGTTCTATGAACTAACTGACTCTTATTATATTCATAGTTTTTGAGTTGGATATTTGTTGAAAGTTAATAAATTAAAAAAGTTCAAGTTTAGTGGCTTACCCTCTACATATATATATATATATATATATATATATATATATATATATATATATATATATATATATATATATATATATATATATATATATATATATATATATATATATATATATATATATATATATATATATATATATATATATATATATATATATATATATATATATATTATTATATATATATATATATATATATATATATATATATATATATATATATATATATATATATATATATATATATATATATATATATATATATATATATATATATATATATATATATATATATATATATATATATATATATATATATATATATGTATATATATAAAATTTTAAATAAAGTTATACTATTACTCTATAATTAGAACTAGAGAATAAACATAACTATGTAATAATTACTTTTATATTATGTATTTTTAAGTAATATAATTGTACTGTGTCTTTTGTAAAACATTATAATAATAATATTGTTCTTATTACCGTTTTATGTGTTACTTAACTTTTACCAACACTTTTAATTTTTCTTTCAAAAATAACATTGAAGTTATATGTAGACTATCACTTCATAACAAATTGCAGGTGGGAGGAAAACATATAATTGAGTGTTGTCAAACTGTTAAGTTTTAAGTTTAATTTAGGTTTTAAAATTAATTTAGGCTTTAGCAAACTATTTTTATCTTTTTTTGAAACTGTGGATTTTATGAAAATAAAGAAATCATAAACAAAATTAAAATAATAAATATATATTTTTTTCATATCCGTTAAACCAAAATATTTTTCAAAATATGGCATTGCAATTTATTCAGGTAAATATATAATGACCGTTTAAACTAAAATAAAAAGCAAAAGTTTTATAATATAAATTTGATTTGTGCTTTTCAATTTTTTAATGTGAATTCAAAACGAACAGTGGTAACTATAGTAAACGTGAAACTGGCTAATTTGTACTTATGAAGTTTTAAATAGGGTTACATTTGCCAAATTTATTTTAGCTTATTCAACCGACACTTTAAATAGATCAACTATTTCAAATTCATCACATTTTCAAGAGTCCAAATCTCAAAAATTAACGCAGACAAAATCACGCTCTCCTATTAAACGATCAGATTCGAACAATGAAGATTTCTTTGACTTTGAAGGATTTCACGATAGCAAAAGTTATGAAACATTTGTTGAATCAGATGATGATAGCAGTGGTGCGTTTCTTTTTGACTTTTTTTTTTTTTTTTTTTTTCTATTTTTAATTTGGCATATTTTTTTTCAGGTGACACAGCAAGCTTGGAAAGTAGTGGTGGTGGATTTAGTATGCAAATAACTAGTCAAGGGACAAATTCTAGTGAAAGGATGTATGCTACTTCAGTACCTGTATCCATACAAATGTTTAACACCAGAAAACATTCTTACGAACCATATGACGAGGATGACTTAGATGTATATATATACAATTTATACAATATTTTTTATACAGTTGAACTCTTGTAATTTGAAGATCATTCAAATTGAACAAATTCTTTGGTTCCTTTAGGGTTTAATATTTAGGATCGAACTTCTTTAATTTAAAAACTCTTGTAATTTGAATATATTTTGAGACCACTTGATTCGATTAACACGAATTCAACTGTATATATATATTTTTTAACATTTTGAATTTTTTAAATAAAGTTTTTAGATTTTATTTTATAAATTAAAAGACTTATTATTTATATATGTTTTTTTTATTTTTAGGAACTTTCGCCATCTCCTAGTCATATTGCTGACTCAATTAAAGCTTTGGCTAAAAGTGTACAAGATTCAACTGCTATGTTTGGAGAACTACCACGCACACGATTTAATACGATTCCGTATTCGTTGAGATAGCTTTTTAACTTCTTGTAATTTACAAATCTTAATGTTGGTTACAACTATGCGATATGCGCTTCAAAGTTTAAGTTATTCATGATCTGAATGCCAACTTTGCTTACCGCATCATTTAGTTTGTGAATGTTGACTTGTCTTGATATATATTATATATATATAACATTTTTTTGTGATTTCACAATACATTTACTGTTTTGTTAAAATATTTTTAATTGTTAGTTTTATATCGATTGATTTTGTTTAAGGTTGATTTGTTAATAGTAGTTTGAAAAAACCGGTAACCGATAAGCTTTTATAAGCTGGTTTGCGGTAAGGAATCGCCCATAAATTACGCAACGCTAAATTTATTTAAAAAACAGAAGTAGGGAGACTTTTGGCTCTTTTACGCGGCACTTTTTATTAAACTTAACGCGCAATTTTAATTTTTGATTTATTTAAGGCTCTGCGAAGGAAAACTTTTGATCTCTTACTAGTGAAATTTAACGTTGCGTCATTTATGGACGATCCCTAAACTGATTTATTTTACTTGGGTTTGCCCAATTTTTTCTTCTTTAAAACTTGTATTTATATTTTTTATCTTTTTGAAAACTTACTTTAAAACGGCAATTGTTTTAGTTGTTTGGTCACTTAGTGTCCGGTTGTATCCGCTTTTATAATAGTTGTTTGGTCACTTAGTGTCCGGCTGTATCCGCTTTTATTTTTGTAATCTTTAGTAAAATTTCCGTTTTTTTGTAAATTGTTAAAACTTTTTACACTTAATGTTTATCAAGTTTTTATGCATGCAAAGTAGTGTAAAAAATAAAACATCTTTTCTCTTTAAATAGTTGCTCCAGTTAAATTAAAAAAAACATATTAACGCCCAAGTTTTGGCATTTTATTTTTAAAATTTTGAAATCGCCAAATTTGATTGGAAGACAATTGGGACATTAGACCCTCTATCGAGGGTCTATTGTCCCAACAAAAAACAATTTTATAAATTGAAGACCTTGGAATGAAAACGTAAAATGTCAAAACTTTTATGCAAATTGGGTTTATGTTATTTTTTGAAAAGTAACCACAACAAACAATTAAAATTGCTAAAGGAAGAGGAGTTGGTCATGTAGGCAAGTATCCCTGCTAAAACTGTTGGCAAAGATTGCAGGTATAAAATAAAGTATTAAATTATGTTATTATTAACTAATAACAGAGATGCATCTATCATCAATAAATTATTTCTAAGTATACATCATTTCTATGTGTTTTGTATGCCCAATTAGGTCACTGGAATGATGCATGTTTAATACACATCCACATATTCATTCTCATATGCAATCGTTCAAATGCCGTCAAAGCCATAATTCTTTTAATAAAAATGTAAGATACCTTCAAGAGACAGAGGTTACTCCTTCTTGCCAAATGATGCAGATTTGCATCTATTTTACAATGCAAGGAAAAAATCTTGGCAGATATTCCTGAGGGCTGGGATGAGATTATGGAGGTAAGGAAAACCATTTTCATTTTTGAAAAAAATTTTAAATCATATAATTAATAAACGCATGAAGAACTCCGCTTGTAAAAAAAAAAAAATCCGTCACCAAAAAATATCAGAAGTTTTGAAACAAAAAAAGTTTTGCTTTCCGTCAAATAAAAGAAATATATTCAAATTCAAATCCTAAACACACTTCTCTACCATTAAATAAATGAAAAAATTAATTATTTGATTAACAGAAATTTAACTAGGAATCCTAAAAATAGATAAATACCTTTACAAGCATTAACTTCTCAGGTATTTTGTGTTATTATGGTTGTTTATTTTGAGATAGTTTGTATAGGAACTGTTGTTAAGGGGCAACTTTCAAGCAGTTTTTAAGATGTTGATTTTTTAAGATGTTGTTAATAAAACGCTTTGAAATTTTCTCATATAAACTCGTCTTCTCTAAGATCTTCTGGATACAAAAGTACGAGATCTTTAACTTTAGATTCTTTACTGTTTGTTAATTCCTAATTGATGTCAAGCGTCGATCAGTTGAAGAAAAATAATTTACATTGCTGTTCAGAGCTTGAAACCTCTCTATAATCTGATAGATGAAGGTAACAAAGTAAACAATTTTAATTTCTTTATTGGATGTTTTCAATATTTTATTTAGTATACTAATTTTTTTTAATCATCTGATGATGCCACATAAATGTGATGCCCCGGGAAAACCAACCCGAATCCCCCAACCTCTGTGCGCCCCTGCGTGCAAACTCTTTAAGTAGATATGGACGATGAAGTCGACTGATCCCATGAATAGCAAATGCATTTTAACACTAAAAAAATATAAAGTAATGCATGTTGGATTTGCAAAGATATCCAAGCACGAGTATTCAATGACAAATGTTGATGGAACTCATAGAAAACTAGATGTAACTTCCATTGAATAAGATCTGGGAGTTTTTGTATCTGATAACCTAACTGATAACGAGCTCAAATAGGAACTGCCACATCGACCGCAAGCACAGACGCTTGGCCGGCTTAGAAAGACTTTCCGCAGTTGCAATATCATACTGTGGCGCACTTTCTACTAAACATACATCCTCAAAAGTTATTAGAAAAGAAAAGCTTGGTGTTCATCTTAATAAACTCAAATTCATTTTTAAACACTTGAGATTACTTACATAAAATGCATTAGTATTACCCAAAAAGTAATGTTTTACGGGTAATCAAATGTTTACTGAAAGAATTTAGCAAACAAAAAAATGTCGGGCAAATGTCGCTTTATAAAATTTATTTTATAAAGCGATTTCCAAAAAAACTATAACGCGGATGGGATTTCTGTTATTGGGAGCGCCTCCATCCTCCTTGAAGGTTTAAACATCATCTATGCGTCCGTGTTGTGGTCGCGTTAATTTTGGTCGCGTACCGTAAACTTAAAATATGCTATAAAAATATCACAACGCGCGATTTAATCAGAAATTTAGTTTAAAGGTCATATAAATATGGCACTCACCAAGAAGAAACGAGGTGCTGATAATTATTTGACAGATCAGAATTGGGATGCAGAAGAGGAAGCCGATGAAGAGGTAAAATAACTAATAAGTACGAATTATATTATATCAAGAATCTCACTTATTTTGGAGTATCCTGGATTTTGCTGACGCATTAATCTTCTATACATTAATAAATGACTAGCACCACTTTCTAAAGAGGTTAATTCAGATCTCCATTAATTAGTTAAATAGTTATCGTATATCTCTAAATAATTTCTATAAATAAAATGAATTTATTATTTTTCACCCCCTTTGCCCCTAAAACAAAAAAAGGTTAACAATTATAATCTAAAAATTAAAATTAAGGGTAAAGTAGCTAAATAAAGTATCTTGGTGTGTTTCTTGACTAAAATTTATAATAGTACTATCAGCTGATTCAATTCAATAAAGAACTCTCTGAGCCAATAGTATGTTGCCTTCAATACAAAACTATGTTTCCCAACATACTTTGATATTAATGTACTACTCTTTTTTTTCTCACCATTCAGGGTAAAAAAAAAAAAAATGTGTTTTTTTTTTTCATCTAAACATCTTAAAAAAGCATGCCAGAGTACCTTGGTACTACTTCAAAATAAATTATTAAACCAAAACTTTAGTACACAACTCAACCAGTTGGAGCACCTTGACTGAATCTTTATTTCATTATGTGTTTTCATTGTGTGTTTATTATAATCATAATTTTTTGTTTATTTGTTTCATGAGCTTTTTTGTTTTTTATAAATTATTAAAAAAAAAAACTATACTTTCAAAATTTGATTTTTATTAGGCTGGATCATTTAAAGTTGCAGATGAAAATGTTTTGGAAAAACGAACGTAAGTTTAAATTCTACAATAAACAAAGACTTGATATGTTTTGCGAATTTAATAATTAAGTTACTTTTTTTTTAAATGTTAATAAATGGTTTTTATAATAATGTGTTAAACAATTGTTTATTTTATAATTTTTTAATCGTCGATTATTGTTATTAATAGTTTTGCAAAAAAATTGAGATAAACTGTTACTTACTAATATTATATAAATATCAGTGTTAAGTATACTAAAGTCGAAATACTATATACAAATGTATTTTGTGCTCTGAAAATTGAGATAGCTTGATAACCTAACAGGATAATAAAATAGCTTATTTTACTTACCTTTAAGCATAAAAATATATACAGTCGTATAGTTAATAATTTTGATATTACTGGCCAAACATAATTAAAAATCCATCAAGTTGTTAATTTATTGAACACTAGGGAATCACTATCAATTATTTATCTACTATTTTCAACACCTCAGCTGTATATGTCTATTAAAAAAATTGAGAGGATAATATACATCGCCTATGCTATTTCTAGGCGGTACTGCATGACATTCACACCAATCACTAGCCATAACTGACAGTAAATAACTTCGTGATTGGTAGGATAATATTGAATATTTAGCTGTTGAATGTTTTCATTTTCTGTGTCAGTTAAAAGTTCATTTGGACCGAGTTCAGGTCAGCTGCAAGATTACAGTATGTCTGATGAAAATGAATGAATTTTTTAATTGATTAAATTAGAATTCTCTTGTTTTACCTTAATCATTTTATAAACATTTTATAAGATAATAAAATGTATGAAAACAATAATTTTATTTTTTTAAATCAAATTAGTACCTGAAAGGTGTGTTCTTAAGAATTGACAACTGCGCAATGGGTTCTGGTTCATGTTCTGTATCATGTCCTAGTCATCAGTGTCCAAGAGTCTGACCAGGACAGCGAAAATGAGAAGTTACTAGTCTCAGGATTTTTTTAATATCTGCTGGAGTGAGCACCCGGACTGTCAGAAGGTGTCTGCTAGTTGAATTTAAGTTATCCTCACGTATGTCTGCCAAAAAAGAAAAGTTATTGAAAAAGAATGTCAAAGATCGCTTGAGATTTTGTTATAAGCTGTACAGGACAGAAGATCAATGGATAAAGGTCATGTTTTCTGATGAATCAACCTTTACTCATGTTGTTAAAACAGGATAGTTCGGAGGCCCATTAACCAAAGATACAATATAAAATATATAATTCCAATGGTCAGACAAGCCCCAAAACCATGGAATGGTTCAGCTTTAGCGCATCTGGTACAGGTAGTATTTGGTTTATCTTGAAGAATATGACCATTTATGGGCAAATTTACCTGGTTGTTTTGAGAAAAAAAATATGGCAATATACTCCTGCACCCATTTTCAGCATAATGGTGAACCCTGCCACTGGACAACAGCTGTCAGACGCTGGTTGGAGGAGGAAGGGGTCCAGTTGCTTTGTCCATGGCCTGGGTCAAGTTTGGACTTAACCGCGATTGAAAACATGTAGATCATAATAAAGCAGAAGGTTATTTAAGAACATCCAAAGTCAGAAAAACGTTAATAGACAACATCAAGCATGTGTGGGCTACCAGTATAACGCCTGAATACTGCAAATCTTTAGCCAGTTCCATGTTTAATCGAATAGCAGCTGTTCTGAAGGCCAAGGAACAGTATACTAAGTACTCAATCTTGAGTCTGTAATTGTTGTTAATAAATAGTATAAAATGTTTGGTACGTGTTTTTGCGCCATCATAGATTAACTTTTTTTTAAAATATAATATATAATATAAGAACAGTCGTAGCGCAGTGGTTAGCGCTTGCCTCAGAAACAAGAGATCCGTGGTTCAACGCCACCTCTGGGCAAGTTTAATAAAATAGGTAAGGAAGGAGGCGTGAACTTCCTTTCAAATGCTCTTCTGCAGTGCTCTGTGATAAGACCGTAGGGACTTCTGGGGCCAACTAAAATAATTAAAAAAGTATATTTTATAATTCTTTGTAAAAATAGAAAAAAAAAAAAAAAAAAAGCAATTAAATCATTCTATTGCAACAAGATTTAATTTAACTTATTCATAGTTTAGAGTAACTTAAAAAATTATCTTTCAAAAGATTTTTAGAAAGACATAAAAAAATAGTTTTAAAGGTTTAAATTTATCATAAAAAGTACATAAAAAATTATTTGTTCATTTACACAAAATGTTGAGTCTAATTTTGAGTCTAACTTATACATTATACAACTTAGATATACTCTATGACAAATTTTGGTCTGCTTGTTTTTACTGCTGCTTGTTTTACTGCTAACTTAAAACTTAGTGACTTGACTTTTACAACAGAATTCTTTTATCGTGCATTAGATTAAAGTTTGGAGGCACGGGCTATTGCATTTACCATAAAGTCCGGCATGCTGGTCTTTTTTGGTGATATATTATATGGTGTATCTGAAAATAAAGCATATACACAAAATAAATGTGAAAGAGTAAATACGTCATTTTTTTCAGTTGTTGTATTAATATATTTTAATTGTGTTTGTATTTTGTTGGCAACATGTTCAAAAAATCTTTTAGTTTTCTAATTTAACTTAAAATAAGTTTTAAAAATAACAAAAGAAGATGTTATAAAAAGTATTATAAAAAATCTGAATAGATGCTACAATTCAGCAGCAAAAAAGTTGCGAATCCCTTCACCATTAGCTATGTTATTTAACATTTTTCCCAAATAAAATTAATCAAACACAAATCTGGTAATAGGAAAAAGGAGGTTTTTCAAGATATAAAACTGTTTTTTTTTTTTTTTTTTTTTTAAACATCTTCACTTCCAACAAGGCTGCAAGCAACCACTATAAGAGTTGGAAGTTACTGGAAGAGAAAAGACTAAATCTGTAGAGCAAGATAACGATTGACTGATGACTTAAAAGATTGCAAATTATATGAATCAGGAAAGCAAGATGAAGGAAGCGAATTCCAAAGAACTGATGTTCGAGGAAAAAAACTAGAAGAATAAGAGTTTTTGAAGCACTTAGGAACAGTCACAGAAAAAGGATGAGACTTAATTGAATGGCGAGTAACACGAGAATGAATTTTAGTAGATGGCACAAGGGACGCTAGCTCCTTAGAGCAGTGCCCATTATAGTATTTGTAGAAAAGAGAAAGAGAAGCAACATTACGACGATGTGACAAAGGTTGGAGATTGGCTGCCAGAGCAGGTCCAACTATGTTTACAATTCGTTTTTGCACCTTGTCTAAAAGAGAAAGAGCATCATTAGAAGATCCGCCCCAGATGTGGCAACAGTATTCCATACAGGGACGGATTTGAGATTTATAGAGATAGAGAATAGAATCTGGAGTAAGAAAGTGTCGAGCTCGATAAAGAGATGCAACCTTAGCAGATGCTAATTTTGCAATGGATTTGATATACGGTTTAAAAGAAAGATCAGAAGTAAGAGTTAATCCTAGAAGATGAATGGTAGATGACTCATCTAGTACATTACCATTCATAAATATAGGAAGATCTAAATTATTACGATAACGATTGGCCGAATAAAATTGAGTTTTATCTGAATTAAAGTTCACCAGCCACTGTGAGCCCCATGCTGTAGCAGAAGTGAGATCCTTTTCAAGCTCAGATACCCCCTCCAAGCAATCAGAGAGTGTAGGCTTCTTATCATGACAAGAGTAAATGGTAGTGTCGTCAGCGAATAATGCCACCTTAGATGTGAGAATATCTGGAAGATTGTTAATGTAAATTAAAAAGAGTATAGGGCCAAGGATTGAACCTTGAGGAACCCCTGAAGTTACAGGATGTGAAGAAGAGTGTTGTCCATCGAGGACAACTTTTATACTACGATTGGAAAGAAAGGACTCAATAATCTTAAAGACGTTACCAACTACACCATAAGAAGAAAGCTTATGGAGAAGACCAGCTGCCAAACTTTATCAAAAGCTTTAGAAATGTCAAGTGCGATAGCCTTAACCTCTCCACCTCTATCTAATGCACCGTAAAACCTATCGGTTATTACTGTTAGCACATCAGCTGTAGAATGAGAAGACCGAAATCCATATTGATGATCAGAAAGTAAGTTATTTGATTCAAGATAAGAGATTAAGTGTTTGTTGATTAAAGATTCAAAAACCTTGCTTATGACAGGAAGAAGACTAATGGGACGGTAGTTAGATGAATCAGATCGCTCTCCGGAATTTTTGAAAATAGGGATAACAGATGCTGCTTTCCAGCATGATGGAAAACAAGACTCTGATAAGCACTTGTTAAATAGTTTAGAAAGTATGGATGAAAGCTCCGGAGAACACCTCTGCAAAACTCCAACAGGAATGTTGTCAGGACCACAAGCTGTTGAAGAGTCTAAGCAGGAAATTACTTTAGATACAGAAGCTGAAGTGATGCGAATGTCAAGCAAGGGATCAACCTGTTTGACGGCTATGTCAGGTAAAACGCAACTAGTGGAATCAAGAGATGATATTGATGAAAAGTTCTTAGCAAACAATTCAGCTTTGTCTTTAGGTGAGGTGACAAAGTCTGAACCATACAAGAGAGAAGGAATAACAGATTTGCCCTTATTATTGATACTGTTAAAGATTCTCCAGAAGTCTCGAGAGCCTAATTTTTGTGATGAGATACGAGATTTAATGACCTGGAAATAGCGAGCTTTGGCGTCAGACAAAACCTTTTTACAATGGTTTCTGGCGATAGTGAACAGATGTCTGTTTTCTGGAGAAATGTTTTGCTGATAGATATGGAAGTAACGGTTTCAATTAGAAATTGCTGCAGCGCAATGTGAGGAAAACCAAGGAGAAGAGTGAGGTTTGACCTGGAATCGTCGAGAGGGAATAAAAGATTCCATGCCAGCCTGAATCCACGAAGTTATGTAAGAAGCACATTTGTCAGCAGGAAGACGAAAGATTTCTACCCAAGGGCCATCACGAAGAAAATCACGGAAAGAGTCCCAGTCAGCTTTAAGGTAGTTGTATGTGGTACGATGATAGGG